ACACTGCACTCACGAGAACACGTCATTGGAGGTGTGAAGTTGGGACCGCAGCCTCAATTTGGTGTTGATTCACGTGGACGCATGAGGTAGAGGCATTATCACAACCGGGCGAAGTAATATTATGGTAATTTACGCCAACGTCACCAAGCTGTGGAAGGTCAAACGGGACCATAAATTAGGCATATTTGAAAAAGGATATACATGTATATGGACACAAGCATTACATCGACAGCAGGCCATATTGCACGAAAAGAAAGCAAGCTGAAGGTCGGATATGTCACTGACGCCGCACGGCATCAGAGATTTGGAGTTGAGCACACACAGAATTTAGTTTGTAAGGGGGGGCATATAGGAAAGAGTCTTGAAGTTCATGTACTGTTGTCTTGGAGAACCAGATAGGCGCAAGAAAAAAAATGATGAAAAAAATATAGATGTACTCCATGACACATTTTAGTTTCTGTTTGCAAAAACCGTAACAAAACTGTTTTATATCCTGAATACATACGGCACCCTATATTGATTGTTTTTTATACATTTTGGTTGATTGCCAAAATACCATCACAGCCACAGGTTTATTGCAGCCATAAATATTTCAGCGACAATCATCAATAGGATAAGAATATCCCAAACGCTAAAGACAGCATTAAAAAAATAGAAACAAGGACAACAAATAGATTAATGATTAATCAGACACGGGCACAAAACAATTTAAATAAAATTGTGTTTGTGCTTCAAAGAAATATTTAAGACAAGTCGTGAATATTTATGTCCCTCCATGACCGCCCATATATCTCCGAGCGCGTGGCACGCAGAGATCAATTTCTTCGAGTTTACATAATCGTATTTAGTAGAGTAGAAACCTGTTCATTATTCAAAAGCCTGTACGATCCGTGTAGGCCCACTCCCTATACTGAGCCAAAGGCCGCAGTCGGGCCCAACTGAGAAAAGGAGTTCAACAAAAAATCCCCAAGGTCATTCAGGGGGAGATGTGTCACTAAAATAAATGAACTTTATGTTTTAATGTTGTTTGCCAATTTCCATCAAGATTTTGAATATTAAGTCGCTGTTGCCAGTCAGTTTGAAGACACAGTGTGAGGAATATTGGCTTAGAATTTCAGCCTGGTATTTAATTTTGGGTGCCTTCAATGTGTCTAACGCTCCGACGCAAGGCGCACCGGCGCGGCCGGCGGCTAGCGCTTTAACGCAAGCCTTACTGCGTGATATGCACACCTATTGCATAATTCATGTAAGGGAGCATTATTATTATAAGCTAAGGCCGGTTGTGATCTTACCGCCGTATCTATTGGCTGTCTTTGGTCTAGATCCTAGCCTCTGGTGGATAGGCCTGACACTGTGAAGCACGATAGGGAAAGTCCCGTTATATGAAATTCTCCTTCAGTCATATCCTCCTTACTTTGGCCAGATTTGTGACGATGTTTTGTGACAAGCAAGGTGGAAGAGATTCCTGAAAACGAAACACAATGAGTACGGGGTCACGGAGACAAGCTCGCGCCCATCATCACCCGAGGGCTACGGAGCACGACTTTCAAGAATGGGCAAGATTGCCTGGTACGTACTTGTACACGTGTGTAGTTAACATAGGGTAGGTGTACCTGTACGTGTACATGTACGGCCTACATGATGTTGAGTTCCCTAACATGACGCACTTCGTTTCCCTCGACTTTCTTCTGGTCGTACAGTGTTTGCAAACCTCATTGTTGAAGAACTTCATGGGAAGAGTTCCATATTCCTGAGGCAGCTATACGGATATCACTGATTTTTCCCCCGCAGTCATACTAATCAGCCATAACATCAGGGAACAAAAACACATAATGTGTCCTTAAAAAAGAGTGAAATGTAGACTAACATTGGTTAGCATGATTAGTGGAGAAAAAATATTGAAGCATGTTCTCAGACTGGTTTTCAGATCAGTGTCACTTTAGTCCCAAATTAAAAAATGGTGCCATGGTGGTGTCTGGAAATTAGCCACAAGTTCAGCGGAGTGTTCCCTGACATGGCACACTTGAAAAGTCTCAGAAAATCCCACATTTACATTTAAGAATTGCCAATGTACATGTATATCATGTGCTGTTCAGTGTTTATGGAATTCTTCCCATATTATTTTCTTATCTCATTTTAAAAGATTGAGTGTGTTCTCTAAAAAAAATCAGAAAATCATGCCAAAATAGAATTTTATTTGAACTTTGTAGCTGGTACAGACAAAATTACATTTGTTCTGCCTGTGACCAGCCTGTGACCTTGTAGTCTGAGCAATTAGGACTCTATCTACCAATCGGCCCTTTTAACATTGGACCACGTCCAACTGTTACAAGATGTGATTTGTAGATCCCTACTTGGTTGGATTAGTGACCTTGTGAGTGTGGCCACGTGCATGATACATAGTCAGTGGTGACGCCATTTGACTCGGGTTCTGTGTTCCATAATAAACAGAACCGCTAGAGCTGCAACTTGGAGTTAAAAACTGATTTATGGATTGATCGAGCAATGACCGTGCAAAGGACTGACTGACAGTGCAGGGCGACTATGCTTTGCCTTCAGCCATGTTACTATGAGTGTGGGCCGATCATTTGAAGCAGGACGTCACAGAATGTTTATAAATCCTCTTATTTCTCCTTCCCGTTACTGTCAAACTGCATCCTTTACTATCCATCTGCTTTTTCTTCTGCTGGTGCCTGTACGTTCCTGTGCTTTCTGCATACAGCTATTGTCACCGTTAATTCATGTCATCCAGCCCTTGAAAAAGAGTCTGTGAATAGTCTTCCAGGGGCTGGCTACTCTTGGGGTGTCACCGGCTTGTGAATGTCTGGTTCAGAGTTGAGACTAGCAAATTTCTTGAGCCTCGTAAACTCTTTCTACCTCTGTTATGCAAGATGTGATTTAGGGCTGGGTACATGCATGTGTAATTTAATAGATCTGGGTGATTTGGGGATTGGCTTGCCTAATCTGGTAATGCTATTTAGTGTCAACAAGCGTCAACACAAATGAGTAGCCTCAACAAAACGTCAACAACTTGAAAATATCCTCTTGAGGTTTCAAAGTGGTTTTATCATATTTTACAAACTCTAACATGCTCCACTGTGTAAGAAAAACAGAAATTTATTTTTTAAATATTAATATATTATATATTAATTATTAAAATGAAATTTTTTTGCAATATAAGGGGCGGCCGTGTTTCTTTTCTCTACCGTCCTCGCGAAAACAAGATGACGGCCGTTTTGGCTGCACGAGCTGAACCAACTTTTTCGCTCAATGTAGATGCCCAGTTAATATTATATACTTTGCACATATCTTTTTTTTTGGCATAAATATGCTTGAATAATTTGTTGACGCTAGTTGATGCTTGTCGTCACTAAATAGCATGAGCTGCCCAATTTACCTGTAGCAGATAGACCAGGAAGTAAAAACATGCATATGTACAGTATGTACAATGTACATGTACCCTGTATTGGTGTAGGCTGTAGGCCCACCCAGACTAATCTGTGTACTGGTACCATAGTTTATTGAGATAGTGTAGGACCCAGGCTGATACCCTACTGGTACATGCAGTACATGCACACAGGTTATTAGAATCATATAGGATTACTGAAGGAAGAAGCAGGAATAGGAATTAGTGATGAATTGACCCTCCTGCAATCAATAGTTTATTCATTATAATTGAGTACTGCTGTGTCATCCAGGCCAGATTAGATGGAGTGTGTCATATCATAGAGCTACAACAGGTCTATGTCTGAGAGGCCTACAGGTTCGTAGGGTGAGCTCTCATTTCAGCTTAAAACCAGTTTATGTGATTGGTGCCATGAAATGAACTCCAGGAAATGTTGCTATGCTGTTGAAACAAACAGATTTTTCTAGGATGCATGTAGGCCCCGAGAGTTGATGTGACAGTTAAAGACAAATTTTGAGAAATACGAGGAGAAAATTATTCTCGAAGCCAAACAGAATTTTAAGGAAGGATACTGTCACAATGATAATTGGGTCGACAGTGTTTGATTCACAACGACTGACTAAAAGTCATTGGTAATGTAGTATTGATGAATTTATCGCGATACTCTACGACCATGGAGATAAAGTATACCAGTAACTCCATGCTACTACTGAAGACCATATGCTTTGAGAGTGAATACAGTCGAACACGATTACCACGAGCATGCTTGAGACGAGATCACGCTTACTACGAGCATATTTTTTCACTGCCGTTCAAAATGGACACATTCCTATGAGAAAAATTTACTTAATACGAGTTGTTCTTAGACGAGAACACGGACAAGACGAGCAGTTTTGTCTAACCTGCAGTGCCAAAAACTATTGTCCATGCCATTTTTATAACGAGTTCATTTGAAAATGCGTCTTCAAAAGCTTAATCCCAGTAAATCCTGATGGAGCACGTCAGTCATCTCTAATAAATTCTAATCTGCTCGGCAATTTTGCGCACGTGTTTTACCACCAATGACTTAGCAACTCTGTTCCTTGTGCCACTAGAGGGGGCTTTATTCAAGATGACAATGGGTGTGGCGATGTCGCAACATCACAGGAGTTTCAATCACAGCGGGTTTGGCCCAAAAGAGGTTTTTTTTTTTTATTCAAACCAAACAATGGATGAACCCCACTTGAAAATCTTAAATAGAACGGAAGTTTTGATGCCAAGGAAAACAAATGCACAAACAAGTCTCATCAAAGACCCCACACGGTCAATGGAAAGAAAATTAAATAGGTTTTGGAAATTACACCCTTCTAAAGTTCCCTTCCTTCAGTTAACCAATGTCCCACATCCCCCTTTCAAAATAAACTCGCACAACCCTGTCACACATTAAAAATGAAAGTTACTGTTCCATAAATTAAAAGAACATTTCTACAAAATAGATTCCCTCCTGCCAATTAAAAACCAACAGAAATTCCCCAACTTCAAGGCCCTCTTACATCCGGTCGTTACACACACATGAGCTGGTTCTCAAGTTTACTAAACCTTTACTTACGTGCAACATCGGGCACCAGTTTCCAGGTCATGCTTCACCACGCTGTGTAGCGCAGCCGGTCACTTACACTTCTGTTCTCTGCTGTCGCTTCAAACAAGTAGATGTATTCAAAACCTTTGTTTTATTCATTCATATCATATTGATAAATACGATCTAAAATTTATTAACATGTTAAAGGCTGGTACGTGTACATCTAATAATAATCCACTTCATATACATGTACTGTACCATTCAATACATTGCTGTAGTGTTCATGTATAACAATGCTTGCTGGTGCATGATGCCAGGCTTACGCTCTATGAATGTGATAGGTTGTCAACACCTGTAACACGAGGTTCACCATAAGACAAGGTTTTTTGGAGAGTCCCTGTTCAACTGTATATACACAGGGTGCAGGCTGGGTGGTAACTAAGGAAACATGTTTGAGAAATTTGAGTCTTCAAATTGTAGAGGATGGGGGGAAACAATGGAGAGACTGTCAGCATGGACCACTGAGGAAATTTATAGGCTCATAAATCTGTCACAAAGGCCAGCTTCATCACCAGCCTTAACTGAAAAGAATGTGGACAGAAATTGGAATGAGGATTGGATAATTATTATAGAGTGGAGAGATCCCAGCCTACAGTATTGGGAAAGACTAGAGTCGTAAGCAGTTGGCACCCCCCCATAAGAAAAAGACCAATCCAAAAAGTACCCCTCCCCCTTCTGTGCAAGCATGGAGGAAGGACACAGAAGGAGTTTTAACTCAGGCACATCAAAGTGCTCGATCATCGCCGCCCTCTCATACAAACAATAGTAAACATTCAAAAAATGCCTGATTACTACCTGCAGCTTAGCCGGACAAGTGGAGGTAGTAATATCGTAGCAATATTTGTGTTGTTTTCTTTGCAATGAACTGCAACTTATCACATTGACCAGGAGATAAATTATGTAACATTAGATATACTTTTGCCGTTGTGAATAATTTTTGAAAGAGGTTGATGCACTTTTCCATTATCCATGCAATGTTTGTAATTTTTTTTGACACTCCAAAACATCAGTTTTCAAAGTCTTTGTACGAATTTGGCTAAGACTGACCAATAACATGTTGACCATCACAGGGCAGTTAAGTTCACGAAAAGTAAAATGTGCCGAAAAATTTCGGCAATGATCATGGAGTACAAGGGGGCTTGTGGTTGTGAAACAGGTGGTGTGTAGCAAGCATTCGCTGCACTTTGGCTATGGGAATACCGGGCATGTCAGAAAGCGGTAATTGACCAGATGTTATAGCTCGGGCAGTTTAAACTCGATGTCCTTCCTCCATGGTAGAAGTACATAAGGCCAGCCCAGCTGTAGTTGCAGGGTTGTGAGACATTTCCATCTCTCTGTGTCTAGCCAGTGTTGTAGTCGAGTACTTTTGTCCGAGTACCAAGTACTGCCGAGTACTTTGACTGCCGAGTACAAAGACAGGGCGAGTACTTTGCCAGCCGAGTACAAGTACTGGTTTCCGAATACAAGTACTTGCACTTCCGAGTACGAGTACAAGTACGAGTACTCTGAAAATGGTACTCGAGTAGTACTCGAGTACGAGTACCGAGTACAAGTACTACAACACTGGTGTCTACATCTCTCAACAATTTATTTCTAATTCTTCTTTGGCTCTGGGTAATATTTTCAGTGGCATCCATCAAAGAGTTGATCTGTTTCACCCTTGACAATAGCAATAACTGCATTATCCTAGGTTGTGTGTGTAACAAACAAAAGGATTAGGCATAAAAGATATCAGCCATCTAAGGCTCCGGGAACAGTCATGCACTCCAGTGATATGGATTGCACGATTGCCTGATCATGTTCACACGGCTTCCGGTGCAAACTGAATGAGTCTTGCTAGTTCTCATATACTAGACTTCATGAATAAACATTGGCTCAAAAACAATAAGTGACAGAAACAACAAGCTGCATCCCAGCTAAACAAGTGCAGACAGCAAGGTCCAATCTCATCGAGCCATTTTAGCAGAAACACTTCTGGGATATTTGAAGGGTCCCCCCCCAAAAAAAACCTGTTATGCTTACCGTTTCCCTTTTTACCCTATTTTGACGGTGCGACCCGAAAGTTTCCTGGGGAAAAAAATGGGAAAAATTTGAAGTTGGAAATACAGAAAGAAAAAAAAAAGGGGCGTATCTACTTTAGTTTGAGTGTGTTTGAGAAAGGCTCATGCATGCATATTCCAGTACCTTTTAAGTGTTGTACATTTTATCTGAAACGAATACCACCTGACCGCGCTTGCTTGAAATGTTGGATTGAACCGTGCACTTCCAAGGGAGCTGAGATGGTTTTTATGGGCCTGATGGATCGGGTTCTTGGATAAGCGTGCACTGTAAGTCAGTGTTACATGGGTAATTCCAGAAATCAGGGGTCCGAAAGTGTGACATTTCTGTGTCCCAGTTGCATGTACATCTGACCTTTGTTATTTGGCATGGAAATATCACTGGAATTGATTTCAAGCTATTACTCTCTGTTTGCAGGTAATTTGCATTAATTCATCACTCTTGGAAAGTAGAAAATGTGTTCTGAACTTACAAAATCGCATGTCAGATGTGACATGGACATGGAAAAAATGGGCCCGTACTTTCTGGAATTACCCACATGTGTTTCCTAAATTTAAAATTATTTTTAAAAGGAAACATTTGGTGGCAAGTGGAGGAATTCAAACACCAGGGTAATGCAATTATCAACCAAGACCCAGGAGGGGCTATCCAGTTCTACTCTATGGCATTGGGTATTGACGATGATCCTAATCACCCCTTCAATCTCCTGACGCCACGAGAGAGGGCAACTCTGTATAGCAACCGCTGCACAGCCTGGACAAAAATCAGGAATCTGGGGCAAGCCTTTGAAGACGCCATGGCATGCATCAGTGTGGATCCCACTTTCCAGAAGGTGAGATCAGAGAACTGGCTCATGAACAGTTTCCATACAAGTCAAATTAATTTGAATGTTGACAGCTTATTGCTTAATTTAAGCGACTGCTTTTTCTGTGTACAATTAGAACCATGTGGTCTTTAGGATATGGCAATGAATCGCTGTATACATGCATATAAGGCTCTTTTTACTGGTAAAGATCATATTTGATGAAACAAAATTCTTTATCAAGACTGAGTTTTTTTTCACTGTGCAATACCGGTTGTCTTTCAAATTGCCGTGTGCGACACCACCATACAGCACCCTGTCCCTTCTATTCCACATGTACATGTACATTCGTGTGTGTATATACTTGAAATGAATGCCATTGTGACCAGTATACAACACCCCAAATAAAATAATCTCAATTGTAAGCCATCTGCTTATATGACATTGTCAGTGATGGTTGTGCTTGAACAATAAATGAATAAAAAGTTAGTCAACTTCAGAGAGGTTTGTCAGACTTTGTGAAGGGTTTCCTTTTTGGGAAATACAGTAAAACCTTGTTAAATCAAACTCGGCTAAGTCGAAAGTTCGCTTGTCTCAAAGTGATGCTTTGTTCCTGCTGAAAGAACAGGCATTTGTGTACATAAATGCATGTACCTCCGTAAGTCGAATTACCTGCAACCAAAATCCCGCTTAAGTCAAAGTTTTTGTGACGCTGATAAAAAAACAAAAAGGCCGCCAAATTGTCTCACAAGTACATACATGGGACCACGAAACCACGGGCTGACTCATCGCTGCCAAGCACACATTGTCTTTTCACTCCTGATCTGCTTGCATGGCAGGCCTGCTGCACGGCTCGTTTCATAAACCATGTCACACCATAACCACAATAAATCCAGGCTTTTGGGCTAGCCTGATTGCCATTGGAAGACCCATGTGCGAATGGACCAATCACTGCCCATTTCAAAGGTCACGGGAGCACAGCAAGTGTCATAAGAAAAACCCATTTGAAAGCAGACCCGAATACCGAATGTACATGTAGCATGCATCACGTTGTAAACATGATCGACGAAAAGACCAAAGATTTTCCACATGAAGGTACACCTTTAAAAAGTGATGAAATGTATATTTATTGGTAGAAACAAAACTTCTAGACAGAACAACAATGAAGAATCTCAGCAAAGTGATTATTTATGAGCAAAAACGTGCCATGAGAAAGAATAAAAAGCAGAAAATAGCCACCGAAATGATGCTACCATGGAGCGAGTTTGGAACAACTATGTCTACATATGTGTATACATGTACATGTATTGGCTCCATGGCTGTAAGACTTTCTTGAACTTGAAGTCTAGTTGACTTAAAGTTTTACTCGAAATCCTTGATTCGAGTTATCAAAGTTTTACAGTGCAGCGAACATAGTTCGAAGTTTGGATACTTGGTCGGGTATCAGATATCCAGGTACACATCTCAGCCTAAACAATGGACTTCATTCAAGGAAAGGCAAGAAAATGATCCTAGCCATCCCGATCCGTCAGTAATTGGAGCACCATCCAATTTTGTTTTGACTTTTGGCTTGTTTACGAAACTAAAAGTTTTTTCTTCCGTTTGTACTTATTCTGACGAGAATTAGTAGTGCATACTTTCTACCGTGTTTGTAGGACCCACCAGCTCTGGAGATCTCACAGGTGGTCATGCAGCGCCCAGATGTTGTTCTAGAGTCCAAAGGATCACAGATGATAGCTCTTTAAATTTCAATCCTCCCTCCCCTCCCATCCCGAAATTCCTCTCTTGTCAGGGTTACTGGCGGGCCGCCACGGTGATGAAGCAGATGAATAAAGAAGATGAGGCTTTGGAGGCTCTGATTGACGGGTACCCCAAAATCCTCGGCAGTGACAGGGAGGCAGTCAATTTCCGCGTCAACTTCATCTATGAGATCACAACTCTGACCGTTCGGCTGTGGGGTGAGTGTTGCCCACATTCTAAGCAGGACAAAGGAATGTTTCAAAAAAGGGGGCCCAAACTTTCCTGAAGTTGTGCCCAGAACTGGTGTTTCTCATCACTGTTGGCTTTTTGTGTTTTGTTAAGGGAATAAATATGTGCTTGGCCAGTCTTTAACATGTGTCACGGGCATTACTTGCCTCCAATCTCCTGAGTTGGCCCAAGCACATACATGTATTGCTTCCCATTCTTAAATACTTTTATTAGCCAGAGAGTCAAAGAAGTCAATATATGATGGATTTCCAGCGATTTTTGTTCTAGAATTTTACTTTCATTTTCCCGAATACCTGGTCCATTTTATGGTACATGTATATTCCTTGTGCAAGTTGTCCATAATAATCTCCTTATATGGACGTGGCACATGTGTGGTGAGTCACATGCACGCAGACTTTTGACCAATCAGAATCAAGTAGTCTGTCTCGTATCCGGTTGCCAGCATGTGATTTATGCAGTAGGTATATTCACTTCTCAGCGGGCATTATCAAATGTTAATACATGGTCACGCTGCCTATTCTTGAATAGGGAGACTGTCTGAGGCATTTATGAATAACATTTCCAGTGTTCCAAGCCTCTGAGTAAAGGCCCGAAATACAGAGCTTGTTTTTATAAATCGGAAGGAGGGTAACCCATACAGTGGATTTTCAGCCATGGTATGTTAAGAGGACTCATGATATCATTCTTCTGACCTTTTCTGCCAGGTATCATGTAGATTGCATTACCAGTAGAACTATAAAGGAAAAATGCAGTGAAAATTCAACTCAACGTATTTCCATGCACGTTAAAATACAGTATGCATTATAATAGCAGAGAAAAGATCTAAATGCTCCTTCTTATTGGAAATGAAAAGGATGTGGTTGTTTTTCCATTCACAGAGAATCCTTTCATCGAAACTTTTTTGGTGGGTGCTGTGTTTCTTTTGTCACACAAAGACACTCTTGTCTAGAGAGCATAAGAAAATGCATTCAAAAACATTGCCCTTCAGAATTTCCCACCAACAAAGTTTGGAAGAAAAATTTAATACTGCTCATTTCATTTGTTCAGACACGCTGCTTTGCGCAATAAACAAGTACGTGTAAAAGTGGAACTTATTCAAAACAAAATTAAGAAATGTGTGGTATTAGTGCACAGAGCTATGGAGACACTGTTCTGTCTTGGGGTGAAGTTATGTTTTGGCTCATCAATATGGAAATTTTCATCAGCATAAAAACTGAAGTGTTGAGGTCTCTCCCCTCTTACTGCTTCAAAGGAGGCAGAAACTTAGAGCGATATTGCCAAAAAGCTTTCCCACATGTTTCCAAGTCATAAGATTTGAATTACATTTACATGTCATGAGTGCACGATTGGTTTAGTGAATATCAGAGTATAAATTATTCCTTTTAAAAAGTTGGCAGTGCAGCGACCTATTTTGGAATCACTCACATACAGTATTATTTGCAAGAGTTTATCATTTTGAAATTGTCACATTTGTCTTTGGATTCTACTTTAAATCACAATTTGGACAATTCGAATTCTGTGGAATGCAATTCCAGCTGCCCAGAGTGGAGTGGTCATTTCCCCTAATGAACAGTGTTTCTGCTTTCATACCACAAATACGAGTTGGAGTTTATCCCACCAAATGCACATATTTATGTAGTACACATGCTTATTTAATTTGTGAAATGCGTGCATTGGACACGGACGATTAGTCACATGACATGTGCATTGTGCATGCCCGTTGAATAGTCAGGGTTAAATTTGTTGTTTCAAGTCAGGCATGTTGCTGGATGTCCAAGTACATGTACATGTACAGTAGGATGGTGTTTGAACCAATTTAAAAAGTTGACTGTGGGTTTAACTTGTAACCCGAGTTCCTGTTTCTCAGCAGGGGAATTTTTCAATCACGTGATTGCACAGTGTAGTATAATAACAGGTCATGTAACACAGGAAGACCTTGAGTTTCTAAATATTTAGTGATGTGTATAACTGAACATACATTTCTTGGCTGTGGGAAAACCACAAAATGAGAAATAGCAATACATGAACTGTCATCCACATATGCAGTGTACAGCACTGCAATGTGCCCACACAAATGTCCAACGTGTTTGTGTCTAATAGTCTTTTGGGGCTGATTTTCATGATCACGTGAGGTGAACAGATTCTTTTGTTACATTTTGTTTGCACAAAGGGTGGTGCCATTTGTAATGCAAACCAAAAAATACCAACCTCTTCGCCCCACCCAAAAAAAAGTGAGCTCAGAGTGAACATGAGAAATCCAGAAATGATTGCTAACATGTACTTTTGATTTGCAGTGACGTACAGATTTGCAGTGACATACTTTCATTTTGATGGTATTTTTTTTGCTGATTTCACTCTAAACCAAGAGCACAGATCTGTTTCAAATCATTGTCACATTTGCTAAACCCCTAAAAAACAAACAAACAAATTTCCCCCCAAAAGGAAAGACAGAGTGGCTTTTATTAACGGGTGTGTGCCATTCACAATAAACAGCCAGATTTGCCCCTCCAAAATACTGAACTTTGTGTTGATGTGGAATTTTTGAGCTGTTTGGACAACCAGGAAGTGAGAATGGGAATGAACATTTAAATCAGTAGACATCTTGAAAAAACTTTCACACATCCTTTGCACGTATCGATGTTTGTAACTCTTCTATCACAAATCAGAACTGCATTGAGAAACTCCATAGAGACATATCAAAAACATTAATGAGTGAGCATGTTCATGTATGTGGTCAACAACACTGTTATATTTACCGGTATGAGAGTAGAATTGAACAAATACAGAATTAAACCTCATGAAATCCTCTAATGTTTGTAAATGAAATCATTTTGGACATGGTTGATTCTGCATACAGAAAAAGGCAGTGTGGATAAAATATATGAAATGTTAGAAGATATAAAAGTATCTATTACTTTATATTCCTCAACATAATAGGACTACCCTACTTGTGTGAACTTAAGCACATGTATGCATATTCAGTGATATTCTTGGTTTCCATGGCCTTGCAGATAAGTGGAAAAAATCACAGTTCCTGTTCAGGCTCCTAGATATCCCCACGTCTGTGTGGACGGAAGTTGTTCAGCGACTTGCCAAGAACAAGGACTATCATGTGAGTTTTTGTTCATGTTTTTGTGAGAAAGATTTGTTTAAGTTCTGTCCCCCGCATGGTCAGTTGTTGCTTGACCAGAGATTAATTGCAGAGAGTTCTCTTGATCCAGGTGAGAACTTTTCAATTTTGGGAAGAGGGCACTCTTAAAAATGTCATAGACTTTCACGGACAAAAAATGTTCCCTAAAATGATTTTGAAATTCTTTCAAGTAGGGATAGGAACCCTTGATTCAGTATGCAGAAGTCACGTGTACCAGACAGATTTTTTCCTATTTTTTCTTTGTGAATGTTAATGAGGTTGTAATGAGGAATGGTTTTTCTTATTTCGTTTAATTGGGGCTCGTTTCAAAAAGACTCTGTGTACTGTCAGCGAATGTTCTTCCGCGACCCTGTTCACTCATGATTGACCAGTTAATAAGGTGATCTTGGCTGGGTTGCTTTGTTATGTTAATATACCTAATAAATTATGCATGAGCTTTGAATGTACATTTAAATACTACAAAATCAGTGAACTTCGGTCTACTCCAATTAGTAGAGATTTTGTAGGCCTGTTTTTAGAGCCATAGGTAGGTTTTTACAAGTACAAGGAAAACGTGTTCTATGAATACCACACAGAGGCATATAATTGGTTTTTAGTAGCTGGGCCTATTTCTAGATTATGAGCTGCAGCCGAACCACCGAATTGAACCAAAAATCATCAGACATGATGCTTTCGAACCAAACCGAGCCGAGCCAAATAAGTTGGTTCAAATATTCGGCTTTTAATATGGCATGGCATTGATAGCAAACGGAATGCATGCAAGAAAACTTGATAAAAAAGGAAACAACAAACAATGGAAAACAAGGGATGCCGCACCCGTGCTCGGTACATGTGCGTGCTGTATATGTACAGTGCAATGCTGCTATAACGAACAGCTAAATGTTCGGTACAGTGGTCGTTTGGTATAGCGAATTTAACTGCCGAACGTTTCGTTGCCGTGTTGAATAGCGCCCTCTCTTGTCTAACCAAAGTGCACCCTCTTGTGATACCTTGGTTTGCTGTTTTCATGATGTTTTGTCGTTGGATTCAAGTTTAAGGTTTCGAGAAATCTATCTGTTAAGTATTTTTGTTTTTTATTTAAACTTAAGTCAAAGAATTGATATCAAGTTTATCCTAAAAGTCGTGAAACTACCGCTTAGGATTGATCAGCGGCGCCCTCTTTAGACTTTTGTTAGTGCAATGCCACCGTGCGCGTACGTACAGTTTTTTTTCCGCACCCAGTCATATGGAGTCGCAAAACCAGTGTCTATTCAATACCGTTGACAACTAGTGGCTTTCCCTTCTAATCCTTGGGGAAATAATGGCCACTTGTCACTTTCCAACATAGAAAACACCGACTGTTTTATCATGTTGACGTTGGGGAATTACAAACGGCAACTGAACAGTGTTCAGTAGGTTCTGTGCACAAATTATTGGGAGCCAAGGACGATGTTCAATACAGCTGAATGTTTGGTATAGCAGTGTGTGGTATAGCCGCGTTCCACTGTACATGTATGTACAAATCTACTGCACAATGTATGTACATGTAAAGTAAACTTATGATGGCCCATATCATAATATCACACAATGGTTGTAAAATGCACGTGCTGAGAATTAAGTAATAATCAACCACGAACATGCAAGGTACTGCACTCCAATACATAACAATGCTAAATTCTCACTACATCCATGTATATTCAGACCAACATTATGTGAGCCAATCTCCAATAGCTACGCCCCTGCACTCCATATTCGGTCAATTATGTCATACGACCGTGCAGAATGAATGATTTTAAATTGTTTGCAAATCTAAATTAACAACATGCTGGTATCTTTTCGGAAAAAAAGGCAGGTGCAAAATCACCCCTTTGGCCACGTGGAAACTGTCCTGGGAAAGATGCTGACTTGATATAGCCATAGCGCAAGATATAAACAAGGTTCTTTGAATGTATCCAATGCTATAGTTTGATAGTTGAATCAGTTTCGTCAAAAATAAACAAAACATGATTTCCTTGAAATTGGATCTTGTGCCCTGTAACTTAGGGAAGTCCCATTTGAGCATGTTGTTTTTCCTGTTTCATATATCCTACGATAATTTTGTTGAGTCAAACGTGGTTCAAATAAAACAACAGTTTTGGTTGGTGAAACACAGTCAGCAAATGTCACTCCTCCGACAGTAAGGCATTCACGTTTCATGCAATTGTAACTCCCCAAAAAACTGTAGGGAAACAGTTAAGGGAAAAAATGTGTTGAAATCAAAGTTGCTTGTTATAAATGTATTTTGTACATAGCAAGCTCTCCGATGTCTCAATTTGCACTGACCAGTGTACATGTGTGTACATGTACATGTCTGAACCAAACCGATGTACACACAAACATGGTTTTTGGCCTAGGCTGTGCTAGAAGTTAGCTGTGCTTTGAATCACACCTATGGTAAATGGCTGCAGCCGCTGCCCTGTGCGCCTCACAGGTGAAGCCAAATAATTCTGACTCTTGATTTCTACCTTGGTGTATCCACAGCAACAGTGTTACCTAGGCTACAGAGCCTGACACATTAGCTTTTTTATATTCACTTATGGGGTAATGTGGACTGTGAATTACGGTAAAATTGGGCAACCTTTAAGAACCTTTAGTGCATTTATTTTCAGAAAAACCTGACATTTACAGCAGTAACCTGCATGTCTTGAAGAAATAATGATTTACAGAAATACACTGTAGATATCTGTAGGCCTACGATGCAATTATCATAAAACATGCTGTAAAAGGAACAAAACCGTGCTTCAAATGAATACAACAATAATTAAATGGGTCAGAAATTCACACAAAATGCGCCGATAGCACTGTCTTCAAAAATTTCATCACAATGATTTAGAAAGTAACGTTTTTAATACCTACATGTACTTTTTCGTGGAAAGCTAGCTTCCGCCATCATACTTTGGACGGCCAGTGAATTTCTGTAATAAATCTTTCTCCTGCCCATGATCAAATTTTTTTCCCAACCTTAATCCTTCCCTCAAAGGGCATGGGGAAAAAATAATAATTACATCAATCTAAAACTCAATAAAATCTTGCTGAGAAAGTGTTTTTTGACAGCATCAAAGCGAAAGAAAACATGGGGCTTCAAGGAAAAAAAGGCTACCAACGAAGTATGAATGGATGCTAATGAAGTCAAAAAGTGTTTGAGAAGCCCATGTGAACTGCTGAGGCTTAATGCCGGTGGTTTTATGAACCAAGCGCTTCCAACATATTGGCCTCAAAGAGATCCAAACGGCAGTTAGTCTGTGAACTTTGTGTATTCATTAGTCCGCTTACTCAAAGTACCTAAAAATTAGCACATTGTTAGACGATGTGATAATTGTTAGACGATGCAAATAAGCTTGGAGGGCTCGCTGACAATCAGTTGCCAAGGGCCAAATTTAGTCTGTGACTTCAGCCGAGTTCACGGAGAGTCAACTTTGAAAAGAACTTTCGCATTTTTCTGTTTCCAACCTCATTAACAGTTGGAATTAGCAAAGTAAGTGTATTGTATGAAAATTTTTAAATGCAACTTAAAGTTGGTTTTGGAAGAGGTATATCAGTCATCCTCTGTCTAGTTTACTTGTAAAAGTATTCACACGACATCACTTTTGAAGTGCATCGAAAGTCTTTCCATTACCATTAAACTGCTCTGACTGATTTTAGCTGCGACAGAAGTTTGAAAGTTGGAATTCCAAGGTCAAAACTGCATTGAGGGACTTTGGGACTCGATATGTCTACTTTCTCCATGGCCCAGTACCTTCTAAACGTATAATTGAATGGCTGTGCGGTGTCTGCCTAATTAGAATAAGAAACTGTCCCTTTTTTTGTCAGGCTTTACGGCTGGTGTTCCTTCGCGGTGGTATTCAATCAGGCAAGACGTACGAGATCGGCAAAGGTGGTGCCGCCACCGGCTGTGACACCTCGGCCATCGACCTTCGAACCATAGTCCGGTAAATTCTGGTTTTGAAAGAAGTTCCCATGAGCGGATGCCAAGAATGTTTTTGTGAGATGATTTCACAGTTGAACTTGCTTCGTTCTATTTTGTAACTTTCCATATCTCATATTGGTTATAATGTGGTCATAAAATCTCACACTTTGCTGCGTTGAAGTGTGTTACTCATGTTAACTTGAGTATCTTCCTGAGCATACAAATGGTACAAATGCGACCCGATCGTGAGTGGGAGTTAACTCTCAATTGGACAGGGAGTATACCTGGTACTGTGCACATCATCTTAAAATTTCAATATAGCAGAAAGGTAAAGGTTCGCTGTTTGCACATTGTGATGTGAAAATAATGCTCTGCCTACATTTTTCTGAACAAGTTAGTACCACATGTGAACATGCCAGAAGGTCCCCTTCGAGGGATTTGTAATACGTGTATTGTAACATTTGAAAATGAAAGTGTTGTAGAAAGAAGTCTTGACATCAGGGGTTTAGCTACCATACATATTGGTGTACATGTATGTAAGCTTCCAAACTTGGAAATTTAGTCAAATTACGTAGCATAAAACCTTAGGTGGAATGTAAAATATGCAGTGATTTCTACTGTAGAAAGAGCACCATAAGTTTCTATATTTTTCATGCTTTATCAGTTACCGGTACGCCCTGCCCTACAGAGTAACATTTGTAGCGGGTACTTCCGAAACCAATTTGTTCACGTTTGTCTGCGTACAGCTTTTCCAGCCGCTCTGTGCATAACGATTTGTTCAGAAAATTCTGAATCGACCGGAAAAGACCCGGAGCAGTAACCTCACAAGTGCCGCTGTACACGGGTGGATACGAATGTGATTTTGTCTTTGGTGTCATGAGTTCATGGTTATCACTAAGCGCCATTTTTTACTGTGTTTTCAAGAGAAATAATAAGTTTTATTAGATTTACTAAGGCGAAAGGACTAACTCGCATAATACTGGTACTCAGTTCCTCCACCTCTTAGAGTACTTAACTCTCCCTCTCATGAAGAAGAGCACAATACTAAACAATACTGAGGGCAAAAGATTACTGTACGCTACTCTGAGCAAGGAAGTGGGTATTGTATTTATGGCTTGGAAAAATTATCTAAACCCCTGTGACATGTAACTACTGCAGCAACACTTCTTGCAAAGCCCTTTCAGTCGGCATAAGTGAGCCTTATAAACAAGATTTTTTCCAAAAGGTAAATCCCCTCATGGAAACTTTCAGTTGGAAATCAGTTGCTCAACTAACTTCATGTATGAAATGGAATCTCTTGCAGTGATCTCTTCAATATATACGACAACTGGAGTATGCACTTGGTGCTCGAGCTGCTCAAGCACGGGTCAAAGGTCGAAGGTTTGAGCCAGAAGGAAGGGGACACACCCCTGCACTGTGCAGTTGAGAATACACTGAGAACTGGTGAGTACACATGTCAATTGATTTTTCTTGCAGCAGGTGTTGGGCCCCCCCCATACGCACTCACTCTATAGGTAGGCAATTCTTTGAGAAAGTGGAGTCTTTAATCTATTTCCAAGTTTAGGATCAATTCAGTAAGATAGGGGCATGAAACTGCCAAAGCCTGCTGTATGGTGGGTCTGTTTCAAGGAGCTGCTTCAGTACGGAAATTCACAAAGCAATAGTGGCAATGCATTGCTGGACAAGTTGGAGTGACTACTTCAGTAAACTCGGGCCTTGACCTTAAGCTTTTCTGTAATAAGCCTGCTGGGCAAATTAGCCTATTTATTTAATTGCCTGCAGGAATTTTCCCCCGCCCAAAATGGTCATTTTTAGCGAAGGTAACTTTTAAAAATTGTATTATTTCAACTGTTACTGTGGAGTCTTGCTGTCAATTTAAAACTTAAAAATGTGGAGGATTCAAAACTTCGAATTTTTAATAAACAACATGTACAATCAATGTCACATTTGTTTTTTTTAAATCTTTACAAATACGATCATTTTGCTAGTTCCGGATTGCAAACATTATTCAGTCAGAGTGCAACTCAAAAAACCCTCAAATTCCAGTGAAATGTGGTCAATAGTCCGCCTTATGTGTTGGAGAAAATACAATTTTGTTTTCAATATTCAATCTTTTAATTTGGACTATGATCGACGAAAGTGACAACACTCTTTTTAGTTTTGGATCGGAAAACCAGTTCTGGATCACTTCAAAAAATTCTTTGGGCATAATTGTAATCCAGAAAAATATCCATTTTTCAGCCTGAACCACAGTAACATGCTGATTTTTCTAATGAAAACAATTTCTTAATGTAGAGAGTTTCAGCCAATGGTGAAATGCATGTGACAATGGGAGTTTACGAAAGAGTTCAGCTAGGGTTGTTTGAATGTGACTTTTACTTTGTGTGCCCATTGCTAGAAAGCAGTTAATGAGTGGTTGAACTAAAGCTGAAACTTAAACTTGTGACTGGATTGCAGCAGGTTTTTGCATTAGCACTGTGAAATCGGACCATAGTGATGGAGGATAGGGAAGTTTAGAGAGAGGAGACACCCTCCGCAACATGTAGCCTGTCATATAGTCAAGATGTGTCTGAATTTCCCCAGGATGGGTTGGCCTCCTGGAATACCTCCTCAGTAAAGTTTTCACCACAAGCGAGCGGAGGAACCTGCCGGACCGCTTCGGGGATTCGCTCTTCCACCTGGTGGCCAAGACGACCGGCCCGTTCTCTCACGCCAAGACGGTCGTTGACATCTTGCGGAAGCACGTAGTGGACCCCTCCAGGAAGGACCGGCGGGGATACATGCCACTGGACGTTGTGCCCATGAGCAGCCCACACTACACTGAGATACGAAGATTGCTGACTGAGACTGCAGTGGCCTGGGAACAGTTTATGAGGCAGCAGAGGAACGAACAACAGTTTCAGCAACATTCGAGGAGTGTAAGATAAAACACTGTAATGGAGTTGGATCAATCTTTGTTATTTCTTATCATTGCCCAGTGATACCTTCAAGCATCATATTGTGAAACATGCTGGATATAAAACAGTCTCTGGAAAATTCTGTTTTAATGAAGTAGGCATGCTATTCAGCAACGTGCAACTTGACCGTGTATTAACTGCGAAGTGATAATGCCCGCTGTGTAAATCATGCACTGGCACCTGGATACATGACAGTTTAAACGATTCTGATTGGTCAAGAGTCTGCGTGCACGCAGCTCGCCACACACCTGCCAATTGAACAATTTGCACAAAGAAATATTCCATTAAGTGGATGGGGGTGTTCGGGAAAATGAAAGTAAAATTCTAGAATAAAATGCTGGAAATTCATCATATATTGACTTCTTTTGACTCTCTCTTTTAAAAGGTATTTATGAAAAAAGGTATTTATGAATGGGAATAAATATGTGCTTCGCCAGTCATAAATGTGCATTTAAGACTGGCTCAGGAGACTGAACGCCGATAATGTCCTCACCTGTGTCTCAGGTATTAGTCGCGTCCATTCTCTTTAGCTGCTTAAACGAACATTTAAGACTGCCAAATCACATATTTATTCCCTTAACAATGACCAATATCCTTTGCTTTGGTCCGGTTCTTGCTTGACTGTTCATGAACACAGACATCTCATAGCACACTTGATTTGTCATGCATCAGCTCTGAAAAAAATATCTTGACCGTGACTTGCAGATGCCTGGCCAGCGTTTTCCTGGCCCTCGCTTCTCACCACCAAACGCTGCCTTTCCTGGCAATCAGACGCGGCCCAGTCAGACTCGTTACTACCCGACAAGACCTCAGGCTAAGCCCCAGCCTTCACCTCCACCAAGCCCACAGTTCTTCGATCCCTCCCGAATTTTCAACACCCCGGTAAGAGGTAGCAGTAGCTGTGAATGAGTCTGAAAATTTGGAACTCTTGATATTGTTATTGTTGAGTCCAAAAACTCCAAAAAGGGTCTGAGCAGTACAGCTTTTGTTGGGGTGGGTAAACAATTTTAGAGCAAAAACGACAGATTCCACCCACTTACCCACCTCCGATAACAAATTTTTTTTTCATTTTAACATCAAATATTTCTGTTTTGTTTCAGTCAAGGCCAAGTGCCCCCGCACCATTCTTTGATCATTCCAAACTGTTTGCTGAACCTCAGGTAAGTAACAGGCAGTCGATATATTCAAACCCTGGAAAACTTTGAGTTTCTGTGTGCATTTATCTGAACAGATATCTGAAAACAATCCCCCAAAATTGAAACTCGCATGCACATTTGGAGTATGAAACCAGCCAGTCTGCTGTTTTCTACACTACCCTCCAAGACATTTGGAACATGATGAGTCAACAGATTTTGATTACTGCATGCTACTATTGTGCTATTCTTGTTAGTTGTCGGAGGTTTTCAGTAGTGAAATGATGTAGCATTTGTTTATGGCTTAGTTTGATTACATTGCGATGGCCTATCCCATCGTACGCGACGATGAAGCCCGGTGTCTAGCCACCTGTCGTTTCTCACAAAGTGTGATGTAGTCTTCTGAAGGGGTGGAAAAGCTGCTTGTACTGTAGAGCGCCAGTCTGCACATTCCTCTGCAGTAGTCTCCTTTGAGCTTGCTGGAATTTGGAATGCCCGCAGATCACGCTTGAGTGTGTCCTTGAAACGAAGTCTTGGATAACTTCACGGACGTGAGGCATTGGCCAACTCTCCATAGAAGATGTCTTCAGGGAGTCGGCCCTCGTCCAGTCTGCACCCTTGTCTGGCCCAGCGGAGGCGTCGAGCAGACAGCAGTGTGAACATGTCAACAATGCCAGTGAGCTCAAGGATGGCGGGGTACGAGACTCAATCTTGCCAGGATATACCGAGGATCGAACGTAGGCAGCGAAAATGAAAGGCATTCAGACAATGCTCCTGGCGGCGGTAGGTGGGCCATGACTCGCTACAATACAGTAGTACACTCAGTACCCATGCCACATAGACACAGATCTTGGAAAGGCGCGGTTGTCCCACACACTTGCTTGGAGCCGGCCAAAGGTGGTTGCTGCCTTAGCTTTTCTGGAGTCGAGCTCATCATCAAGGAAGTTTGTGTTGCTGAGAGATGGATCCGAGATAGGGAAACTTGCTGACCACTTTAACGACTGTACCATGGATGGTGACGGTAGGTGGGGCTGCAGGACCTTGCATCACCACTACGGTCTTATCAAGGTTGATCTCCATACCAAACTCTGAACGAGCCTTGAAGCTCAGTTGCAGAGTGAGTGACAGGGGCGGCATCATCAGCGTACAGTAGCTCCCAGAAGAGGGCAACAAAAGCACCTGAAGAGGGTGGCTTCCGCATTGCTGGTAGCTGAATACTGTGATGAACCATCATGATTGGTAGATGCAAAGTGCGAGAAAGAGAGAGCGAATGCTTTCCCAGGACAGACGCTCTCCTCTGGGCCTATCAGACACCAAGTCCTATGGAACGCGAAAGGCGCGACAGCAGGGGAGAATGAAGGCTACCCTGCAGTGGCAAACTAACTATGCCTGGTGACCCACTGCCGTTGACTCTGCAGGTGAGTTCCTCCCCTAGTCGGTCTACTGCAATATGCCAGCCGAGTTAAGTCTGTCATGATTGCAGCTGCCAGCCCCTGCTGCTGAACTGACAGGGTTTGGACTACCTTTTGTCTGACCTCTACCCTTCGACCTGTCTGACTTAGGTGACCCTTCTTGGAGTGCTAAACTCCCATCAGCATAGCTCTCGGGGTCACCAAGGTACACAAACTACTCCACCACGATAAGGTAGTAGCCCAGGAGAAGTTGATTACATTATGGTAATGGTATTCCCCAAAGTCGTTTGATTTTGCATAATTCGGTGTTCCACACCTGGAAATTGCACTAGTCACATTTCTTTATTAGGAGGTGATCTCGGGATAACAACAGGGATTGGGGCGTGTTAGTAGCATGACTGAATGTTGTTACTATGATCTTGGAGCACAGTGTTGTTACAAAGTCAGAGGTTTGAAAGGCCTAAAGCATTTTTCTCTGCCCTTATCTTGATCTGGACAATCTGAAGCTGACAGTAATGGCTAAAACTGGGGGGATTTCCTTAGAAACACGCCAGTCTGTGGTGGTTCTATGATCTGAAGGCTACAGCATTTCCGAAATAGCCAACAAACTGAATGTATATCTTTATGGAGTCCACACCTGCCTTGCAAGGAAAGCTGAGACTGGGTCAAATGTGGACAGAAAGAGATTCGGCCGGCAAAAGATTACCTCTAAAGCAGAAGATAAGCACACCAGTTTGCAGCCTGCATGACAGATATTTGACATGTCCAGAAATTACTTCAGAATTGAACAGCACATGTAAGCAAGCTGTTTCTTCATCCACAGTGCGGCATCGCCTCAAAGCTACAGGGTTGATGGGGTGAGTATCCACGAAGAAACCACTCCTCAAGAGAAAAAAAAAAGCAAGGTGAAAAGATATGCTTGGGCTAAACTGGACCAGAGAGCAATGGAAGAAGGTACTGTGGTCAGACATACCAAAACTTGAAGTACCGGTATTTGGCTGTAAGAGGCGGGTCTACATTCGATGAAGACCGGGGGAAAGGAGGAAATCTCAATGCATCAAACCCACAGTCAAACACAGAGGAGGAAGTGTAACGGTGTGGGGTTGATTTGGGGCAGGCAAAGTTGGCAATTTGTATCGAGTGGAAGGAATCCTCAACCAGCATGGGTACCAGAGTATTTTCCAACATCAAGCCATTCCCTCAGGACAACGTCTGAATGGTGCCAACTTTGTCATGCAACAAGACAATGACCCAAAGCATATGTCCAAGCTGTGCAAGTCATATTTGGAAAAGAAAGAGTCATAGACCGGCCTGCCCAGTCGCCAGATTTAAACCCAAAAGAGATGCTGGACTGTAAAGTAAGAGAGCGATGCCCAATGAGTCAAACGCATCTGTGGGAGCTTCTTCATAGGCATGGCAAGATATTTCACAGGATTGCCTGGAAAAATTGATGGATAGGATGTCAAGAGACTAGTAGTCAAACTAGTGCCATGGACTAGGAATAGTTGTTGAAAAACATGTATGGCATAAACTACCAAAATAGCATTTGCTGTTGTTAGCAGGCCCAAATGGGTTAATAATCATTGCATAAGCTAACACAGCTGTACAAGTAAGAAGTATTACATCATGAGAATGGATTTTACTGCTGAGATTGTGGAGCATTTCACCAGGATATTAACCCCTTCATACCAGGAGCCATCCACAGCTGCGGCTTTGTGTGAGGATTAGTGCATACCACACATACATACCATTCACCTACATACCATTCACCATGCGGCTGCTGGTTCAATGGGGCCTGCTGCTGGACAAAGCCCTCCATTCTGGGCATACCACAGCCCAGCAGTCACGGTCAAAAGAATCCCGGCATGAAGGGGTTAATAACACATGTGTTATCATAAAACAAACTGGTGGACTTGTCATGTTCCCAAACTTTTGGAGGGTAGTGTATATGATCTGTGACCTAAGATTCAGTGAATTCAAATATCCATTGAATGCAGCCCAGTGTTCCCTCTCACTGCAGTCTGGAAAGGGATTTTTAAAAAAGCGGTCACGTTGTTGGTATGCATATTTGTGTGAATGCAAATAAACGTGCATGCATGTCATCTATTACAAATTTTGAGAACTGCAACCAACAAGCATCTCTCTATTAATTTAGAAACTTTTAGAAATAAAGGTGCAAAATAATGACCAAATTCTGATACCCAAAATCTCAAATTGCACACCGGAAACTTTGAAAAAGGGAAGAAATGAAGACTAGGTAACTTTGTTGAAATTTATGATTGAAGGACATGCATTGTAACAATGCTTTTGACCAATCTCACAAAAGACCGCTAGCTTCATTATTGTCAGACAATTTAGGAAAGAAAACTCATTAACGTTGGCCCAGTGCCCTTTTGTTTCTGTCAAAGACTTGCAGCTGTTGAGAAAGTTGCTATGCAGTCGTAACCTGCTTTGGTCTTTCCCCAGCAGAAACCCACTTGGCAGCAGGAAGAGATGGTGAAGCAGAAGCAGAGGGAGGAACAGCAGAAGAAGGAACGGCTGAAGCAGGAGCGGCTCAGGAAAGAGGAGGAGCGAAAAAAGCAGGAAGAGTTGGAGGCAAGGAGGCAACAGCAGCTGGAGGAACAGCGGAGGCGGGAGATAGAGGAGCAGATACGGGCGAGGCTGATGATGGAGGAGCAGCGGAAGAGGGAAGATGAGCGCCGGCGACTGCAGGAGGAGCAGAAGCGTGAAGAGGAGCGCCGGCGACTACAGGAGGAGAAGAGACAGAAGGAGAAGGAACGTCAGGAGAAGTTGCGCCAGAAGCAGGAAGAGAAGAAGAGGAAAGAGAATCAGAAGAGGAAAGAGAGGAAGGAGTTGCAAAGGAAGAAGGGTAAGATTCCACCATGCTAGTGTACTGATCTTAGACAAACTGTTCTGATCTCAGAACAGAACTGTTGTCTCTTTGGTAATAAAATATGCTGGAGACAAGATGTAGGGAAAGATAGATGGATGCACACTGAGTGCTCTTCAAAGTCCGATGGAGCTTGTCTGTCAGGATTACTCATGTTCCGATCAATTCAGCTGCTAATTTGGGTCACTCTAAGAGGTCACATGGGAACTTTCTCAAAACTCTTTGTCAGTTGAAGCTCTTACTTCATCAGCAAGAAGCTCCCCATTTGTCCAGGACAATTTTGGACAAATTTTCTTTGGCAACTTGTCAACCGTGAAGGGCTGCTTACATTTGGCCTGAGGGCTCACAGTAAGTGACCGTACAAGAGTGGTTTGTGGTTTCCAAAGGCATTGGATTGCTCAACCTAAGCCATGTGAGACTCACCATGGTCTCACTTAGTTTTATTTTTAATTTAGCATAGTCGGAGAGAAGAGAAAAGCAATTTGCTCATCCATAATATACTGTACATGTATGTTTACTTCAGCATGTACGAAGTTCGTGAATTTGTTATTTTTTTCTTTCACTTCGTTTGTACATTTATAAAATAAAATAAGCCAAAGCTAAGAAAGCTAAGGCAGAGGAATATAGAATTCAAAAAAGAGATTGGCATATGGGATTTTTACTTTGAAACACTTATGAGCAGGAGAAACTGCTAGAAAATGTCTTGTCTGGGGAATGGTCTAAAGATGTAATCTTCGAACTGTGTATGAATATTGCAGTACAGTGGCAACAGCATAAGGGTTAACTACAGTAGCCGATTTCACGGAACGCTTCGTAACTTTGAACCATGCATAAGCCTCGTGCCACAAAGTTATGCTGTAGGTGCACAGTATGCTTTCGTTCAATTTCACAAACAGCTGTGTAGACGCGCCACCTTTTAATAATATTTGATTTCTTGGATGAAGACAAAAACGGCGTTTACGATGGCTCTTCTTTTCCAATATAACAGCAGTCATGAAACAGTCGTCGAATCACATCCGCCTGCCATTTTGAACTGGACAAAACGTTTCGCAGTTTTCTCACAGCCAAACAAGTTTGTTATTACCTTCTGGAACAAAGTTTGTTTTTGATATAATCCTTAAAAAGTTCAGCAATGATGAGGCTTAACCGGACCCGATAAGCAAGTCAAATCCTTCATTTTTGCTTCGTTTGATGCAACTTTACACCACCTAAAATGACTGCAGAAGTTATGCAGTAATTTGTTGCATAAGTTGTGGACTTACGTAGTGTGTAAGTTTCATGAAATCAGTCTTTATTTGTTGCACAACTTAAGCAATAAAACGTGGCGTAAGTGGAGTTATGCCATTGCGTAAAGTTTCGTGAAATTGGCTGCAGGTGTACATTGATAGTGGCTAGCCTGGCCCAAAACACAAACCTCAGTTGAGGAGACTTGTGTATTGCAAACTGATGCAGGAAGATTACTGGAAGTTCAGAATAGTGCAGCTCTTACCACAACAATGTCCAAACCTTGTCCCGAACCTACATGCATTTGAGATGGCTCGCTCCATAGGATCATCTCAGGAGACTAGTTTGGATCAACTTAGAAGGTTCGGTAGGATAATCTCTTGAAGCTAGTTTGGATCACTCCAGGAAGCTAGTTAGGATCATTTCAGCAGGATAGTTAGGAGGTTGGTTAGAATCGTGAGGTGTTTTTGTAGGATAACCTCGGGATGCTGGTTGGGATCTCCTCGAGGCCAGTTTAGATCGCTTGAGCTAGCTGGTTATGATTACCCTTGGGGGCTGGTTAGGATCACCTCAGAAGGCTTCTTTTTATCACCTCCGAGTGTATTTTGGATCACCATGTTGTCTTTCAACATTCTAAATATAAACTGCTCCATGGATCATTTCAGCAGGCTAGTTTGGATCTCATCAGAGTCTAGTTTGGATCACCTTGGTGATCAATTTATTCTTCAACTATATTAAAGTTACTTGATGGATCACCCCAGGATGCTACTTTGGATCCACAGGAGGCTTTGGTTGAATCCCCGTGGTGATGTGCTAAGTATTCTACTTTAAAAATACGGAGTGGATTATCTTTGAGGCCAATTTCACAATTTGACTTGAAGCAATTGGCTGGATGATCGAATGGGTATCATGGGCTCCGAACAGAGAATGTTGTTTGTTTTCTGAGCAGAGGCTGAGGCCAAGCTCAGCACGTACCAGAAAGGCCTGATGTTCCAGAAGCAAGGCAAGCATGACCAGGCCGTGCCACTGTTCCTGGAGTTCATCGGCAAGGAGCACAGGAACCAAGTGATTTACCGGGACGTGGATCGCTGCAAGGATGCCTTGGTGGAGTCACTGGAACATTGCCAAGGTAAGAAGTGGAGAGCGTGAATTGAGAAATTGAAGAATTGATCCTGACCCCTTAAGGGGGAAACTTGAAACATTTTAACAGATCCAAAATGAAGTGTGTATAAAACCAGTTAAACCATGTTGTGGTATGATTTTGCAAGTAAGAGTTATTGAGAAATTTTAAAGCATTTGCACAGTGCCATGAATACTAGAATGAGGTTGGCAGAAGACAATGCTTGCTTGTTGATCTGTGCTTTCACGGCTCCAACCCAGCTGCATGCCGGTGTTGATATACCCAAAAAATCCACCATCTGAACTTGATTCCTGCATAAAACAAATCAATTGTAAAAATTACATCACACTGCACTTATGAGTGAATGAGTCATCTAATACATTAGACTTGTAGGTTTGTGTGGTGGATATGAAAAAGCATGGAAGGTTTGCAATAACACTATAGACATTGATGTTTTTTGTTTCTTGAGAGTTGTGTGGTTCTGAGAAGAATCAGTCATGAATTTAACTTCCATGGTGTTACTGCAGACCTTCCATCCTTTGAACTTCAAGTAAATGATACACTTGTAAAACACTGATGAATGGTTTCTTACTAAAGTTTCATTCCATTGGTTCAAAGAAAGGAACTCTAAAAAGAGACCAACTGCGGGTGCATTAACCCAAGTCTCCACATTCCCAGGATTGTGGACCAAGGTTTATCGGTGGGCCAACCGGCCTTGATGTCTGTATGGTACTTGACTCTCAAAGATACTCAAAGGTGCAACCTGTTCAACTTTGTCTGTAGAATGCCAACATTTTGACAGTCTGCGTTAAATATTCCTGTCTTGTCTAATGCTTTTGTTGCAGAGATTCCAGACTCAGTCAAGTGCGAGGCTCCGCCGACCTACTGGAACACGACGGTGCAGGAGTTGGCGGACAAGAACAAGTGGTGGAGCCTCTTCCTGCTGCTGGTGGGAGGGAGTTACAGCATCAACCGGAACAGCATGGGTATCGCCCATGGCTGCGACGCCTCAGGGGTGTCCATCATGGCATTCCTGAACCAGTGGGAGGGTATGAACATGGCCCCTGGACGACTGACCATGGTGAAGGCCCTGCTAGAGGTTAATACTGACCCCTTTCATGCTAAATACTCATATAAGTGTGTACAAGCTATGTTTTGCTTAAAATGTCTCAGCTTCATAGATGGAAGCGATTGGTAAACCATTAGCTAGTCTCGAGGTTCTTGTAAGCCAGATATATGAAAATGAGGACATATGAATATAAATTTTGTCCAAGATGAAGAGGCTGTTGTTCATGTGTCAATTCATTGGTTCTCAGTAGACATGATTCAGAGCGCCACCAAACTTTTGCCTCAAAGTGACATCTGTTTGGCTTTATGGTGAACAGCTTATGGTTTTTTCACTAGCCTTCGGGAGCATACACCGAGTATACATTGTTAAAATACACGTTGGGCAGGGCAAACATCAGAAATTAATTTACACCTCCCCGGCGCAAATCCATCTTTGAAATGACCTTCCATGTATACCACCAACCAGTTAATCATCTGTTTATATGTAGTAACACACCGACACAAAGCATTTGGGAGGCCTGGAAATGAGCTGTTCACACTTGAGCCAGAGACAAACCGGTCCGAGTTCCTGCTGGAAAGGAGTGCAATTTCACTTGTAGATGTTAACCTTTTCTGTTATGTCACTAAAACAACGGCCTGTCCGTGATGAGCTCTTCCAAGACACTGTGCTGGTAATTGATTTCGTCGGCATTCACTGCTCAGAGGCATGTCTTTAAATGGGGTCAAGATTTACCTGGAAGTTAACATTCAAAGAATGTGCCATTGAGTTCCTGTAAAGCAAAGGATTTAGCAGGATTCGGGTAGGTTCCTAGAGAGCATGCCTCGGGAGCTAGGGTTTAAAAATCTAGTGTCTGTCTTTGCCTTTTCAGGCTGCCGTGTTTCAAATCCCTACTTTTTGAGACTATAACCAAGGTTTGTGTTGCATTCGGTCCCCAGAATAAGGCCAAGCCTGATGGCCTGCTGAATGACTCCATAACCCCGCTGGCCCACTGTCTGAAGACAGAGAACTACGAGTTGGTCAACCTGCTACTTACACACGGAGCATCACCCAAGCTGCTGGTCATGGACCCCGGCGACACCCCATTCCATTCTGCGCTGAAGATCGGTTTCAAACAGGACGGTAAGTGGCAGCCAAGACTGTTAGTACCATCCGACTACCTACAAGTTAGGGAGTGCAGCATTAATCAAGCCCACAGGTCAACTGTTCTACGTCTGGATTCTTGTTTCTTTCCATAGACTGACTTTAGCTTGCTGATGAGTTTGTTAAAAATCCAGCTCTTGCAGACGGTATTGTTTGGCCTGGAAATACCGTTTCGAACAAGCCACGATATATCAGTCAAATTTTAAAATTAAGCCAAAATGCCACAAGTACTGTTATGGACTCTGCAGATTTATTTATACCATAATACTTGTCTGCCCTGCTGTGGAGCAATACATGTATTTGTCAATAGGACTGCCTGGGTACAACCAGCCAAGCATAGTACACGTATGCCACAATCCACATCCACAGACTTGTGAGACATTCTGGGTTCGTACTTGGTATTAGTTTGATAGCAAAAACCATCAGGTGCCCCTTCCAAGTGTGCATTTTCAGATCCTTCATGCGTCTTCTGGTTTGAACTTGCTAATTTCTGAATTGGTTGCAAGGTTGAGCTATGATACAGGCCCAGTTGTGGCAATTGCTTCTGCAAGACACTGGCACTGTGGGTGTGCACATAGCGTAATTGTCAGCTGACAGTGTTTGACCAATCAGTAGCCTTGGTTTTGCAGGCACTTAGAGAATTGGCATACTTTTACTACTAGTCAAGGTCTCATCTAGCAACCTGTCCACCGATCTTATGGACAGGTGGTATGTGATTTTGGATAGGCACTTTGTGAAATGGACGATAAAATACGACAGGAGGAACTTTGTAAAATGAACAATAAAAATGGCATTTAGACTTTTTAGTAAATTTTTTTATATACTTGGAGCAACTAAGTTGTATTTTTGTTTGGAAAGCAGAAAAAATGCCTCGTAAACCGACCGACAAACCAACCAACCAACTGGCTGGCCATGCGTTGTGCTGAGTTGTTTACCTGCCTGTGCTTCATGTAGACGAAGTACATGCAGACTTGAACTACATGATGCCCAACTGACCTAGTGCCCGCAACCGCTTTGTGTGTACGTGCGCAGCAGTACAGATGCAGATGTATTAGACAGATTTAGTACCTGTCAAATAGCCCACTGTATTTCTATTTGCTAGTCTGGGAACCAGCCTACTATTTCCATCACATCGCATTTATGCGGCTGCGATATAGTATTCGTGGATTGCAAAGGGCAAAGTCTTTAAAACTGCACCATTGGGAGGATGGGCTGTGTTGGAAATCCTAGATGTAACCCTGGTGCCAATGAGATTGATTTGATTCCATTGCTTTTGACGCTGTTTTCTTGGTGCACTCTCTATCATGGATGCTCTTGGCAGATCGCAAGTTCGCTATACTGGACCTCCTCCTGACCAAGTACTCTGCGGATCCCACGGCTGCTACCTACCTGGACAAGAACGCCCGAGACCGGGCAGGGAACACCTTGTTCCACCTGGCCCTCACGGGTGGGTCGAAGAACCAGTCGCTCAATGCCGTCAAGATCCTGAGCCAGCACAAGGTCAACCCCTGGTTGCGAGACCATGGAGGTAGGGTACCACTCAGGATGGTGACTAACAAAGACCGGCGGTACATGTATCTGGCAGAGGCTGCTAAGTACTACGACGCGGCAAGCGAGTCTATTCCCAGTGTACCCAGAGGTAAGAGAAATTAGGGACAGCATTAAGACTAATTACAGGCCAATCATAAGTCAGTCTCTTGTCAGTCACTAGTCAGTCACTAGTCAGTCACTAGTCAGTCACTAGTCAGTCACTAGTCAGTCTCTTGTCAGTCACTAGTCAGTCACTAGTCAGTCTCTTGTCAGTCACCAGTCAGTCACTAGTCAGTCACTAGTCAGTCATTAGTCAATTACCAGTCAATTGCTTTCCACTCTCTAGTCAATCCTAATTCGATTACAAGCCAGTCACTAGTCAATCAGAAGTCAGTTACATTTCAATTAAAAAAAAATCACTAGTCAATCAATGATCAGGTAAAAATCAATCATAAATCAATCGGTGGCAAATCACTAGTAATCACAAGCTATTTCAAATTGATCAGGTTCTAGTTGAGTCACATCCTTTCAAATGAACTACAACATAAATGTGTTTATGCAAATTCTATGACTTTGTGCTTTCTCTGTCAAGGGGACAACCAGGGCAGCTCCTCAGATGGTATCCGTGTCTCAGGCGTCCCCAACAATTGGTCGGAGAGAGACCGGGAGTCTGGACAGGAAGGCCGCCAGCAACCGACGACGGCACGGCCGACCGAGCGCATGCCCCAGAGGGAGAAGCTGCGACGTGAGCTGGAGCAGCTGCTCGGTGCCCTGCCCATGTATGTGCCACAGCAGGCGGAGCTTGAAGACACGGTGGAGACCCACGGAGAGCCACTGACCTCACCACCAAGAATCAGCTCACGGCAGAAGGAACCCGAGGAAATCCTGAAACAGGGTGTTGAAGATGAAGGTGAGAAAAGATATACAAAGTGGTCCATGTGTTTAAAAGCGGCTGCCAGTCATGCAGTGATGAGGCAGGCTCATTTTCAGTGAGAAAGTGAACTGCAGTTTGATGTTTCCAAGACGCTTGCTGCAATAAGAGATACCTCCGCCTTGTTTGATTTCCCAATGCGCACATTTCCAGCAACGTCACAAAGTTCCATTTGTGTTTGCTTTTGTGCCGTGTGCAAATCAGCCTTCACCCATCGTAGGGGTTCATTATGTGCAACGCGAAATGGATCAAGTCTGATATGTAATAATGCCTCAGGCAAGTATTGTTCCAAACAATGATGCACTTGTCAGTTGTATAAAGAGAAATCTTTGCAAACGGTTGGATTAGCACCATTACCATACGCAACCATTCAGCAAAAAGAACGGAAAAAAGCCAGCTTAAATATCCATTTCAATTACAAAATTTTAGATGTTTTACAGTGATCATTTTGACCGAGCCTTTGTGACATTGTCAGGTGATGCTGCATCACTTCACTAAATATGTACATTCTGTCCACACGAGATGTCAAATTTGTGATGCAGGGGGCCATAAATGCTTTAATTCTTTGTCAATAATCTTTCAGAAGGAAAAATTGCTGAAGAAGCGCACAGAAATACTGAAAGACACGGTTTCTCCCAATGCTAGTGTCTACACACCATTGTCTTTCTGCTGATGCTGTGGTCTTTGTGTCTACATTTGCACGATGGCATGTGCAGCAGACGGCCGTCGAACAGGAAATAACTTTTTGCTGCTTCTGTGTTTACAGGAGAAAAGATCGATGAGGCTGATGAGGAGATGGAGGATGAAGAGGACGAAGATGAGGAAATGGAGGCCATCGATGCAACCATCTTTGATGACCTCACCTGGGAGGTTGAATGCACAGCAAAGGTAAGAGCCAGAGACATGTCCTCATATAACATGTAAGGACATGAAAATTGACAAGTTTTATAAGAAGATCTTGTGTAAGGTTACGCATATGTGAAGACATCAATATGAGGAATTCAATGCAAGGACATATTACCTATCCCTTATTGAATGTGAGGACAGGGTCTGCACATTCTCATATTAATGTTAACAGGTACTCCGTCTTTAGTTGCATTTGACATTTTGCATGAATGTGAAGACAGGTAACCTGTCCTCACATCAAGTATCTGAGGACTTGCAATCTGCCCTCATATCCAGTCTGAATACAAGGGTAACAGTTTGGCCGGCAGCGCTTCATTATTGACCGTTCCTGTTTCTTGGGTCCCAACAAGGTGTGGAAGTTCCTGCATGACAGGCAGGTTCCCCATAAGCTGAAGGAGACGGCCATCCGCAAGATCCAGATGCTGGGCAGTGGGGACTGGCGAGGGCGGCTCTGCAAACCCCTGGAGGGACAGCCCAAGCAGCACAACATGAAGCTGTACGAGGCCCGACTGACCAAAGGCGGGCGCATCCTGTGGGAAGTGGCCATTGCGTTCTCACCACGCTGCAGCGAGGAATCGGAAAAGAGACTGGGGTCAGGTATGGACAAATCGTAGCTGCTTCCCCCTCCCCAGGAATTTCACAGACATGGAGCATTACTTTAGGTCAGCTCGTTCCCTGTTTTGTTACTTCAGCGAATGCCACTGAATTAACACTCAACTACGTCATATGGGTAATTTGGAATACGCTGATTTTTTTTACTTACTATTTGCAGGCCTGGTTTCAGGAACTAGTTGTGTCAGTCTGTACCATTTCTAGCAAGAGAACTCAATTCACAGCAGTGTGCAGTGTGTGCAGTGTGAGGGGGCAAATGGCACTATCTTTGACCGTGGTTTAACAATGTGTTATGTGCCATTCATCCTTTTCCACTGGAAAATCGTAAAGTGTTATCAAGCGGGTCTGAACAGTGTGAATTCTGCAGGAAAGGATTTCACACAGAGTCCCTTTGAAACTGCTTCAGGTGTTTGGGCTAATGGGAGTATGGAATCGTCCAGCTCTTAGTCTAGGTTTTTGGCTCATGACTTGGTTAAGAAAATTCTAATGTTGTCAGAAAATCCCTTGACCCTCCGGATATTCATATATGTGTGCTTTTGTGGAATGTTGTTCATTTAACTGCATTTTCAGGAGATGGCACTTCAGAAGACACAGCAGTGGCTGGAGGACGAGTCTACTCGGAGATTATCCGCATATGGGACATTTTCACAGACCATAATAAACTGAGCCATGCCATTGATGTCATTGTCAAGTCTGTGGAGCGTGGAGAGGAGTGTATCATCCGCAAGAACCTTGTTGGAATCAGCAAGAAGTCCACAACAGGTTAGACTCCATTCCAGTGTGCCTTGCAGTCGTGTATGCCTTGCGCACATACTATTGAGGGCAGCACGCGGCCCAAATCCAAGAGTTGAGCCAGCCACACGTGTGGTGTCAAAACCTATTCACTGCAAAATTAATGCACTTAAAACCGGAGTGTATGATTATTCGCCTGACTTCAGTTTCACAACCTTTCATAGCTTATACAGTAATACCAGTTTTCAGGCAGAAGCCTGATTGGAGGCTTTGTCATTAATATGCAGGACTCATGTCAGGCTTTGACATAGGCTTCCCTGGCCTAAGCTCGAGGCTCTGGACAACTTGTCAAATGTAACATGTATTCTGTGAAATCCTTCACGAAAGCCATCATTGCCACAGCTATTGCATACTTATCTTGTACCGTCTGGCCGTAGTTAGAATTGCTTGATAAAATTGGGTTGAAAATCCTTCAGGTGGTTTCAGGTGGACAGGAAGTAAATTGCAGGGCAGTTTTTTTGGGGGGGTGTAGGTAGAAGGACTGAATGATTCATATATTTGGTCGAGATTTTATGGAATGTTAATTGTATCGTATTCTAGAAATGTGTTCTGTTAACCTTGTGCTCTGTCTCATTCTCCAAATGATGTCACTATTCACTTTGCATGACTGGCTCATACTTTAGTAGTCCAGGGTTAAAGGTCAGCCACAAACTCTTAGAATTCCAAGCTAATCTCTTGATATGCAAATGGCACCCCCGATTCACTCCATTTAGAATCATTGCTGATAATGTTAAGGTGTTGCATCCTCCAAGGCCCTTTATGTGTCGGGTATTTGCCCTGAGTTGAAGCCACCCTCAGTGTAGACTTGAATCAAGTTGGACTTACATTGCTTTTCACAAGTCAGCCATCCCTTCAGCCTGTACGCGCTACACGGTCATGCTCGGCCCGGCAGCTCACATTATCCTTATAAGGCACCCTCATTTGATAGCCTTTATGGATGTATGTCATACGCCACCAGTCAGTAAGTCCGACTTGATGGATAAGCCAATCGGACCTCCGTCGGTGATATAAAGTTATTCATAATTGCGTATGAACGACATGAACTTGCATTATGTGTACGGAATTTCCACCAATCAAAGTAGTCGTTCATTATACTGCAGGCATGAACAACGTAAAAACAAGTCCGCCAATGTGATTGGCTGCTACCGCTTTTCAAATGAGTTAGTGCATGTGCTAGAGCACATGTATAGACAATACATTCAAACAGAAATTGGTCACACATGTTCAGTGCGTCCTGTGCCGGTGCCGTTGCACATAAGCCTGTGCACTCACAGTACCAAAGGACCGTCGTTAAACATGCCTTCTCTTGTTCCCGCTTGAAGCTGATTTGGCATATCTGGCTTATGGCCCCGAAATAACACCAAGAGAGCTAGGGGTAAAATGTTAAAGCCGACATCAAAGCATTTTCCTTGTATTGACTGGGCAGGAGTCATAATGACACTTCGTCTGCCGACTTACTTCCGCGAGATCACTGGCAACTCCCCGGACCGCAACTCCAGGCCTGTGGACAATGCTAAGAAGATCCCCCAGCCCTACTTCCCTCCTGCCAGCTCCCGGGAGAATGAGTACCACATCATGAAGTTCTACTCGGTCAACTCCACGCTGGTCAATGCCATGCTGAACGACAACGACGTCAAGGTGGACTTCCCGTTCCGTGTGACGGAGCTGGAGCACGCCATCATCAACCTGCAGCCTCGGCCCGCCTCCTCCATCCTGCTGCTGGGAAGGAGCGGAACAGGTGACGTGTTTGAGATCCTGGTGTAAATTCGCTCAGAGACTTTGCTAGACCAGTTCAAATAAAGGGAGGTGCAATCTCCCATTTTAGTCAGTGGCTTTGCCAGGAAAATATGCGGCAAGAAAAATTTGCCGCAGACATTCCAACTTGTGACACTAGGTGCCGTTCACAGTGACCTCCAGGAAGGCATTTCTTTAATGTTGTTTGCAAGAATGTTAGAAATTGGTTATAACCCCCCCCCCTGGATGTTCATGGTCACATTTAGCTCACGTTAGTCAGCAATGTGACTGTCAGTCCTACATACTGATGGTAATAGTCAAATGGCAATTGTGATTGGTAGTTTTAAAAATTTAGATACCCGATCTTTTTTTTGTGCTCATTTTAGCCTAGTGCTGGTAGTTACTTCATCATTTATGCAATTGTGGCAGTTACTGAAGCCATTCATTTGAGTTACCTGCAAAAGGCAAAAGATAGTGATTCAAGATTAACGTCAAATAAAATTCTCCTAGCAAAACCCAACTGTAATAATCAAAATAAGCTGTGTCTTCTAATCCTTTGCTAAGCATGCAAATCTTAAATACAATTTTTGTCTCAAAATTCTCAACAGCACGTTTTTGAAGTTTCGACAAAACGCAAGGCACAACTTTACAGTTCGTTTGTACATGTACATATGCATATGCTGAGCACTAGCACCGGTTCGACATAACTCGTGATCAATTTTTCGTCGGGTTTTCTTTCTTTCTTTTTAACATGTTTTCTTGCATGCATTCTATGCGCTATCAATGCCATACCATATTAAAGCCAAGCATCCGAACCGACCAGTTTGGTTCGGTTCAAAAGTGCCATGTTCGATGATTTTTGGTTCGGTTCGGCTGCAGCACTACTTTGTTGTCAGAATGATGCCCTTATTTGGAGGGCGGATCAAAGTATGCACTAAATTTGGTTGTCAGAATTCTGCTCTCTTATTAGGAAGGAAAAAATGGGTTTTATTTTTAAAAATCTGGGATTTGCCCCCCAAAAATTTACTCGTATAAAAAATAATTTACTCTGTCATCCCTGAAATTTTTTCTTTAAAAATCTGTGCACCAACTCTTATAAAAGGCCTCTGTTAGGTTGCCTTCCAGCTTTTTTTGTTCTTTGTTTTTCAATTCATTCCATTCAATCAATATGTACTTTTTATTAGAGGAGACTACACTTCAAACTTGATGCAAGCTTCCATAATCCTTTAAAGCAATGAGTGTCAAATTTTTGAAGTCGAGTTTCCCCAGCATACATACATAAAAACATTTCGCTTTCAGGTCTGACCATTACAGTGTACACGTACTCAATGTACATGTACTGTGCACTATGCAGTGCAAGTGGTGGTTCTGGAAAAGTAGATATGGCAGAAGTTCAGACTGGCCACCCACAGTGTGTTGATGGATGGTGTAATGGATAGTAGATAAGGACACCTTCCCTGGGATGAAGACATACAAGGAAATCCTGGTTGCAGAGGGGGCCAGATTTTTAAAAGAGAAATGCACCTCATGTCCAAACACACTGGATCAACAGATTTTGTGCATGGTGATTGGCCAATGCATTGCAAACTCTTGGAGGCGCACTATTGAAAAATGCCTGTATTAGTTCAAGAAAGTCTCGACTCTTATTTTTCTAATGAATTGTATCTGGCTAATTTGCAGTTCACCACAAATCTTACTTTAAGTATTTTCCAAAGGTTCTTGGAAATGCTATTTACAAGTTGGCTTGAAACGCAAAGACACAACAGTCATTTGTTGACAGTTTTGTTGTTATTTGGTATGTTGCAGGCAAGACCACATGTTGCCTGTACCGCATGTGGACCAAATTCTTCAAATATTGGCAGCAGGTTTCCATGACCGGGGAACCACTGATCCCGAGGGACATTGCCTTCATACACCAGGACAAGCCAGACGAAGACCAAGGTGCGAAAATCTGCACTTAATACCTTCCATGTACCTTGGTAGATCATCTTAAAGAAAAAAATTAGATTGCTGATCTGCCAACCTTTTTAGGGAGAGGGCCAAATTGTAAATATTTTAGTTTTTCTGCACCAAACTTGCACTCACTCCATTGGCAGTACAGATAAGAAAATACAAGTAAAGAATTTACCATGGACCGTTTGACTACTCAGCCAGAAAAAGCATAGTATCCCAACTATCACTGACGTCTAGACCAGTTTTACTGCTTATCAACTCATTGGGACAGAAGAGTGTCTGACCTTGCTGTAGTTGTGAATTTTTTTACTATAACAGGGTGCATAAAATGAAATTCTCCAGTTTGATTGTTCATGTTTTATCACAGATGAAAGTGACTCTGAAACGGACAGCAGCAGTGCATCCAACAAGCCAAGCAGGGCTGACGTCCGCATGGATTTCCGCCGTGATTCTTGCAACTCGAAGAGCGTCGAGTCCAGTGGGACAGGTCCCTTCAACGACGAAGGCGACACTAATATGGAGATGATCATGGACCATCTGCACCAGATCTTTGTCACTAAGAATGCAGTGCTGTGTAGCGAGGTGCAGCGCAACTTCTGCAACATGAGCCACGCCTGCGAGTTTGCGCACGACCCACTGGCCCAACAGGACACGCCCATCCCCCACCGGTTCCAGGACGCCCACCAGGCCCGGTTCCCATTGTTCCTAAGTTCTCGCCAGTTCCTGCTGATTTTGGACGCTTCCTTGCCCAATTCATATTTCCCCCGAGACGCCGATGGATCGCTGAAGAGAAAGATACGAGGGTGGGATGAAGGTAAAAAATATCAGGTTACCTTAAGGCTCTATGATTTGAATTGTTCTTTGAAATTAATATATCTTTTCCACAGAGTTTTGTTAAAATAATGAAATCCTCTTTGTGTGCACCTTTTGTCCTAATTGAACCCAGTAGACACTCGAGGCTCTATCAACCTGTTAATTTTCTAAAACAGCATTACAAAGATCACTGAGGCAGTTTGTATTGATAGGGGTGATGTCTCTTCTTTTTTTTTTCAAACAAGCATTTTTCAGCTGACAACAATCCTGTGGTTGGAGTCTGTTCATTGTGAAGTAATCCCAACTCGAAGTGGTTCAAATCGACCAAATTGTTAAAAACAGTTACTGGAGGAAATTTAAACTCTGGTCTCCTTAAATGCCAAAGCAGCTTTAACCACTTCGTGCCGGGGCATTTTTCAATGTTGATGATGCTGGGCCGGTATGACTATCATTTTTCCGTTTTCAAAATCCTTCAAAAATTCATCATTCCATTTAACGGTCGTTTATAGCCGCACAAAGTAATCTTTAGGCACTACTCTAAGTTGACAGGTGACCTTCATTGACGCCCGATTATTTCAGCCAGGCCTGCAGCCTTGTAAACAGAGCCCAGATCGTGCAGTGTTATACAACTGTCTTTTGTTCAGGAACCTGGCTCAGTGCACCGCTGACCTCTTTTCAATAGGGGACAGATTGGGTGCCATTGGGTGTTGAACCTAGAAACCTTGAACTTTGAACTTTTGTCCTTCCTTTAGAGGACGGACCTTTGACCTTTATCCCCCTTATCGACGAAGAGGATGATGAGGAGGAAGGTCTTGCCCCTGCCGTTCCTGATGAAGACACAACACAAGAGGGCGCCCTCACTGACAATACTAACCCCCACGGGCAGCATGAGGCCCAGGGGCCTGCCGCGGCACAGAAGGCACGGTATGACCCGCGGCGCGAGGTCACTTACGAGGTCTTTGCCTTTGAGCTCTGGCCCCGCATCAACAAGAAGAAGTTGCCGTACCACTCCACACTTGTCTGGATGGAGATAACGTCGTTCATTAAGGGTGAGTAGGGTTTTGGGAGGTTACTTTTTCTGCAAACAGAGCAACATTTTTGTTAAGTTATCTGTTTTTAAGCACAATTTCTGCAGCTGTGTCTCAAATTTTTGCTTTAATTTTTACTTTCAATCTCTGATATCCCTTAGAATGACCCGTTTATACAGCAGTTGCTTCTTAATGCTCCCAAGTGGGGAAATTGTGAAGGCAGAATTAATTATGCTATAAAAAAGAGAACTTTACAAATGGTAGAAACAGCAGAACCAAATAAATCATTCTTTAGGGGCCTGTGCGTTTCAATTTGGGGTGGGTGGGTTAAACTGCTGTCGATATCTGTAGGCGTCTTTTGCACATTTGAAATTTAAACTGAATTCAGCACACAGTTCATGTACACTGTCTAAAATGTAGACATTTGAAACCTAACTCAGGTCAACTGATTATATTCAACTTGCCGATTGCTTGGGTTGGAATTCAGGTGAATCATGCGTCTTTTTCTTCTATTCTTTAGGATCAGTTGAAGCACTCCATACAGATTCTGGTTATCTGTCTCTGGACAGCTACTTGGCACTCGGCCAAAAGAGGGCCTCCAATTTCACTGCTGATAGAGAAGAGATCTACAGTCTCTTCAAGACCTACGAGGTCTGTGACATCTTGTGCAAGCTCTTTTACTTAAAAAGCAAAATGATCAACTGTTTTTGGTAATTCAGTTTTTCACAAAATAGTTCCAATTCGTTTTACCTTTTTGATTGTGGTCTAGGAAGACCACGTTACAGGAGACCTGCCATCGGTGTACAAATGCACTGCTTTCTTAATTCACAGTGCATCACGGAAAAAGATGCGACATCTTTTTTAGATATTGCCATGAATGTTATTTTGCTCTAGTTGAAAAAGACTCTGTATAATTATTTTGTACATGTGTTGTTTGTTTGGAATAATTTTCTGTGAGTGACCACAGTTTTCATTCACTTGGCATCTAAATCCATTTACGAGAGTGATTGTTGCCACATGTAAACTGAAGATTGTTAACTGCAAAAGCGTGTGCGCTAGAAGTCAATCAAGAAGTTAGAAAATGAATTTTTTTTTAGGTAAATACTCAGTGATGAACTGCATCAGGAGTCCACTGTGCAGCGCCCTCAATTGTTCCCGCACCAACCTTATGGCCTTTTTTCCAAAATGTGGTTTCGTCCGTCTTTGGCTCATGTCAAGCTCCACATTCGGTTTCAAGCATGTACTCACTGAACCAAATAGTAACCCATAAAGACAAATTTTGAAGACAAATTTTGAAAACCAGGAACTACCATTAGATCTGGTGGCTGTTGGTAACCTATTGCATGGACAAGGGGCCTAAAGCATAAAAGATATGTAAACACAGCAAACTGCAGTGGCCTGCATTGTTTTATATAAGAATGTCGAGCTGTGTTGAGCTTTATGATGTGAGCTCCGGGGACTGAGAATGAAGGTAAACCCCAAAGTTGGAGTACCCCATAAATACACGTCTTGGGGAGACACTTTGAAAATTCTGTCAATTTTCTCATTTTTCCACTCTGAACTGTCTTTGATTCAGCACGTGAAGAGTCAGAAGAATCTCTTTGATGAGGGGGACCTGGTGTTTCATGTCTACCGTCGCTTGCGCGACGTTCGGACTTTAGACTGGGTGCTGCATGAGATCTACGTGGATGAGACACAGGACTTCACACAGGCAGAGCTGGCTCTCTTCATACGCTGCTCGCATGACCCCAATTCACTTTTTCTGACTGGTAAACGCTGAAACACAAACATTCACCCAGTCTGTATTTTAATTTTTTTTTCTAAGAGCACTTGATGAGAGCACCTTTTCATACTGGAGGAAATTGAAAATTTTAGATGCAAACTTCACTTTAAAACCTATTAATTGGAAATCATCATTCCTGTAATTTGTGGGGAAATGACAGCACCCCACTTAACTGGTGAATTTTTGTGTGTGAACTCTGCCCATATGTTGTTTCCTGACTTCTGAATGTATTATTGCCGTGATGTCTCTCAACAATTACAAGATCATATATGTAAATTAGGAAGCTGCAATGTTCCACTTGTTATTGGGTGTTTAAAAATAATTTGTAGACTGGTTATCTTCCAGCTGTAAAGATAGCACCACTGTCATGCTCATGAACATCAGAATTCCAATTTGAGCACTTTCAGCCATGTGATAGGTAGGTTACACACCCCTCGGACTGTTCAGCTTTGACTTAATACCATACTTGACTTTTCAATATAATATTTTTCTCTGGCTTTTGTAGGAGACACTGCGCAGAGCATCATGCGTGGAGTGGCATTCCGCTTCGATGATCTGAAATCCCTCTTTCACTACGCCAGCAAATCCGTCAAGGCCCTGGGCAAGCACTCAGCTGTGACTGTGCCCAAGAGAGTTTACCAACTCACACACAACTACAGGTCGCATGCCGGTAAGAATTGGTCAGTCCACTTGGTCTACAAGCACCCCCCCCCATCTGGCTAATTAGAAAGGAGTGGATGGTCGACAATTTACACTGTGCACCCAACTCCCACGTGAAGAGCACAGACTCCAGTGAAGATTAGTCATGCGTGTTCTGTACCGTACACATGCCAACCTGCTTAGATACACAGTGTCTGATAAGTTCCGCATTGACCTCTGGACTCTTGACCTTTCACGCAGGGATCCTGAACCTGGCCTCCACCATCGTGGACCTGATGACCCACTTCTTCCCAAACTCCTTTGACCGTCTGGAGCGGGACCAGGGCCTGTTCCACGGCCCTTCCCCGGTGCTACTGGAGTCCTGCAGCTTCAGCGACCTGGCTCTGCTATTGTGCGGCAACAAGAGGAAGACGTCAGAGATCGAGTTTGGGGCACACCAGGTCAGTACAGTGCCCAGAAATTTACTCCATCTCTCCCAGGTGCTTTTGAAAATCCCCCGGGAGGCTTTGGAAGGTTTTACAGGATTAAGCAACGTAGAACCCGGCCTTTGGTTCTTTACACAGGGCTTGATGATTCTTGAATGTTAAAGTTGCAGAGAGTGTACCATTGTTTCATGTACTCAGGAGGATTTGGGGCAGTTTTTTTTTTGCATGAGATTTTGAGAAATGAAGGACTACATTTGCCAAGGGCAATCAAGTTAAACTTTGCAAAGATAAGAGAAAAGCTTGTTGCGAGCAAACTGCCAACCGTCGCGTTACAGCTCCGACTAATGTCAGGGTGCTAGTTTCTCAGTTTTACTCCAAACTGGATCTACCAGCACAAACCTTGCTTATTCTGTTGATTGTAGCAAAGAAGTTTTAAATGAGTTTAAGTTTTATCTCCATGGCTGTTGTTTTCATTGCAGTTACTGCTTGGATTAAACTTGGCTTTTTTGTATGTTTTAACCACAAAAAGTGCCCTCCCTAACTATGCTCCTTTTTTTGTTCATAGTTTAAACACCAGCACTAAGACATACGCCTGTAGAAACTTCCAGTGAGTGGCTTCATCTTAGTCCCATAGAAACATGTGTTACAAGTAGCCATAGCCAAGACTGCAGGACACTGCCCATCACATACACATTGGAAATCACTGTCTAAACTGAATGAGCCTTTGTCTCACAGGTAATCCTGGTCGCCAATGAAGAAGCCATCGAGAAACTGCCAGCAGAGCTTCGCCTCGGTCTGGTCATGACCATCTACGAGGCCAAGGGGTTGGAGTTTGACGATGTCCTGCTCTACAACTTCTTCAAGGATTCCCCAGTGAGTTGAGATGCACAGCACTGCACAGCTGCCTCATAAGTGTTACTCTGGTGCTGATTTTGGCAGCAAGGATCAAACAGCGAAAAAGAGTTTTATGAGCTTTGGTGGCATTGGGTACAAGGCTACATCAGTGGTTTGGATCTGTATTCCACTTGCTAGGCAGTTTCATTTACGTCAAATAATACATTTCTTGGGTCTTTCTCGAAGTTGGAGATTATCTCCAACTTTGGCTTCACCTCTTCACCATTTTAAGCCTTTCGATGTGGGGACCATTTGAAAAAGCTCCCTCTTGCCAAATGCAGCTTGATAGTATATCCCAACTCACTTATTCACAAAAGGACTTAAGTCTGGGACCCAAATATCATGTCAAGCCAAGGTCCAGAATGAATCTAAGGTTTGAAAAAATGGCCCAGTGGTCAATTAGCTTTGGTCTGGTACCTTGAAGACAAAAAGCGCCCCAGCACTGAATATCTGCTGTCACTTCCACCCACTCTGATCAAGTGGACTTGTGTGCAACAAAAAAAAAAGAAAATTTGATGAGCTTTAAAGCTCACAAATTTGCCAGACTGACTGTTCTAGATTGAAAAGCCAAACAATACAGAGGTTTGTCTCTTTCTCTCAGGCTGACAAGGAGTGGCGAGTGATCACAGACTACCTGAACGAGTTGATTGCTCAACAGCAAAACCGGTCCAAGGAGCTACAAGATGAAGGCTTGAAGGAAATTGATGTGGAGAGTTTGACCGCAACCATTCGGCCACGTCCCCTGAAATTTAACCGCGACGAGCACAAGGTCTGAATCTTGATCGATCTTATTCACCACACAGACAGATGAAAAGTCACAATGAAAGGGCTGTTCACATCAACAAATTTATTTTTGAATTTACATTCCACATTTACTAGAGACAGATAATCCTTCAGTAGGATAATTACTTGCGTCACTGTATTTAGCTCTAGTTAAACTTCAACAAAAGTCAGGTTATTTTTCCAACTGTAATTTTTACATTGTACACAAAACATAAGCCATTGAAAAAAACTTCCAGAGTATTAGGTATTAACCATTTCCTGCCGGGGTGCCTGGTTTTGGTCACATAGGCTTTATACTCGAAGCTGGACAAAAGAGCTTGGCCTTATAACAAAAGACTGTACTTCGAACAAAAGACCGAGCTGCTGGGAAATGCTAACATTCTTTCAGTTGTCAATAGCAGAGGAAATTTGTCATTGTTTTGAAAGATTATACCACTGTTTGTGGCATTCAGTGCGAGTGGATTACCACCGGTGACAAAAGCGCTGCAGTGATGAGCTGCACGCTAATCTGGCCCCTATAGACAAGACGCCAGCTGCCCACTGTGCCAGTTTCGGGAACAAAGAAATTTATGTAACATCACACAATCTAGGCTCTTTTTACCAGGTGGCAGGCCTGGCTGAAATACTCAGGCATCAATAGATGTTGTCTGTCAGATTAAAGTACATTTACTAGACAGTCATTCGTGTGGGTATAAACGTCCAGTAAATGTACTTATGATTTTCTGAAGAATTTTGAAAATGAAAAATCTTGAAAATCCCCCGGTTTTATGTCATGCAACTTTGAATTAACCCGGGCAGCAAGTGGTTAAGTGAGTGGCTACAGCTATTTCACATTTATTTGAAAAGAAAACGAATCACACACCTACAGATTGTGCTAGGAATGCATTCACGGGATGTACACATCAAAATTTCGTTTTCTTGAGGATGTCCGTGAGACTGTTTTGCTTGATTTTGCTGCAAATAACCCTGAAAAGGACTTTTGGCAAACCCAAGGCATTTTTGTGCTAGTTTATGCACTCCCTAACAAAGAATGTAATTCACTATTTTTGATACCTTGAAATACCTAAGGACCATTCAAAGTCTGCAATACACGTGAGTCAGACCTTCAGTGTGTTTTGTCTTGGTTCAGTATAAAATGTTAATGTTGTGATGTCCATACTTCGCTGTCCAGAGAATCTTTGAAATAAATTCGAAATGTCACTTAAAATTACACACTAAAGGAAGTTCTGTACTTTTCTTAATGCCAGGTCCTGAACTCCGAGCTGAAGTATCTCTACACAGCCATCACAAGAGCCAGGGTCAACGTCTGGATCTTTGACGAGGACGAGACCAAGCGAGGACCGATGTTTGAGCTGTTTCGGTGCCTGAAATTGGTCAAAGGCATCGGGCCTGACACCAAGCAAGACGTCGAAAGCCCTGGTGAGTTCGTGGAACATTGCAGGATGTTTACTTTGAAAATATGCAGTCATGCATGTGTTTGTTGATTGGTGGCAACGGGCAAAGTGAGATGTTCTGGTTTACATGACTCTTGCACCCACCTGTATTGTACATGTACATTGTACATGTGTCCATGAACGATACTCACCGTGCCACGTGTTGGCTGTTCATTTGCAAGTGAGATTTTGCTTATTAAACTTGTGACTGGTTTCCATCAGTCCTAACTGCTTCTGCCTTGATACTGTACAAACACCCTCAGGAGGCCTATAAACACGCAGGTGTAGTGCCGATAGCAAGAAAAATCAGGACAAAATTTCACTGTTTGGTATTACAAGTGTGTAGAAAATGTAGGAGCCAAGGGGAATGTTAGGTATACCTGATTGTTTGGTACAGAGGTGTTAGGTATAGCGGCCTCGAGAAATAGGTTTGTGGGTACACCATGGAATCAGTCTCTTAGCACCCAACAAGCTGCAGGCTGCACTTAGCATCCATAAAGGCAGGCACCCACCCAGCAGCAGAGCACACCGGCCGAAACGTCGAGTTAACACTCACCGGTTCTTTTAAGAACCACACCTTGCCCACAGAGATTGATTCCATGGTGTACCCGCAAACCTATTTCTCATGTCTCTTCCACCATGCAAAGCTTCATATCTTACTTGTAGCAGCCTTTTTCTGTATTCAATTTTCCATATAAATGTTATTCTGCAACGATCTTGGATTGCCGCTCACCAAGAGTTATTGTTTTTGTTTCAGATTTGGATGCTATGTTTGTGGAGAAATCCAGTTCGTGGGAGTGGATCCAGCGTGGCCATTACTTCTTTGAGAACAAGCTTTGGAAGGTGGCTGCTGAGTGCTACCAACGCGGCGGGGATGGTAGGCGGGCCTTGCATATTATGAACTCCTCAAGTCATGTATATTTATGAGCCTGTTCACGTGGCATTATTTTTTATGTTCGTCCCGGAAGTAAAAGTTCCATCGTTGTAGTCGAGACCCATTTAAGAGCATGAAAAGACTGATATGAGGACTACCAGGCTGAATTCAAGTCACCGGCTATTCAAATAACCTGTGACGCAAGCATTTCTGTGTCATTGGTTATTCTTTTAATTGTGGCTGGTCTCGTGACCGTCTCAACTACAATGCTAAAAAGTAAGAGCACCTCCCCATGTTAGGATACCCCATATTATGTCACATCTGAGACGTACACGGGAAGCAGAAAACACATTCAGTCACCACATCCCTCTTGACTTCTGTACATTTAGCCTCTGATCTTCTTTCAAAGCAAAAGTCATAAATTCTTTTGTACATGTATTTATTGAAACACCAGACAGCAAATGGAACAGATAGATAGATATATATATACATAAACACACACACACCACTACTCAGTTGCTTATTCCAGCCAGCCAACCCTGGCAGATAGGGTGGTCGAGTAGTATTATTAAGACATCTGCACTAGTACACAAGGGGTCGTGGTTTGAGTTCCATCTGAGTATTAAAGCTTTCATATTGTTGTTACAAGCCCTCAGACAACACCGAGTATACAGTGTTTATGAATGTACGTTGTTGAAGAGCAGCAGGCCAAGTGTGAAAGGGCCAGAAATGGTTTCACTCTTTAATGGCTTTTTCGTTTGCTCTCCACAAAAAACAAACAGAGAAGAGGGAACTGCTTGCTCGGGCGCACCACCAGGCCATGGAGGCCGAGCGCATGCGAGACCAGCTGCACGCCATGCGGGAGAAATTCCTGCAGGCTGCCAGCCTTTTCCTCAAGTGTGGCAGCAGCAGGATGGCAGTCAACTGCCTCTACAACGCCAGGGAGTTTGCATTGCTGGCACAGCTTTTGGAGAAGCAGGGAGAGGTGAGCCCATTCCCTACCAGTGCTGTTCAGTTTTTAGGATGGTACCCACGCTTACACATCCTTCCGATATAATTCATTACAAGGTCCACAGAAAGTCCTCTTTTTGACGCGTATGTAACATCAGGTTTTCGTAAATTAGATGTTAATCACAGAGACCAGTAATGGAAAGGTTCTCATTGGTTTTCAGATGCACAACAGTAGATTGAAAAAAGTGCAATATGTGAATGCCGTTTAGGGTCAAACTTCTGTTAAGTGTGGAACATAACTGACCTTGCCCTGCTGACTTCTTGCTCAGAAGGAAGGATGTGGAAGGAATTATTGTGACTTGTTATTAAGGGTAGGATGTTTACATGTTTAAACGAAAAAAGTTCCAAATTCGTTTACATATTTTTCAAACGTTTAAATGGAACTGACCCTTTTAGAGGTTTGACGGTTTGATTGACGCAATCTGGCATTCATTTTCATTGTAAACAATGCCTGTAAAATGTAATCTGATTTTCAGAACACTGTACTGCTCGGTCATATCGAAGGAATACCATGAAATCATCACTTCCTTATCTGCAACTATATGTCAAAGTATGGTCCCCTAGCTTATATCCTATCTCTGTCACTGTATTTGAAATACATGTGATCAATCTCCCTGAAGGAAAAAGAAGGAAGAGTGTTTTGTCTATCAAACCTGAAATTTTTTCTCTGCCTACAAGGGGATTTTCCTAAACTATTGTGATACACAAACTGATTAAAATGATCAAGCAGCTGATCCTGAGGACATCAAGACAGTCACAGTCCTCAGTAGCAGGCTTAAAAGACCAAACCTCTTGAATTTGTTTACAAAACAGTAGCACCTCTACTTTTCTCTTTTTGGAGAATTTCCTGGGGTTAGTTATGGTGTTGCTTGGATTAAAAAAAGTGTATTTTTGGAGTGTTGGGTCCTGGAAAATGTTGCAACTATTGGACATCATTGTTGTATGGAGAGCAGCATGGGCATTGGGTTGGAAATGACAGGCCATGCTTGACATAACCTGCATACCTTTACCACTGATGATATGCCTAGGTCGGTATATAAGGGAAAGTTCGAACGATGACCATTTGTCAACTACTGGTTAAATTTGCCTGGTTCCCAGGGTATATCTCGGGCATGGGTTACCAGGGAAAAATCGAACTTGCCCTAGTAATGTGCTGTTGAATGTGCCCCTGATACTCACAATAGGAGCCCATCATTTTTGCTGCAGTGCAACATCACTCTAACCATGAAACTGCCCAAAAGATACACATGGATTGCTGGATCTTGACAGAGTAGGATCAAGTTGGAAATGACTGACTCTTTGTTTGTTTGCCCGCAGTTCTCCAAGGCAGCCAAGATCTACGAGAAGCGGCTGAACCGCGTGAGCGACGCCTGCCGCTGCCTGGAGCTGATGAAGGATTACGCCAAGGCACTGGACCTTCTGTGCAGCGTGGGCTTGCACACCAAGGCCCTTGATGTCATCGATCGGTTCAAACGCTTCGAGCAGGAGCTGAAGAAGAAAGGGAAGCCCCTCCCAAAACATGTCAAACGGCCGGGGTAAGTGGACGCCATTTTGTGCCCTCTTAGAGGATGTGCAAATTTCTCCCCATGTCAAGTTATTTCCTCTTATTAAAGAGCTGGTGCAAGTTCATTTCTTTTCGAATGCAGTTCCTGTCATTGCTTCTTTTTGTGCCCTGTTTCACTCGATTTTCAATTGTTGTGTCATTTTGGTGCCTTGTTGAATTTCATGCTAATTCAAGTTTGCATATTTATGAGCTAAAGTGTGATGTCATCGCAGACAGAAACCTCTGTGTTGCAGCTATTTTTGCATTGAAATTTACCGTAGTTGATGTTTTGAAGTTTGCCATTTTACCATAATGCCATGTATGAATTCCCCCTCGATGCAATCTGTTACAAACCATTGATGTATCATGAAAGAACTGTACAAAGTCTTTTGCAGCTTGGACCTCTTTTATTCTTATGTCTACCCATTTGCACTGCCTGTCTTCAGTAACATCTCACAAAATGGGTCGGTACCTTTTTGTCTATACTGTCCTACCCTTTGTCCAAAATAGTCAGACTGCACTGATTTTGTTCTGTTCAACTATAACAATTGTTATAATGATACAGCATTTGTAATGCATGCAACATCAGACAGTATTTGTCTTTCCAAGGTGCCGATATATGGCTACCTCTGCTTATTAGGCTCATGACATCTGAGCATTCCTAAAAAAGACCTCTCAGCTCCCTGTTGAGTATGTAGCTCAATGCTGGCCTTCCAGGCTGTGTTGCCAGAGTTCAGAAATGAATATGTCTAGGCCTTGGCCTGGTCAGAGTTAGGGTCTTCAATGATGAGTCCCCCTGAATTTGTGTTATTTTCAGGTCCACCCACACTCTGAGCGAGTTGATCTTCAAGTCGGCCGAGTACCACTTTAAAAATGGAGACTCTGGCCAGATGCTGGACGCTTTGGAGCAACTGGACCATTTTGAGGCCAGGGTGGACTTCCTTCGTAAGCGGGGGCTGTTTGCAGAAGCTGTGAAGATGCTAAAAGATGGAGGACGTCTGTTGGATGCGGCCAAAATTCTTAGAGAGCAGGTACATTTCAGACATGTCAAGAAAACTACCACTTTTTTGAATGCTAGTTGTGTTTTAGATTCCCAATGCACTACAGTACCACGCAGGTACCTCAAAGATGCTATGCCTTTTTTCTGTTTGAAAAAAGTTTCACAGTTTTCTTCTCTTTTCTTTGTTTTCTTTGTTTTTCACTTAAATCACAGACTTTGCACAGAGCCTTTCTATGCATGACTTCATTTAGTCACATTAGAATTCTGTTCTTGATGAAACTTTGCCTAAACAAAGACCTCATTTCTTAAGTGCACCAAAACAGCGGCATCATGATGATGTAATGATTGGTCGCGTGACCCCATCACAAAGTGGCAACTTTACCACCGTAACGTTCTTATTAAGTCAGCTTTATTAAAGATTTGTTTTTTCAGTGGCAAAGCTTTTGTGATGTCATCTTGATGTCAAGAACCTGAGTTTTGAAGCAACATTTTGGAACTTCTCAATAATTTGAATAACTTTTCCTAAAAGGGCAAGCTAGAGGAAGCATGCACCATCCTGGAATCCTCAAACCATCCAGAGTTTGTTGCAGAGTGTCGACTGGGCCAGGCTAGGAAGCTGCTTCTTGAGCCAGGCAGTGCTGAGGACCAGACTGCTGCCATCTCCCTCCTCACAAAGGCAGAGAGTCTGTTCACCAGATGTGGTGACTCCGTTAGAAAAGCCGAGACGCAACTCCTGCTGGGCCAACTAAAGAAGGATGCCGCCAAGATCCGAGAAGCAAATATTGCCTTCAACAGGATGTCGCACACAGCTGGAGAGTCAGAATGCACTGATCATCTGATCAAGCTGTCCTTGCCGAGCGCCACCTCCATCAAAGGCCGGGTCTTCCAGCAGCTGAAGAACCTCCTGGAGCTGATCTGTGCTCTGTTTGTTGGCACCAGTCCTGAGCAGGAGCGACAGAGGCGATTATGCGAGGAGTTCTTTGGCTTGGCTCCAGGAGAAGAAGGAATGCTCTGCATCCAAAGATGTGAAGGAGCAAGAGTGTTGTCCGCATTGGACAAGAGTCTGCTGCAAGTGAGCTACATCAAGGCTGAGAAAGCTCGAGAAGCCATTGCTAGGTGTTGCCTAATACCTAGAGCCCTGTGGTGGGTGAAGGGGGCTCGTGAACTCCTTCGCGGGGAAATGCAGAAGCTGACACAGTGCAGTGATTATGTGATCGGGATCCCATGCTCAAAACCTGCAGATACCTGCCAGCAACTCCATGAACCGTACAAATTCCACCATGTGGAAGGTCGGGTGAGCTGTTTGGTCCAGCTGATTGAAATTGACAGTATCCTTGAGAAGGCCTCCAAGTTGTCCAACTTCAAGTCCGCGGACAAGCTCGTGGCGGAGATAAAACGCAGTCAAGGGAAGAGTGCCAAGAAGTGCAAGGCTTTGTATGATGTCTTCTTCCCTGAGCACTGTCACCAGCGTTTCATAGGTGAAACAGCTTCAGCGATGCAGAAGTTTCTGAGGCTTGTCCGACACACTGCAGTGGAGAAGCAGTTGAAGGCCTTCGCCGAGAGTGAACGGAAGGAGGTTGATGCTCGAAGGCTCAGGACAGACACTGACTTGTACCTCATGTGTCACAATATTTACCTGCTGATAGGAGAAAAACCGACAGTCATGGAGAACTTGGTGAAGCAAGAGGAAGTTGACTGCTTAAACTGGCAAAAGAAAGACAGATGGAAGCATCCTCAACCTTTAGGAATGCATCCATTGTTTAATAATGATCCCCGCAAGGGGTTCTTAAGCTATAAGCGGCGTCATTTAGATTCCTTTGCAAGTCTTTATAAAAATCGTGATGCTTTGGAATCTCTTAGTTCATTTAATCGCTTCATGGGCACCCTAGCCAACAAGCCAGTGGATCCTCTGTTGCCATCTATAAGTAACACAGTGGCCTTGATAGAGGCTAAAGTCACCATGATGTTAGCTTTGGGAGCAAAGATTCAGCAGTGCTCTGTTGCCATACCAGCGAGTTACCTTGCTCAGGCTGGGTTCCTAGATGCTATTTGCTGTCCAGGACAAGGACATGCAATGTACAGTGCTGTGAGTAACTCAGCAGTCAATAAGGACACTCGTGGCCAGACATGTCGTCTAGTTAGCCTGATTTGCGGAACTACCAGGTCAGGCAGAGATTTCAATGTCCTGGCCGATGCCTTCTCCAGCGTCGAGTATATACACACTGGAGAGGCAGAGCGCACACTGGTCCTGGTGCTTGTGATGTTGTGCAATGCTGGGCTGGCCCTACCTGCCCAGATCATCAGAGACACGCGCGAAGCGCTGCAGTCCATCGCTCCATCAGAAGAGCATCTCCCAAAGAGAGTCCACACTGCTCTCTGTAATGTCAATAAGGCCCAGAGTCGTCGCAATGCCCTTCAAATCTTGGAGAAGCTGCTGGCCGCCCGCGATGACGAGTATCTCCGAGAATGCACGTGGAGTCCTCACATGCCTCGCCGGGGTGCTCCTGGACTGGAATTCCACAAATTGAAGATCAAAAATTTTGATGATGTGCATTTTGAAACGCTCCGTTCAAAGTCTCCAACCGTCTTCACTGAACTGGCCGAGGGCAATGTCCATCAGAGAGGTAGAGACTTTGAGGACAAAGATGAGGATGTGGCCAGGGAAGGGGAAGGCTCTGGCGACAATTCAGAAGAGGAAGGTGAGCTTCGCCTGGAAGTGTCCAGCGAAGAAGCTGCCAAGATCCAGCAGGAACAGGAGACTCTGCAGAAGGAGAGGGCTGCAAAGATTATCAGGAGAGTCCTGAAAGCTAACAGGCTTCTCCGTCTGGCTGCCCTCTTGAGGTCATGCGCCTATATCACTCTCACAGTCAAACCAGAAGTTGAGGCCAAGTCGGAGACAACCGCCGCTGGCTGGGTCTCCCAACAGCTGGTGGAGTTCCAGCACATCCCCACCGGCTGCACCATCTGCAATGTCCGTCTGCGGGAAGTTCAGGAGGTGAGGCCTGAGCCAAGAGATGCAGCTGAAGAAGTCCAGGACGGAGATGATGCAGGTATGTGATGATGCTGATACTGTCATCCCCATTCTCTCTGTGTTTACCTTTCTCAAACTGCCTCAATAACTACATATACAGAAACCATACCTACCCACCAAATGTTCCACCAAACTTTGCATTCACCATGGAATTCCCTCAAAATGACTAGAGATTTTGGAGGTGATAGCATCAGAGACAGACTGATGCTTGTTGAAGATTAACAGTTCATACCCTTTCGTGGTGTGTCTTTCACTGCAGCAGGTGAAGATGACTCTGTGGAGACAGATCAAGAGCCTGAGCCAGAAGCAGACAGTAAAGATGATCTACCCACCCAGGAGGAGCACGAGTCGACGGAGTTCCACAAACAAAGACACCAGGAATTCCTGCAGTACGGGTACATGCTCAGGGATGAGGTCTATCCGTTGATCACAGGTGAGGCTGTAGACTGTGTACAAGGGTGAATCCAGATCCAAATTTTTTGAGGGCTAAATATTCTTGGGGGGGGGGAAGAAGTTGGGAATTTCTTTGTGTAACCTTTTATGGCCTCTCTCAGAGGTAGGGTTAAATTTTGGGGCCTTTTACACGCTTTGGTAAGAAGGGAAATGAGAGAGTCCCTCCTCTACCCATTGCATTTTGTTCTTTTGCCTCCCACCTTTTTGATGGGGGGGGTGGTATCCCCCTTTAACCAATAGGAATCCACCAATGGCTGTTTGCAATAACTGTAGATGTCAACATTAAGCTCACAGAAACAGTCTCGCTCGCATAACTGATGTGGAAAAGTATGGGCAAACAGTGGGCGAAATGGTGGATGACAGGGCATTCAATGTGCATTATACGCAACGTTCTCAAATTGCCTGCATTTGTTTACCTGTGGTCCCAAATTCACCTCTGTGCTCTTCAGTACCGTTTTCTCTTCTTTTCAAGTGTTACGACCGCATTGTTTAGAATTTACAATAAATAGAGGGTTTTTTAATCAAAAAAATGGCTTCATGGAATTTTATGGCTGGGATTCTTCAACTGTGCGTAAATTCCTTATACCTAGATGTGAATTTGTTTACAGTTTTGATTTTAGTCAGGTGCCGCGCAGATCACAAAATGGTCATGTAGTTTTGAATGCCATCTGGTGGTCCATGCATTTACGTCTTTGATAAGCTTATTTGATTGGCTGATAGGGGTGCAAAGCACTGCTGCTGGCAGAGAATTAAAACAGCAAATTATAGCAGGATATTTGTCATGGATTTCCCCTGACAGATGTGGACAAATTGCTAAAGGAGCTTCGCTTCCCTAGCCTGACAGGAGAAAACCCTGGAGATTCAGGCCAATTCAAATACTTTGAAGAGGTATGTTTGATTGGTCCAGGCCTCGGACTTCAGTTTTGGCTTACACAGTCAGGAGTATACCACATGTGGGCATAGTGACGTTGTCTCACTGATACAGCAATTTTTATCCAAATGCAACATTTAATATCTCAAGTTGACAACAATGAAATTAAAAATCAGGTGGGTACAAACATGTTTTAGAAACTCTAGTTGGTGGCTGTAATTTGTTTCATTTGCACAGCCAATCAAATTTTTTTTGCAAACAGAAATTTTTGTTCTATATGCTGCAATATTTAAGGAAAGCACCCTGTAGCATGGAAACACCCACAATCTGCTGCGGGCTGCTAGAACAGGCCTTGTGATTGGTCAGATTGCATGAGACTTGTGACATAATAGGCCGTCCAAATATGGTAACACTCCAGACTGTTGTAATAGTCTCCTGATCTTTAGCCATGATGCAGTAGATCCCTGCAGATATCTAGGTCACGTTCAAGGTAGGCTGTTTCTCTCCAGTTGAGCCCTCTCTTTGTGTATGAGTCTCATATTCCCCCTCCCCAACCGTCTTCCCCCCACCCCCCCTCTTCCACATACCCTGACCCCCTGTGTGAACTCTCTGTAGAACAGTCCATCTCCCCTGTATCACTTGTATTACTTAGTGTAAGTAGTAGAGTCTCAGGTGATTTGTTTTCTTTTGATGGTCATAAGGCTGTGACATTTTCCTTTTTACGTTACATGTACAATGAAAGTTCATGATACACGTAACAGAAGTGCAACGTGCCAGTTGTCATTGACGTCCGTGGCATGTACACATCACCCCATACTGCACACAGAAATTGCCAGGTGTTTAGAAGTCCTCAGTGAAACTTCTACCTATTCTGTTGACCAAAGTGGCAAAAAAATGCCCTGACATTTTTGTTTAATTTGGCCTTATTCACGAGTCAACCATCTTGAATAAAAAGCGAGGTGATCTCAGTGGATTTTTTTTTCTAAAGACTTGGCTTTTTGAATGAAGATAATGCAATGGGGCAAACTATAGAAGAGTTCCAAATTGTGGGTAAAGAGTCGTGTATTACGTTTACTGTCCAAATAATGTTTTGCAAAGTAAGGCAAAATAGACAAGCTCCTTCCCATTTCAGAGCATTAAAAAAATGGCTTTTGGGAGCAATTTTCAAAAGGGTTTAATATCTGATGACTAAAGCCCATTTCTCGGTTGACAGGACTTGTCAAGACGCAGGCAGGATCTGGCAAGCAAGATGACAGAGATCCAAAACCAGCGTGCATTTGAGAAGCTGGCGGATGTCAGGCACGCGGTAGATCAGCTGAAGAAGGGCTTTGAGAACAGCAAAAGGAAACTGGAACAACAGAGGGCGGCAGAGCATCAGGACAAGACCGTAGACTCTGGTATGGGTAGTATTATACACAAATGACAACATGAGGCCACATCAAAAATTGCTTGGCCACATTTAGACACACTTTGGAAGGTACAAGCATAGGCTTCATACACGTGTCATTTCCAGCTGTAGCCAAGCGATTTAGACACACTGGGTTGAATGCATGGTATTTGTGCACATTCTGTTGAAAACTGGTTGTCATAAGCTGACCCCACTTGTCATGTGAGTGGGCCACACATTGCCTTCTGTAGTTCTGCTTCTGATCATGCAGAAGTTACTGCGAAAGTAATAGCCCGCCAAAAAGACTGAATAGACTACTTGCTGGATATGTCATTATTACAATGATGCCACAGTCACGCACATGTTAATAGAAGAGAGGGTTTTTTTATAGAGTCAGGTTTTTTTATGGTGTTTCGGTGTGTTCATCTTTTCCATTTACCAACACATTATTAGTTGACTTTGTGTGTGCAAAGAGAAGTGTTATTTTCACTATTTGTTCAAAGGTTGACTCGTGTAGCTGTACCTGTGCATGACGGCTTCTGTCTTTTTTCGCAGTTCCTGCATCACATTTGTCCTTCGCATTTTTTTTCAGACACCGAGGAGGCGGACAAGATGCCCTTTGAGGAGGGAGAAGATGCCGACGAGGATAAGATCCTCCCGGTTGCTGAGCAACCAACCCGGCGTAAAGGGGGACGCAACAAGGGGAGGGGCCAGAAGCAGAAGGGGAGGTGGAACGGACGAATGGGGAAGAGGAAATGATGGATGACTTCAGAGCAGGTGGAATGTCAGCCTCGTTTCCATGGGGTACACACTCCTTGCCTGAAACCCGGCTGCGTGGGGGGGGAAGAACTGACTTGCAGGAACCTTTGTAACATTCTCAGTGCACCATGGGATTGGATGGCAAACAGGCGGTGCATTTTATGCGCAACCCTGTGAGGGAAGTAAACCAGCCAATTTCCCTGATACAATGAAAATGTCAAGAAAGGTTTCTTCTTCAAGGGGATTTTATTTGCAGTCGAGTACATAATTGAGTGTCTCATTCCTACAATTAATTTTCTTTACATGCCAACGGAGGAAGTATAAAAGAGGGCATAAGATTTTTACAGGCAAGATCACGCCATGGGAACGAGGTTAAAAAGCACTTATCTTGAACTGATTGAGTGTGCTGCGTGTTAATTTTTAAAAAAAGTTGACGAAGGTCATACATATTTTACTCTTATTGATACTTACAATTGCAATTAATTGAGTATAAAGCTTGCGTCATCCTATACCATGTTTAATTAATAAAATCGTAACACCGGGTTTGGCTGTAATTTGTTAACTCCTGGACTGGGGAAGCCTAGCCTCAATGTAGCTTGTTGACCCAGTCTTGTTTCTTTATTTGGAGTAATCCTTTTGTGTTTAACTGCAGGGTGTTGGTGAATCTGTTACCAGGGAAATTACCAAAAAAAGATTTGTTGGGTAGAGTTGTTCTACTTCAACATTTTTCATGCAATGCAAGTGATTTCTGTTGTGCTTTTTTAGATGTGTAGATCCTGCTTTTGTGTATGTTAGCTGTTCGATAGGAAAGATTTAAATTCCTCTCTGTTCTGCCAAAGGTGAATTCAGTTAGATAAAGAATCTGTTAGCAGTCATCATGTTTTTGTTTTTCCTCAGTCCAACTTTACCTTGTTTCTGTTGGTTGTATTTTACTCAAGCTATATCCATCACATTCTTTTTTTATATGAAAATAAACATTAATGATTGTTTGGTCCGTGGCATAATTTGCCGGACTGTGTGCTTAAAGTCGTCATAATTTAGAAAGATGAGCACAAAAATCTCATTTGTCAGTGTGTTTGTGTTACCACATCTCCAATATTCATAGTTGGTTATTCCTCTGTTGCTTTTGTTGATTTCGAGCTTGCTGTTTTGTTTTGTTTTCATTTTTTGCGAAGAACTGTTTCTTTCCTGAAGTCAAGGAGATTTAAAATTAGCCAATTGTGTTGATTATTAACTCTTTTGTTGAATTTGCATTTGTAACAGGTGGAAAGGGACATATTCCAGAAGATTATACTGATCAACCTGTTTGTATCTTTCTCTCCAGAAAACTATTAATAGTAGAGGGATCCCCTTCGGTTTCTGTTTGTCCGGCACAGTTGCTCTAATTCCTACATTTTCATACAATTTATTCTGATGTGCCTTTTTGATTTCAAGTGAGATTATGTCCATTTCTAGTTTTGTTGTTTGTTTTGGGGCTACTGGAGGGGAAAGAGTGTAAATGCCTTACCTGTCCTGCCCTGAAAGTTGTTCCTTTTTTTCTCTGTTGCTAGAACTTGACACATATTCTTCCATACAAACTTCATACGCATGAAACAATTCTAAATTGAGGGGCTTTTGAGGACTTTAGAGGTACAGCAATTCCATTTTATGAACCAGTATCCAGGAAACATTGCTGGTTTAGGAGAGATTTATGTATACTCGTCTGATATTGGATCATTTGCTCTGTTTCAATTAAAAGTTTGAATGTTGGCTTACTACAGAGTCCATATCCATCACCAACAGTGAAAGTTTCGCCATCCAAGTGATCGGCTAATATATCAAGTCAATTTTACTGGTTGGTGGCATATTTTGCAACCCTTTCCTCCACATGAATTACTGCAATACGTTAATCAAGAAAACAATCCTTTCAAAGACTTTGAAAGACCTATGATTTGAAAAAAAAATGTTACAATTCCAGGACTTTTGAGGACCATACAAGCCCTGACCATGCTATGAACAGTTTGTTTCTGGAAATTCAATCTTGCCTTGCGCATAAAATGCCAATATCAAATCACAACTCCGACTATATATACACAACAGGATTCATTCTGGTTGGATTGTAAACTGCAGCCAAAGTCGGCTCAGTTTTTGTTCAACGTCGGCTCTGGTGTAAAAATCAAAATATCTTGACCTTGCCAGTACATGCATTTGTTAATTGAACAACGAGAATATTTATTTAGTGAGTTTAACATGAGATTCGGCAGAAGTTACTTGGAAGTTTACTTTGTTCCATTGTTTAAAAGACTGCAGAATTATTGTCATTTGACATGATTTGCTTTTTGTTTTGTTTGTTGACTGATTTGTTACTTTTTGTTTTAAAGAGCCACAGAGGAAGTAAAAATTAGGAGCTTAATTAGGAACGTGAACAGTTTTAATCTCTAGGTTTCTGATATATGATTGATGTAGAAAGTGAAACGATCTTTATAGGTACAGTCCATTTGCAGTTATTGGAAAGGAATGACAAAATAAGCATGCTTTTAAAGATGGTTAGGGACTAGACCCCATGAAATTATTTTTCCAGCGAACTGTCATTTGGAATAAAAGAGTGAAAGAATGTCATCTTGAATGATGCGTCGAAAGATGCATTTGGTGGAAAATTGCCAACAGAATAACGCCTAAGCATTGACTTAACAAATGCGCAGTTACAATAATGTGTCAGTTTCGGTTAATTCATGGCATAGATGCATTCGACCTGATGTGAGAACATGTACCAACTTGTAATCTGAAAATGAAATCATTGAAAAACAATTTTTCTCGGAATATAAAGTATTCACTCAGCTGAACTTCGTCAGGTTTGTTCTTAGGTACCATTTGTTGGATTTTTTTTTAGTAATTTTGTTGCCCGAAGGGACATAATGCACAAATGACAGATGGACTGTACCTGTCAGGATCCAGTAAGCCATGTTTGCCTTTAGTGATCTGTTTATACCCATTCTAGAATTGCTTGAAAAGAGGTTTCACTTGGGAAATGTAAGATGTGAAAAGAGTTTCACGAAGAGGAAAAGACCTTGTATGAATCCATTTATAGGAAACTTTATAAGAAGCCTACTGTTTCAGTGTTGCTGTTATATTCAGTAGCGGTTTAGCCATATCTTTGTTTATATGTCTTGACTTTTAACACACCCTCGTGCAAGCATAGTCCAATGAAACTTTTTGAAGGCTTTTGCTGTTGAGGAATTTTTTATCTTGATTCAGAATTTTTCCAGTAAAAAAAATGAAGTGAATGGACAGTGAGATTATTAAGTTCTTTTTAAGATCAAATACAATTGAAGTGATTAAGTTCACTACGTGAAGACATTCCAATCTGTTTGAATTCTGACATTGTTATCCCACTCTTGGACGGAAGCTCTGAGTAAAATGGGGTTGATTTTTTGTTTATTAATTTAATTAATTTTAACTTAAAACTGTCGCTTCTTCATTCCAAAGGCTTTTGGGGTCAGAGGTCAAGCTTTTCAGGGTTCTCAGTGTTTAAGGACCTGTTTTGTGTGGATCCAGATCGTGATTAGTGATGCAAAGTTGGTTCCCTAAAACCAAATCCTGCTTTAAGCAGGATTTGGTTTTAGGGAACCAACTTTGCATTAATAATGGATGGTGTGAACCAGCGTTGGAGGATCACTGATCAAGATCTGGGTGCATGTGAAACAAACAGGGGTTGTATGTAGACCAAGACATTGAAATCATCCCCAGAAACTGTTATTCAACTTCTCCACATTTTATATTCTTCAAACAACTGACGCAATTCCAAAATGTGCCTTGAAAAAGTACGGCTTTTTCATCAATATCTCCAAAATAATTTTTCTGATCCCCTAAACCTGGTAACTTTGAAGTCAAGTTTAGTTAAGCATCTCGGTAGAGATATTTACTCTTACTTGGTCATTATGTCAACTTATAAGAAAATTTGATTGCCTAGGAGGGAAATATCAGATTATTTCACGTATATCAGTACAACAGTTAACAAATAAAATATTTTTTTTTGTTTATTGTCAACTTTGTCTCGAATGTTTCAATGATCAATTCACTGAAAAGAAACTAAAGAGAAATAGCACTGTAGACTGGGTGAATCAAGGCAAACATGATAATTTCCACTAAGGGATAAAAAGATGAGGGGATGTGTTGACCTACTCAAACTGGGAAATGGATGGACTTTCTGATCTGTTCGCAATATCACCCATGACGCCAGTTGATGAAGTGCATGCCGCAGCTCACCATCAATCGCAAAGAACGTAAGTTTTCTACGGTGTGAGTATTGCAGACCAAAAGCCAGTGCGTGATGTGGAGATACCCTTATAGTTTCTTGAAAACAGGTTGCAAGGGATAACTGCACGAGTAAGAAATTAGATCTTTGAAGCCGCCGATCGGCAACTGATCCACTGGAAGAGCACCAGTGTTCATGACTCGTCCTTACTCATTTGAAGCAGGCTTAGTGCTGCTGCTTTGTATCTCTCTAGTGACTGGTGGCTTTCTGGGGTGTTCCGCAGTGCCGTCACCGCGTCCCCATACTTGCTGACCTCCGGTGACCCAAGATACTCCAACTCCTCCCCAGGGCTCACCTCGCCTTCCATGTTATCCTGGAATGATGGATGGCAAGTGGGATGATTGAAATGATCACGAGAAGCTGGCAAGCAGGCAGTGGGTATGAATGGACTGTTCTTGTAAATGCCATATATCGCCATCAAGGCCTTCACCTCATGACCAAAAGCACTATCACTCCAAACGTACAATCCAGTTTGTCAAGCTCAGTTCTCACTGCACCGTGTAATATTTTCATGCATTGGTTGCACTCAAAGAGGACTTCAACACTGCCAGAGTCATTGGGCTGTTTAATCCACAATTTCGCTAAGCCAGTCAAATCCAGGTACAGGATTTTGGCATGATTGTATCTGACAAATAGGCCAATCTCCTCCAACCAAGCACCACTGCACGCCTACCTTGTTGTTCATCCTTGCTAGCGTGGCGATGGTGGAACGGCGCGAGGGGCTGATGTCCCAGACGTATTCCTCCATATCGTCTTCTGTGATGTCAGCTTCCCAAGGCTCAGTTATCTGGAATTCACCCCCAAGAACAAGAGATGCATATGAATCCCTGGATAGGTTTTAATCAGTCAAAAAACGACATGCTGGATAATTTTGTAGAGGGGCCCGTCACAAATGGTATGGTCCAGCAGGCTTCCCTCCTCTGGTGACGTGGACTAGTCCAGCCAGCCATGATTCCTTTTTGCTGCATGTACATGTACAGTTGGATCTTGTTAATAGAAGGTGCTTTGGGCTTTGTAGGTAACCTTTAAAACAGGAACCTTGTACATGTATTATCAAGAATGAAAACAATGACGAACAAAGGAAAGGATTGGGACTGAAAAAGTTCCTTGTTACAAGCAGAATGTTGCATTAACAGTGCTTTTATTGACGAGGTTTTGCTGTATATCCTGTGCTTTCTTTCTTAATAATGTACATTCTTTCTACCTACACCCAGCTCACCCAGTGACTTTTATGTCCAGGAATGCCACAAATTTACATAGCCCTTTGTTAAGATTCTGGCTCTGGGACCCAGCCCAGTTTAAAAGCAAGGGTGCCTGGAATTTCAGGCTTAGTCCAGCATTTGAGTTTGGGTAGAGTACATTCGTTGTGGAGGGCGTGGCTCTCGGCACCTGTTGATTTGAAGAGGACAGTTATCCACATGTGCTGTTGTAAAGTAAGCTGTTCCTTTTACTTTCATATTTGTCAACTGCAGCCTCTGCTTTGGTAATTTGCATACCAGTCTTACAAGGGATCCTCTCAGATGCTGTACAAATTATTCTTAGTTGTTGAAAGGCATTTTTTTAACAACCAAAGAAATATTACCGTGTAATGTGCAACGTGGTGAATTAATCAAATCAAAAAATGACCGCAACAGCCCTACCGCTGATGAAAATATGAATATATCACATGAAGGTGTCTCCATTTTAGCAAGCTTCATTCTGCTACCCAAATGCATGACAGCGTAAGTGCACAACTCAAGCACAAGTAAAAAAGTGGACTTTTGATTCTGACAGACTCGTACAACTGCAAGCTGAACTGTACACCATCCATCTGTTGCCAGTTCTTACCCAAGCTTCGTTGAAGAGCACAGTTAGTAGATACATGGCATAGTTGCGGTTCTGTTTCCTAACTGGACACCTATGTGAGGGACAAGAAAACAGAGTAAGTTGCTCTCCCGAGGAAATGTTGCCAATTTTTTGTCACTATTTTTGTATTCGAAACAACACTTTAGAAATGGTACTTAGATCTTTCTTTCGAGGACAGACGATCGTTTAAAAAGCAGATCTCCATTTACAAACACTTGACTTCTTGAACCTTTTTCACTGGTGGGAATCTGCTCTGTGTTGAAGTCTTTACCTGTCTGTGGTGAGCGTGAGGGTTTGCGTTTTCTTGTTGTACCTCTGCCCGGCCAGTTGAATCAGCTTCCAACGGGCGTGCTTGTCCAGTGGAAGATCTCTTAATTTAACCTGATTTTCCAAAGGAAAATGATTCTATTAACACAGGAAAATTTCACTCCACGGCCTGGGATCCCAGTCTTGTAGTTCAATACCCACATGTCTGAGATTGAGACAATGACAGAGAGCTGAGAGTTTGAAACTGAGACCATATCCAAGACCTAAAATACCATGGAATCCGGGCCCCAGGGACTGAAAAAAATGCCTTGAAGTACCTCCTGACCACATGGGGGAAAGAGTTCCATACGCGGACGCCACTTGACACCCATGCATTAAGTCTTTGAGACTGGTCTGAACAATTCTAAGTGTTTTGTAAGTAAATGACCTCGCATGTTGCCTCCTGAATTGAAGTTTTCTTGACGTGTTTTTGCTTTCTAACTACTGGCGTCCATATATGTTACCCTCTCTGTGAAAATGAGTCTTAAATTGCCAGAGCCACTTTTTGAGTTTATATTTGTATTGGAAAGAGCAAATTAATTTTTTGTTTTGAAGTATCACTCAGTTTGGCTCCTGATCAAAGTGGATACACCATGGTGAAAAATACTTTGGGTTCCCATTGATTTCCACTGTGCAAAATTATTCTAAAGGACTTGTTACTCCAAAGTGGCTCTGGCGACTTGTGACTCATTTTCACAGAGTGGGTCACATGTGGAATTCTTTCCAACATGGTTTCCCAAAGATCGGCTACCACTGCAGTTGGCAAGTGTTTGATTAAAAACCGTATGTCGTAGGTAGTAAACTTGGCAGGCTCAGTTTCACATAAACTAACTGTGGATACTTTTAATCAATGGTATGGTGGTTGCTAATTATGCTATGTACAGTTGTCATTTGTTCAAATCCAGCGCTAGGTACTGGTTCTGTGTTTTTCTCATACATTTAGCTGTCATAAAGCTTTTAAGGTTACCTACTATGTAGAGACTATGCATGACACTATGGTTTTGCCTATAATTGTTGTTGAAGTGAAGTGCGTCGGGTTGTGGGTTTATAGCAAGTGTGCCACATGTAGTAGAACTCTGGTAATTTCCCATTGAAATGTCGGGTAAACATAAATGCTCACAACTGCGTTACTCTAACTCTGTACGTGTGCCTAAATCTAATCCCAGCTACAACCCTATCCCTAAACTAACCTTCAGTCCTATCTGATTTTTTTCGTGACTTTCCAAGACAACTTCCAGGATAAGTTGACATGAGTGGGGCCTAGCTCAGAGAAAAATCACGTTTGACAGGCTGTTTGAAATGAAGCTGAAATGGCCAAAATACAGGAGGCGTCTATTCTGATGACGTCAACATTCTGTTTTATTTTGGATGTTTGCCCTGCCCGACGTGTATTTTAACACTGTATACTCAGTGTATGCCCCCGAAGGCTTGTGAAAAACCCACAAGCGTACTCGGGTGGGACTCGAACCCACAACCTCCTGCTTACTAGTGCAGACGTCTTAACAACTCGATCGCCGAGCTCGCCGGTATCGGCTGGCTGATTCAAATCAGACGTAGCAGCGGGTACTGCGAACAACTATTTCAAAGATGGATTAGCGCCGGGGAGATGTAAATTAATTTTGGATTTTTGCCCTGCCCGACGTGGACGATTACAGATAGGCTTTCCAATGAAGCTTCGATTTGGTCGTCCCTTCCTGACTCCAATAGTGCATGTCTAAACAAAGAGTGACGTCATCAGTGCACAGGCCTCTTATATCAGTCTGAGTGAAATTGGAGCTAAATGGCTAAGCATGCCTTGACTGTGATGATTCTGGCATCCGGATGTCTAAGGGATGGACCGCTGAATAAATAGTCGGATGTTTCCACCTCCAAAGGGAAGTGTCTCTCACAATCCTCATCGGTTTCCAGTCCCTCTGGCCACTCAGTGCAGAACTCTAAAAGAAAAACCCCAAAGATGAGGATTTTTGGTCCACAGATGTTAATTCAAAATACCAGCATGCTAGCATGTGGCCAACTCTCATTCCTAAATGTCTAAAAAAAAAAGAAAGAAAATTAAATATTATTAGGCATAGACAGTCTTAAAGAACATTCCAACTTCTGTATGCCTTTGGCTTAAAAACTTCCTCCCCCTCTAAAAACATGCTCAATTGTAGTTTTATTCACACAGACCATCAAATGAAATTTACCTTTTAATGCTGCACAGTGTTTCTTGATTGCAGGCGGAGTCAAGTGAAGAAAATTTGGGATCTGCAAATCATAAAGCATAGTGGTTTGAATACGTCGCCAGACTGTACTGTTTGGACAATGAAGTTTAAGTGATTCACATCCCTTCATCACACAAGCCACAGCATTCACCAGCAACACCATTCACTACATGTACATTGCACTATGCAGCCTAATCCATGGTTGCACTGTGTTGCATTCAGAGGCACTCTTATTTCAGTTGTGTTGGATGTTGTTGCAATGAAACAAGCAGGCCAGAAAAAATCAGACGAGGTGCATTGAGGCTGGAAAATAGGTTTGTTTGACTGACCTTGAGAAGTTCGGCATTTCCATACTTGTGGGGTGGGATTCCTCTCCTGACTGGGTAACCCATTCTAATGGGCAGGGGCACAGCAGACCATTTAAAGGGGGCAGCTGTGGGATAGACGTTACTCCAGTCCTGGTCCTCCTTCATTCTGAGCTCTCTCGGTGGTGGTAACTGATTTGTTTTTATTTTGAGGGAAGGAGAAATATTCCAGTGAACAAAACAAAATGAATATGAGTTTGTTCATTTTAAATGTTACAACTGTACAACACGAAAAATAGCTCTCCCTTTGATAAACTTCACAAGTCAAATAAAGTCCTACAATTCTACTAAAATTTGTATAATTGTAGAAATATACGTGAAGTTTACACAGTAATCAAGACTTCAGTCACTAGCTGTTGGAATTATCAGAATTTTTTCCAGTCTACTTAAGGGGAGTACTCCAGTCCTGGTCTTTCTTTATTCTGAATTCTCTGAGGTAAGTGGTAACTTTTTTGTGGGCCGGTGGGGGGGGGGGTTACAATATCTCAGCACTGGACATGTTGCACAAGCACCTGACTTCATGGACACCTGTTCTGTTGCAGGGATTTCATTCTGAAAAGGAGAGTGACCTGACAGTCTTTGGCTGACAGTGAGCTCAAAAAGTTATTCATGTTTGAAACATCTTGTTTTCTGGATGTCATTTGGATTCGGATGGCAAAACTCTCACAAATTCTGACACCCATTTCTGTGCAAAAAGAAAAGCTCCAAATCTGGCAAAAGGTTTCTTCAAACACTGTACAAAGGCTCACATTATTTGCTCTAAAACTGCCTTTACACTTTTCTGCCAAAGGAATGTTCCAATGAATCCTCAAGAATTCTTCCCTGTAAAAAAAGGATCATACTCACTGGTTCTCGCCGTCTGAGCTTTTCCTGCATGGCTCGCATGGCTTTGCCTCGTAAAGAATGCCGGGATACCCCTGAGAACGAAAGATGTGAGTGCAATATGCAATGAGGTCACCTGGTAATTTGGGATTGGGGACCCCGTTCCTATAATACAGTCATTAGGGAAAGTTTAAGACCACCTGGGATTTTATTGGTATTTCTGTCACTGGGCATGCATTACATTGTCGCATTGACTGATTACTTAATATATTTTTACAGTGGTGCATAACATCAGTGTATTGCTAAATATACAAGTACATGTATACCATTTGAATTATTTTTTTTGCAAAGGCAGGTCTTCTATGACATTTTGTCTGTAAGGCAGCATGGGTAAAAAAAGTCAGTGTATTAATTAAGTAATCAGAAATAAAGGTGGGCACACAAAATATTAGACTGTTAACATTTCAAATCATAGAAATGTCGTCAAATAGCTGTTTAACCAAGATACGAAGGTTACACACTGAAAATAAACATCAGTTGCCATGATTGATTGGTTTAAGCTTGGCTTTTCTTCAGGTTAATGCAATGTGAATAGGTGGTCCTAAACTTTTGTAAATGACTGATGAAGGGAGACCTACACTTGAACTTCGGGATTCACCCGGTACACGTAGATGACTTTGACGACATCCTAAATAACTGTAGGGTTGATATTGTGAAAAAGAGGGCAGTTTTGTGTTTTGAGGGAAATTATGAGGAGAAATGCGAGTGTTTGACACATCACACATGGTGGAGTCAAATTTGCATGGCTTTTTTTTCAGTTTGAAGGTCACATGTTCTCACAAGTTCCAATTCAAAATTTCCAAGAATTAGGGTCAGTGCAATAAAGTGAGTGTTGCCTTTGTTTTTTTGAGGGGAGGACTGACCAGTTTTATAAGATTAAAATGAAAAAAATGAGGGGTCCCCAAATACACATTCTGCTGGTGATCTGTACCCTAAATTTTTAAAGCACAGCACAAATCAAGTTACAAGTGGGATGTTATCATCAGTGGGAATTATCATCAATGAATGACGTTATATAGTACCGCTGCTGGATGCGAACTGTCTTTGGATTAAGGCACCAATAATGGGAGGCAATGTAGGAAGAAGGCAGATTTCAAATCCAAAATCTACTTCTGAAAATTGGGAAAGAAATCCAATTCAGATCATGATTTCCAAGTGTCATTAACACTGTACTAGGCCGATCAAATTTGTCAAATTATTAAACCTGTTCCCCTTGTTTCTTCCTTGACTGAACCTTCTTTGCTAAAATCACCCGAATATTAACAGGCTCCCAATTAAAAACATTCAATTTGGTGGTGTGTCTGACTGAAACCCCAAAACTGTGACGTCTAAAAAGGAATTCTTCCAGAGAAATGTCTCTCGTGTCTGTATGTATGCCCAGGGCATTTCATCATGCCCTTCTCTCCAAAGACAAGACTAAGGGACTAAATAGGTCTAAAAATGTCAATATTATTCACACTGAAACAATAACATCAGAGCAAAGTCATTTTCAAAGCTTTGGCCAACTTGGGGAAGTTATGCTCTTGGCTGAACCATGCTGATTTTGCTGTCTGTGATTTTGAAAATGTGGTAAGCCAATCTGAAAACAGTACAAAAAGGTAGTCCCAACTTTTCTTTTCGTTTCAAGCAGTCTGTAACTAGGAAAAAATCCCAAACTGGGAAAACGACTGTATGAACATTGCTGATACTACATGAGTGATTTTGCACAATGGTAGAAAGGCATAATGGGAAAGAAAAAAGGAGCAAAGATTACCTCCTTTTCCTTCCCAAAATGCCTTTCTACACCATTGTGCAAAATCACCCATGCGGTGTCACTCCGCAATAAGCCTAGGCTTCTGATTAACGTTTAAAAAGGCACCTTTGTGTGCCTCTTGACCCTTTTTGTTAACACGGGGTCGTAAAGTTATCTGTGTTTAGAATCCAGTCTCCGAAGTTCGTGGGAGTGCGGCGGACGACGAACCCCTGCAACAACATGATTGGCACGCTGTAACCCCAGCACTGCAAGCGGGGCGGACGTCGGACCCACACAGTTCTGGGGGTAGCCTAAGAAGTAAGAGAAAACGGCAACTTACTCTCAATTTCAGAATCGACATCTGGTAGTGACGTTGATACAAGGGAGCTATATTGGCTATACAGCCTATCACTTGATATTTTCACGGGCGAAGAAGCCTCTAGAACTGAGCAAATCCGCTGAGAAAAATTCAGGCCCAGTCGCAGCCACCGGCCGAAAACGGTGGTGGCAGCCATTTTATTTTATTAAACAATAGAGGGCGCCCTTGTACTTACACGTGAGTTTTGCAGTGCGGGGTTTTCCTTTTTGGTTACGCAAAGGGAGGGAAATCCCCGGTATGTTATGTGCAATTCCTTGTGCAAACACAAAATACCAAACCAGCTTGCATGAACTGCAACAGGTTTCACTCTTTACTTTGAATCACTCTGCAAAGGGAAATATTTTTTCCATCAAACAACATCAGAGAAAGACGTCTCGGTATTTCATCTCTCCGAAGTAAATTATCAAAGAAACTTGACAACTCGGATACAAAATGCTGCTCACGTCTTAACTTCTGACAATGACATTGAAGCTGCAGCATGATTGCATCACGGAGAGAAGCTGACGTTCATTATCTACGAATGAAGCACGAATTTCAGAAATGGGCAAGATTGCCTGGTATGTAGTGCACGTGCAAGAGACGTACATCACTTTTTCGATCATGAATGAGTGTCATTCCACCAGTGGCGTCAATTTGTGCCGGAAAGTGGGGGTGGGGGCTGTGTGTGGAGGGGGGGGTATGTGACTTTCTCGGCATGGAAATTCTAAAACCGGGCCAGGGATGCTGACACCGTACATTCTGTAGGGGCGATGTTCATGATACAGATGTGCATCAGCCGCATGTAGTACATTCCTGCAGACTCTTACATCAGAATGGCAAATTTATGGCTTTTTTTATTGTTCTCCATATTTGAGTGCTATTAAATATATTTTAGTTGTTGGCAAGTTAGATAAATTGTTCACAATTCATCTTAATGGTTTTTTCTCATCACAAAAAAGTGGGGATGATTTAGTCAATAAGTGTAGCCCATCATCCTTTTTGGTCCAAGATTGGAGGATTTCTATTTATAGTACCATCACCGCGGCAAATTTACACCCATTCATCCCACCTGTTTTGGCAACTGTCCTGCACACTTTCTGCTTACAAGCTTAAAAGTAACATGCTGCTATGCTTTCTAAGTCATTTTTCATTTGTAAGCTCAAATATAGTCCTAGTAACTCTTGAATTGTCTTTTTTAACATTTGGACGTGGTAGACTTCTGACTCAAGTTGATCGAGTCGGACATTGTAATGTAATGACTCAAGTAATTGTAATGTGGAGACTCATGTAGAGTCATGTCATTAGGCAAAAAAGTCGAGTTGAGTCAAGTCAGGTATTTATCTCAAGTCAATACTTGAACACAATATTAGACTTTGATAAAAACAGGAAAGAAAGTCATTTTTTTAAATTTTGAAATTGAACTGGCCGGGTTTCTACATTTGGTCACACATCTTGCTGTTCATAATAAAAAAAACCTGACATGAACATTATATAACGGCACTCGAAGTCATTGCAAATATTTTATTGCAAAGAAGTTTGCTTTTATTTATGGAATGTGTGTCTTATGTTTCAGTCAAGTTGGGTCTTCTGATGTAAAACTTGAGTCAAGTCATTTACATGCAGTGACTTGAGTCACCAAAAATTGTGATTCTTGGACTCGAGTCAAGTCATTGACTGGTGTCTTTACAACTCTGGGACATGGTCACCATGTGTACCTTTAATTGATTTCATTGACGATATCCATATTTTAAGAGGTGATTCGTAAAGTCAGTTACTCGGACTGTATTTAACATAGTGATCCTTATAAAGTCCTTGTTGCAGAATAGTAGACAATTCATCTTAACATCATGAAAGTCATAGCAAGCTTACTGTCATGTGCACATGTACATCAGATGCCTTAAACTTAGCTTCACTGACCCTCATTTGTATGAACCGTAGCCTCTGTCTGGGCCAAGATAATCAGATGCTCTCTATTCTTGGACACATGTTCAGCTACAGGTAATGTAAATCATTGCAAGTTAAGTAAGGATGATTTTCATCGCAACATCTCAAACAACGAACAATATTGTAACTTTCCCCACTACGTAGCTGCCTAACCCAACCTGTGCAAATTATTTTGAACTGCTTCTTTCCACAAAAGAAAGAAGAAAAATATGTCCTCTTTTGTGACACAAACTCAACATCCATGCTATCACAAATAGACTGGCACCGAATATTGGTCACCACGTAAACAGCTAACTCATACACCGGCTAATTCACACACCAACCAACTCGTACACTGACCAACTGATATGACCAGCTCATATGGCAACCTACATGTACACAACCAACACTCCTACAATGTTGTTATGAAATGAAATTTGAAAGTCAGTTGTAGTTTTTACTGAACTGTTGGATTTTAATCATGTTAATAGACTTTTTTAATGAATAATGAATTAAAAAATGGATGAATAGCTTGGAAAAGACGTTGTATGAGTTAGTGCACTGTTTGTATTGTACTTTTTAAAAGTATTTTTCCAGTATTCAGGTTTTCTTGACTGTTTATGATGCATGTATTTGTTATATTTCCAAAATCTATTTTGATATTAATTGCATTATTCTCTGAAAACTAGAGTGTGGATGTTTTTTCATGGATAAGGCAATTTAAGTCTCTTAAGAGCCGTATGGTAATTAACTGGCAGTGATATAACACAAGCAAATTGTAGCACTAAGCAGGTGCTGCCTCAGGAATCGTAGCTGGGAAGCAAAGAGCGGTTTGCGAGTTGGCTTGCGAACAAATAGGCACATGTATAAGTTGACAAGACAAGTTGACAAGATACAGGTAAAAGTATCAGCGATCATACGAGACAAATCAAGGTAAACATGTCATTCCAAGAATGGAGCTGAGGAAACAAAGTGTCAGTATCTTAACCAAAAATTGGGGCTACTTCTAAGACAGAAATTGAGGTCGTGCGGAGTTTGATTTGATTGACAATTATGTGCTAACAATTGGCAATCCTTACTTTTAAGACCCCTTACTTTTTTGTTTCACTTGGTGTTTGAAGTTTCACTACATGTAGGTACATGTATGCATCAGTCCAAAACTACCTGTGCAGTCTTGGGGAGTGAGGTGTTGGACCTTGGGAAATCACTTGCTAGAAACTGTGATATTCCTACGTATTTTAGCAGTTAAAGACACACATGTACGGGTCCTGTTTGTGGTCCATTGGGAAGCACACACAATAGTACACTTTGAAGGGGTTGTTTGGTAAACTGCTAGGTGACAGAGTTCAGGTTTCATTATGAGTGTGTCGATTACAGTTGATATGACTACAAATGGAACAAAGCTACACATCATTTTTTTTTCTTACAAGTTTTTCTTTGAGATAAACAGGTTTATCTGTTGGGGCAGACGAAGCTGCCTGGCTCAGTTTTATCTGGTTGTGGTGTGAGCTGAGGTGCACTCACACATGTGGCTGGTGTTGTAGGTTCTTTTGCATTCTCCCAACTGTCTCTGAGGTGTACACGATTGTACTGTAGCATTTGTGGCCAACTTCAACTACATGTATATACATGTAGCTGGGGGGTGGCGACCGCGTCCTTACTCCAGATGTGGACGAAGAGCTGCCTGTCTTGGGTCGAGTTTTAGCATGCACTGGCTACATGACCAACAGCTACTGTAACTCGGGGAGCTTGTGGCAGTGCATATTTAATACAGCTATACACGTTGCTCTTTGTCTCTTGATCACAACTTGCTCAGTGACTGCTTCTGCGCTAGGGTTTGTATAGGCTGTTCTTGCAAGGCAGGAATGAGCATGTCAGTCAAGACATTTAGGTGCTGTCCAGAAGAACTGGACATGCCTGGTGTAGAGGTGTTCCTCCCACTCAAGAGTAGCCTTCCACAATGTCACTGTTGTCTTGTGGAGCTTTGTCAAGGTCCTTTGGCAATTTGACCACAGACTCTGCTTCTCTTTGGAATTGGAGTGGTTGGTGCTTATGGTGGTTAATTAAGTGCCACTCATTTGCAACTTGGGTGAATTGGTGTGACACATAGATAACACAGGTCTGTTATCTGTCTGTGACTGGTGTAAAATCTCAGTGATTTAGGGGTTCCTTTTAATCATTACTTTAATTTTCTTGATTGCTTTCAATTCTGCAATATGTTAGTTTCACCTCATGCAGTAGCCCAGGAATGTGAGGCAGGAATGTGAAGTGATATACATGTATGGGCATCGTACACAATCTCAAAGTGGATTTTTGAAGTGGTGACCCATTGATTTGGCATCTCAAGCTGGCAGCTCCAATGGAGTGTATGATAAACAGTTTCAGCGTTGATGGCACCAGCAGCATGTCACTGAGCTACTTGTAGTCTGCTAGCTCCATGGTGCACGTTGCAGCAGAGTCTAACTGAAAAATCCAATGGTCTTTGTCTGATCTCTTGTTAGGGTCTCCATAGCTCATACATGTACATGCCTGCCCTCCGGTCATTAGATTTCTAGTAGAAATATCGTTAGGAAGATTTTATCTTAATTCATTTCAATAAAGTTTACATCAATATAGAATCATTACAGATGACTTTTAAAAAATCTATTTCCATTTTCTAGGATGGATTGTTTATTTTCTGTTAGGTATATTCCTTATAAAGGTCAGGAATCATCCTTAATCAAGCCTTTAGAATGCAATTTTATATTTAAAAAATAACTTTGTCCCTTCTTTTTTGATACATTTTGCTTCAGAACATTCAAATTTGAAAAACAATATTTGATAATTGATCAAATATTTGATTGTGCACCAGTTTGAGCAGTTATGACTGGAAAATGTGGTTTTAAAACTTCACAGAATTAAATTCAACATGAGTGTTTAACTTTATAAAGGTTGGAGTGTGTGGGGAAAAAATGTAGGCATAACCAACACAGTGATCAGTCAAGGGATAGTAATTGTTCACTGCTCACTGTGGTTTGGCACTTTAATAACAATGAAAACCCACAGTCTGATAAAGAGAGATGCTCAAAGTCCTGGTATCACCCAGCTCTACATGTATAAACATGATATCAGGCGGCTGAACTTGGATTTTCTGGTAAATGAAAACTTATGGCATGGCTATAGCCTGAGCATTGAAGTTCTGGCCAAACAACGTGCTTCAAGTGTTTCACCTTGGTTACATGCAAAATAAAGCAGTGACATACACTTCTATTTTTATTTGCTTTACAGAATACAAATAAGCCAACTACAGGGCAGGAAATTAGTATTCCAATTCCTGCCTGTGTGCTCCACTTTGGACCCTATTAAAGGGTAGCTGCATTGAATTTTTCTTGGACACAATTTTCCTTCAGCTTTGTATTCTTCTCCAATGTATGAAAAATCTTTCATTTTCATGTGGATAATTCTATTAATTAGGGGTCCAATTTTTTTCATGTCCTTTTCACATCTGACATGTGATTTTTAAAGTTCAGAACACATCAAGACGTTACGTTGGGTAAGGTCAAAACCCGTAATATTAACATCAAGATGAGGAATTAAAACAAATTACCTGCCAAACAACTAGAAATAGTTTGAAATCCATTTCGGTGATATATTCATGTCAAATTAAACAGTTTAGGTGTAACAGGGAACCCAAAAAGTCTCATTTTGGACCTCACATTTCTGGAATGACCCATATTTGGTTAGTTGTATTGAAAAGTGCATGTATTTAAAAAAATTAAAATTACCCATGCTTTCCCAGACAACCAAGGGTGCTATTGCTATGAAATCGTCTAGGGAAAACGTGGTTCAGTGCGTAAGTGTTTCTGTTCAAATTGTGAACCAAAAATTTACTTTCTGAAAACATTTCTAAGAGAGAGATCGATGCTTTCTAATTCTTATTGGACACAAACAACAACGAATCAGCAAAGCAAAGAAAACCAAGTCCAGGAAAATCTAGTAAAATGCAGGACTTTTTTGTGTACAAATCAATGTAACATTGAGGCATCTTCCTGAGATGACATCACAGTTTTGCTCATGAATATGGAAATAATCATTAGCATAAAACCATAACGGCAGTAAAATACCTTTTGAAGTAGTGAAACAAAGGTTGAAAAAGGTTTAACTGAGACACAAAGGTGTTTTTTGAAGGTTTGTATTAAAAAAATGATTGCTGCTACCCTTTAAAAAAGAAAGACTTGGAAACATGCACGTAACATACTAGCAGGGTCCTACAAGTAAGGATTGTCTGGGTGATTTTGGGCTTGCTTGTCTTCACAAGATCAAGCAGGAATTGGGAATACATGTATTTGTATAAGCTGGCGTGCCCAACAGATTGATTGGAGAAATAACCTTCATTATCTTGTACATATCATACCCCCCCCACAAAACCACCTCCCCTCCTCCTCCAACTTGTCATTTGAATGACGTGACAACTTTATACCTCAAGACCTGTAAGCTTGGAAGCTGGTGGAGGCCAACCCCGAAGACTGTGGCAATGGTAGGATCGTTAATTTTCTCATGAGTTGCTGTTCTTGGAGGACCTGCTGATACAATTAAGCTCTCATTCACCATGCATTCAACATCACTGCTCTTGCCACCATTCTTTCCTGCACACATGGTGAGTTTTGTTTCTGTATTGCTTTAACCCTTAAAGAATAAACTTTTTCAGATCACAGCCAGGGGAAGGGACTATCACATTTCCAATATTCTTAAAACTTGGTTTGCATGAAAAGACATTATCTAAAATTTGCAAAGTTTATCTGCGTGAAGTTTCATTTCAATCTTGATATTTTTTTAGCTCATGGTCTCATGCTTAGCAACCCATTTTATGCCAGTAGGAACAGTTTACATACATGCTTTGGGAAAATGAGCATTTTGAAAGAACAGTATGTTCAATTTTCATGAAATTGAATGTCAAAATAATTGTAAGACGCTACTGGAACAAAAATTTATTGCAGCAAAATGAGATAAACCTTCAGGGGATTTGAATCCCTTACCTCCAACCCTGACTCTCTTGGGAATATACTTTGCACTTTGTTGTGCAATTTTCTGCACCCTTTTTTTCACATTCAGTTTTCAATCCTTGTGCATTTAAAATGGCCGTCACTGGTGGCTGAAGCAGCGACCAATGGCCCCCCCTTTTAACTGGGGGCCTGCCGCCCTCCCATTTTGCAGGTCCAATAATTGGATGGGGTTCAATGGATCAACCTATTAATGGCTGATGCCTAATGGTCTGACAACTCCCCCTCCCCCACTTTGAAAATCATTTTGCCGCCTGTGATAGCCATCCTTTCTCAGTGAAGTTGCCCATTCACTTTTGTTTGATGAAAGTTTTATGTTTAAATTAAGATGACATTTCTGTTACTTGTCAAAATGTTGTCTTCCCAACTACTTTCAATCCATCTTCTAATTTTCAATTGGTTTATTGATCGGAGCTTGTAGCAGTGTAGTTTTAACACTGCTTTAGCTCTTTGTCTCTTGGTCACAACTTGCTCGTCAGTGTTAAATTCTGCAACCTAGGGCTTGCATAGGCTGGTCTTGCAAGGCAGGAATGAGCATGTCAATCAAGACATTAGGTGCTGTACTGAAGAACTGGACATTCCTGGTGTAGAGGTGTTCCACCCACTCAAGGGTAGCCTTCCACAGTTGCCACTGTTGTCTTGTGGAGCTTTGTCACAGGTCCTTTGGCAATTTGACCATGGACTCTGCTTCTCTGTTTGACTTGAAGTGGTAGGGCTTTGTAGTGGTGTCTTCAAAGCCCCAATCATTCGCAAATTGGATGCGTTCGTGTGACACATTGTTTGCTCCATTACCTGTGTTGTGACAGGTGTAAAATCTCAGTGATTTGGGGCGCTCATTTTTTATTCTTTTAATTTTTCTTGATTTTTTGAATTCTGCAATTTATTAGTTTCACTTTGTGCAGCAGCCCAGGAATATGAGGCACAGACGAGCATGCTCCTGTGGTACAAAGAGTGGCCCATGTATTCTGTTTGGTTTTCGTCACTGAACAGAACACGCAAAATTGAAATTGAAGTCTCTTGAAAGAATTCCTAGGTTTTCATGGCGCTGGCCACGTTCTGCTGCCAGTAAAATTGTCACTTCTGAATAAAGATGTTCATCTATGGAGAGCCTGTGTCGCCCAGTTTCATGTGATAAGGCAGTGAGGCATGCCATGAGTAGCAAGCACTGGTTTCATGCCTTCATTGGTAATTTTGAAGTCCTACCTGTGGCGTGCACATGTAATAGGAAAAATGGCACACAACTGGGGAACTCGCAATTACCAAAAATCTCTAACTAAACCAGGAAACTAAATTAATAAGGACTCAGACACCAATATATGATTTTTACAAAAAGGACACAAAAGAATTTATTTATGAAAAAGTACTGAAAAAATCGCCAAAAAACAAAACCATAAGGACTAAAAAAAAAAACCAACACAGTGTGTCAAAACAGGTCTAATGAGAAGAAATTGGCTTTCGATCACTGACTCATAGAAGCAAAGACAAACCTGACTCAAGCAGAAACACACACTCCAGTGAGAAAGAACAAAATGAACAGTGATAGTGTCTCTACTGGTTTGCTCTTCAAACTAAGTGGTCAGAGCATGGGGGGTCAAGTTAAATGGGTAGAAGCAAGTGCCAAAGTAAATAAACAGGAGGATACACAAACAGAAAAATACTGGGGAACTCTAAACAAAAATTGTATATGTAGACGGCAACTACTCCTATGAAAAAATGCTTACAAAAAGTAAATCAAATTTCTAGCTCTTCTGCTCACACATCCATGTATTCTAAGTAGAGGTCTACCAATACGCTGTATCTTTGTCCGTTGACCTCAAATTAGTCACAACTAACTGCCATTGTGTCTGGGATGCTGGGTGTGTCATGAGGGGCTCCTTGGCAGTGCTGAAGGTCTCAAGGCCAGTTTTTCAAAGCCTTTGCCTTGGTCTTGGCTTCGCTACATAATAACTCGGCCTTGGCCTTAAGACTCGAAGAATCAGTCGAGGCTGGTTCGAGGCCGCCTGTTGAGTCAGTTTTTACTTTCCCCCAAAAATGTTATCATGACTAAGTACGTGCGATGTGCATGGATGTGCTGTGGGCATGGATCATTTTTGTGTACAAACATGCGGAATGGTAGCTAGACTCCCTGTAATGACATAATGCAGCTAAGTTTTATCCCCATTGACCACACTTACTTTCATTGATTGTTGTGTGAAAAGGATAGCTTTTGTGTTGCAGGAATTGCGTGTAGGCTACAAGTACTATAATTTTTGGAATATAAGGCTGTGCGGAGTACAAGCCACACCAAGCAAAAATCTGCAAATTAAGATTCAAAGTCGGCATTTTAGCCGCACCAGCATATAAGCCGTTCTGTGATGCTGACGAATCTGTCTAACCCCTAAGTCATTGCACACGTAATCTTCCATTGGTTGATAGGAATGCATTCCTACTAAACAAATACCAGACAGCCAATTTGCATTACTGCTTCTCCCTCTCCTTGGCTGTACACAAAGGAGGCATTTGGTGGCAAGTAGAGGAATTCAAACGCCAGGGTAATGCAATTATCCACCAAGACCCAAGAAGGGCTATCCACATCTACTCTATGGCATTGGGTATTGACGATGATCCTACGCACCCCTTCAATTTTCTGACGCCACGAGAGAGGGCAATTCTGTACAGCAACCGGTGTGTGGCATTTGTGAAAATATCGGATCTTGGACAAGCTTTTGCAGATGCCATGGCATGCATCAGAGTGGACTGCACTTTCCCAAAGGTGAGATGGGCATGGGTTGACATTAAAATCTGATTTCTTATGTATTGTTTATATATGAGGTGCATTTTTATGCAAATCTTTGGGGAACTACAGATGGGTGTCTTAGTCTTACAATCAAACATCCATAGTTCATACCTTGAACTTTTGTTTTGTTTCGCAAAATGGTATAATAATGATAACATGAACTTAATGATGGTCAAATTGTCAGTATTTTAGAAAAGTTTTGGGCAAACACAACAGACAAAAGGAACTAGTTGACAGTATTTTGACCTGATATTAGGTAGTCGGGTAGAAGTGGTGCATCAGTGACCTAAGATGTACATGTAGACGAAAAAGTAATGTAGCCTTTCTCCATTCTTAACACATGAAGGTCCGTCAAATATGTGTTAAGTTGTTTACACTGTTAAGGTACAAAAGTCTTCATTTCTGAAAGGTTTTTCATGAAGTGAGTAATCTTCATGTCCAATCCTAACAATGAGTTGCTCACAATCACTGAAGAAGGCTCTTTGGCCAGGTTAACTTTCTCTGACTATCTACATGTATGTGTTGCATGGGACCCTGTGCAAACTTACCCTCAGAAATGACAAAGAAACTTACAGCAAACACTTGGATGCAATTTCAGTGCCATCTTCAGGATAAAGCCCACACGATTTTGGAGGGTTGCAGACATTTAAATGAAGATAAAAAGTGCAGTGTGACCTCCTCTTACCCCACTTCTTAGCTCTATCAGGTGGTCAAACACCGTTTAATGTTTTCAAAATGAAGCCCACAGCAATCTGAATTTGAGCAATCCCCCCCATTAATATTTTTCAGGGTTACTGGCGGGCTGCCTCAGTGCTGAAGCAAATGGGTAGAGAGGAGAAGGCTTTGGAGACCCTGATCACGCATTACCCCACGATTTGTGGCAGTGATGGCAAAGCATTTTACAACCGTGTTGACTTTGTATATGAGATCACAATCCTAACTGATCAGCTTTGGGGTGAGTTTTCCCCATATGGTACACAGGTGTTGAAAAGGCCCTAATATTCCTACATTGTTGAAGATTTAGCATTTATGAAAAGGGAGTTACCTAAACATTTTGATATGGGAAAAAAAGGAGGGGGCCCAACTGGAAGCGAACCTGAAGATATGAGCTGAACAGTTTTTATCTTGTGTACATTTTTGTCTTTTGTCATTGTAACCAGCTGAGAAGAGAAGAAACTGGAAAAAAAAATTACTAATGTGCCCTGAAAAAGGGGGAAAAATTGAAGGGACGGGTCTTACTGCCCCCACATCTGCTGCTGCAGGCATTCCCAGAACTGCAATGATAATTTTACGTACCGTACACCCTAGGGGATTAGTGTTAATTTGAAGGCAAGAATGAGTACTTTGTCCGATCTCACCTGAGACTGTAGGAATTTTTAGTTATCTGAAAACCTCAGCTTCTGATTAATTTCTACATTTTCCCTGATTAAAAACAAGAAGACCCAACATTTATTTCCGAATTCCATGAGCATGAGGAAGAGTGTAATTCTTTTTTTTGCTTGACAAAATCCAGATCACATGTGAGGCCTTACTACATTTACATGTATCTTGTACTGTAGATGCTCATGATTGGTCAAAATCTAAAGTGAGGCCCCTTCATGACCTGCAACACATTTCATTGATACTCCCACTGACAGCCCCTTGGTCATGAGGCCTTCTTCACTCCTGTTTAGGCATCATCATCACCCTACTTTTGCATCATGCAGCCCATCTCATGTTAAGGAATGGAAATTTTCATGTAGATAAATGGCGAGAATCACAGCCTCTCTTCAGGCATCTGGATGTCCACACATCTATCTGGACTGAAGTTGTGCAGCGTTTGGCCAAGAACAAGAAATATCACGTAAATTATATTGTTAGTTTTCTGGTGTGAAAGATTACAGAAGTTTTTGTGCCTGTCTGGTTTGGTTCTGTAGTGAAGGGGACAGAAGTTGCTATGATTCTCTTGAAAGTGACTCTTTTTAACCACGTGACACCGGATGACGTGTAAACACATAATTTTCCTTATTTGTCCCGGAAAGGGTGTGTATACACTCATTTAAAAATTCTTTTTTCATTTCGGCGGTTGAGGTACTAACGCGTCATGTTTGGTTGGGTCAAAAGTGCAATTGTAAGGTTGAAGAATTTACAGATAAAAAAAAACAGTCCCAGCAGCTTTTTAAGGTAAGAAGATTTTTTGTTTATAACTAGTTAAGGACATTCAAACAAGTTTTGCATCTTTACAGATGCCCCATTTGAGTTTAGTAGTTTGGCTTTTATCTGTTTTTTTACCATGCCCTTGTCATTGCCATAAAGGAGACAAAATGGTAAAAAATGAACTATGTTCAAAGAAATCATTTTACTAAATCTAAATTTTTTTCTGCCTTAAATTAAACTTTCTCCATTTTCTTGAGAAAGTCACCGAGAGACATGTTGAATTTTCTCATTTTGAGCTCCAAATTCTTTTTTCCCCAGGGTTTGCACTTGGTATTCCTTCAAGGTTGTACTCAACCGGGTAAGCCGTATGATATTGGGAAAGGTGGTGTGGCCACAGGCTGTAACACCTCAGATCTTGACCTCCAGACCACAGTTTGGTAATTCCTTATTTGAGCTCTACATGTATACGATTTGACTTTAACATAACTTAGACATGAGAAGCAAAGTAATGTTTGTGATATTACCTTCAATTTTGACTGACTGTGACTTTTTTATTTTAAATTAAAATGTTTTTCAATATGTACTATACATGCATTTAGTTGAAGTACAGTTTGAAAATCACTGTGGTATGGAATTTCAGGGGTGGGGGGATGGTGGGTGGGGGAGAATTAAGGGAATATTCAACCCCCTTTTCTTAACGTGCCCTTGTTCACAACAGCATTTACACCATGTCTGTTATTAGTGTCATCAACAGTGCCAAATTGTTCCGCCATTGAGCTCTGCCTATACGTTATTTACTGTGTGCTTTAAGCAGAAAACAAAGAATGTGGGTAATAAGCTGGACCAAAAGAGCCTCTAGCAACAGTGGCTCCTTTGGTAGGAACTTCACTTAGCTGTTTCATGAACGTCTGTGAAATGCACACATTTCATGCATTTTGCTACCAACAGAACAAGCAGTCTCAACCAGCATGGCTCTTTTCAACCAAAGGGGGGGGTTGCTCAAGCTGGATAGACAGCACTGCCTTTTCAAAGATGTATTGTAACAGTTTGTAATTTGTAAAGAGTCCCCTAATGTGGAGCACGTTGATGTTTCCCTAGACTTTTTGGGGTGGAGAAAAGGACATCTGGGTGGAGTGAATTGCCCAAGTCTACTGCTTTCAAATTGCCCAGAATACCAATACTAATTGCATATTTCCCTGGACCATTATGCCATTTGCTTAATTTTCAATCAACCAGGAGTGCGCCCTCGTGTCTCACAATGCCTAGCAGAATGGCTGCCATGTTGTTCCTCTTTTTCATAGCACCATTACGTACAACATGTTTGTCCAACTTCGAGTTTTCAAGATTTTTTTGTTCGCTATACTGCATAATTGTGTGAAAGTTCTTGATCAACTGCTATTTCCTAATAAACTATTCTTGTATGTTATACGACGGCTTGTGGTAAGACTGTTCCTTCTTTTGACACCTTTTCACTGCCTTTCGTTATCGTTCTGCATGTGTAGGTATGTATTGTCTCCTTTTTTGTGATCGTAATGGAGCTTGCGAGGAGACGGTTCCTTCTGTGTCACCTTTCTATGCGCTTGTTATCATACTGCATATAGCTGTGTATAGGTGTGTATCTTAATGTCTCTTATTCATGATGGTAATTGATAGATTGATCCTTTTCCTGCCACCTTGCACTGCATTATGTTGTAGCTGTGCAAGTGTAGGTGTTATCCAGCCGCTACGTACCCAGATCCAGATCAGTACTTGCCCTCTCCACTCCATACATACACACAAGACACCGGGGCTGAACAGGAGAATCAACCCGCACCATTTCAGCAACATCAAGCGACAGTCATGTGGAGTCAGCACGGTACCAATGCCCCATGCCTGACTGAGGCAATCACCAATCTGGATCTGTATGCACCCGACTATATGGATCCAATGTCCAACGAGGAGGAACCCGGAACTCGATGGGCAGTCTGTCCCTGTGTGAGTCTCGCCTCCACTCCACTTCCGCAGGAGATAGTCCAAGTTCTGGGACTCCCAATTGCCCACTCCCACAATAGGAAACCCAAGATCATCCCTCATTCAAGCGGCACCTGCTAGGGACCAACTCTTCAACGTCTGTCTTTCCAGAGCTCCCACTTGAACGCATTTACATTGATGCCATGGATAGGCTGGCTAAGGCAAAACGCTAGTGTCCCTTTGGCGTCCACTCCAGCAGTTACTTCCACTGTCCTGCAAGTGATTACAAAATGTACTTCCTTGTGCCTGCCATTCCTAAGGCAGCAAAAAACAAGATAGCAACAGATAGATGCAAGCCCTCCAAACTAACCACCTGTTCTGAGAAAGCCAAGAACTAGATGGAGTCCACATTCTTGAATCACCTTACGGCTTGAACAGGTATCAAATGCATGGCCTTCATGCTGCTCCTGACTGAGTTCCTAGCTCAGGGATGCAGGTAGGGCTCTGACATCTCTCTTCGCTACTCTGGCCTTTCGTAGCCTTGATGAGTCACTAATAATTGGCCTTGAGTAATTCACTAGAATTTCTCTCCTCGCCATGACTGCCCGTAGAGAAAATGTCATCGGAGCTCTGAACATCCCATATAACTCCATCAACTCTGCACTGAAGAATCTTCCCAAGTTCAGCAAAGATCTCTTCGGGGGCCAATTTGTGAATCTTCTGGAGACTGAGGCTAAGCAGATTGACACAACCCATAAAATATCCTTCTGCCAGCCACCAAAAACACAACGTGACACTGACCATGGTATGGCCCAGAAATAAGCCAGTGCAGATCTTTGCCGTCCTCCCGACAACTTCAGCGGGCATCTCGCCTGACTGCTGCTAGCCTACCACTGCTAGCCTGCCCCTGGTAATCCCAACCAGCTTCCCTTAGCCCCTGTGCTGGCTTCTTCGGACCTTGAGGTAGCACCGCCAGCTGTCCCACTCGTCTCACCGAGGGGCAGCATCAGTGACTATTCCGCTTTGTCCATGACTGCTAATCCCCAGCCCAAAGGTGGTCATCTTTGAATCATTGCAGGGTTTTGGAGAGAGATATAGCTTGGACAGATGAGTGCTCAACACACTTAATTGCACAGGTTTAAACTTTGAGTTCATGAGTCCCCCTCCATCTGATATGATACTCTGGCAGACTCCACTCCCAACAATTGGGTTTTGGATAGAGACTTTCCATGCTGTAATGCAGTCTCTCATCATCCCAGCATGGGTGTCCTCGATCGACTTAAAGGATGCCTACCCACATACCCCCATCCACGCCAACGATTGCAAATTCTTCCGGTTCTTGTGCAAGAATCAGATATACAAGTTCTGCACCCTCCCCTTCGGTATTTTCACCTCACCTAGGGTATTCACCAGGGTGGTAAAGACCGTGGGAGCATAACTCCATCATTCCGACATCCTCATCTTCCAGTACCTCAAGGCTAATCATTCTCCTCCAAGCTAATCTTCTCCAAGAATGAGACTATTGCTGTCACTGAAGACACATACAACCTTATGTCTCATTCAGGGTTCTTGATCAATCACAACAAGTCCAGACCTGCACCATCCCAGGAACTGACCTACCTTCAAAGTTTGAATGACTCTCATCTCCTCAACAGTATCACCACCCCTACAGACGATCGTGTCGACAACCTAGTACAGTGCATCACCATGTTCCAGGACCAATGACAGGTTGCCAGGGCATGTCTTCACCTTCTGGGGTTGATGGCCAGTCTTGAAGATGCTCCCCTGGTGTCGTCCCTCCACATGAGACCTCTCCAATTCTTCCTCCTAACACACTTCAAATCAAGCAAGTACCCTCTTGACTTGTAGATCCCCGATGTCAGCCTTCCACGCTTGGCCTGGTGGTCAGTGAAAGACAGCCCCACCATGGGCCTCCCCATTTTAACTCCGAGACACAATGTGATGATTACAACAGATGCCTCAAACTGCAGCTGGGGGGTGCCCGTCTTCCTCCATGGCAAGCTTCCTGCCTTTGGGGCCTTGACCTTCGAGGCTCCCACATCAACCTTCTGGTGCTACTTGCTATCTATGAAACCCTCCATCACTTCTGTTCATCCATAGGCAAGAGGGTCCTGATCCGATCAGACAACTCAACAGCCATGGCATTATATCAACCATCAGGGAGGTGGTGTCCATCTGAAATAGTCAAGACACTATTTCGCGTGATTGATAGACCTCACATGATCTCTTTGTATCCCCCTGAATGCCCAGCTGTGACGCTCTATGCGTCTCCAGGGAAGGAATACTAACATACACATTCCCACCCTTGTGGCTTATCAACATTTCATGACATTCATTATCATGACATTTCAACTCATGGTGTAAAGGGCAAGCTACAGATCCTACCAAGGAACCTCTATCAACCATAGCTGACTTCTTTATGCACCTTTTCAACTCTGGCCTCCTGGCTTCAACAATCAGAAACCACCATTCAGCCATGGCAGCAATCCACTGAGGCTTCCCTGACAGATTGACCATCTCCAACAAGTCAGAAATCCTTCACTTTCTCAGGGGAATGTTCATAGAATCCCCCCCAATCTAAGAAACTCATCCCATCCTAGAACCTAGGGGATGTTCTGTGATGTTCGGCCCTCTGTTCGAACCTGCAGGATGAGCCTCTCTCCTCTTAAATGTCGAGCTGGCATTCCTACTAGCTGTTGTTACTTCACAGAGGGGCGGTGAAATCAAAGCTTTCTCTGTAGCTCTGCATATCATCATACTCAAGCAATCTTTTACGGTGAGTCAGGGTTTTATCCCTTTTTATGTTGATAGTCCCTTATACTCACAATAACTTTGGATTATCTGCTTCTACTAATATATGGTAGTGCAACCTCGCCTAACCACCACTCTGGTGGGGTGCTACTTCGCAGTCAGTATTGGTAATCTGGGCAGAAGACTCTCCCGCCACCTAATGTGGGCTGAGTTTACTAGAGAACACCTACCCAGATTACCACCCTCCCTCCATTCCTCATCACTCAGCCTCGGTGCTCATGTGCTCGAAAAAGAGGAAGAACGTGATGGTAGCCATCGCACTAGGTTTTGTGGGAATTAAATGAGGGCGTAATACCGGTTGATCAAGAATTTTATAACGAATTACGGCATAATGGTCTAAGGAAATATGCAATTAGTATTGGTAACCTGGGTAGGTATTCTCTAGGAGACTCGGCCCACATTAGGTGGGGGGAGATCAAGACATGCTGCCCGCAGCCAGATTTGAACCCCAACCCTACATACCTTGACCACTAGGCCACATGCTGCCATGTGAAGGTACATGAACAGCAGAACTGTGGTTTACTGGCATGCAGTTGGTTAGCCATGGGCAAAGCATCCTGACTTGGTTATTTATTTATTTATATAGAGTGTGCACCAGAACTTGGCATCCATTTTGGAGCTCTATTGTTAGGCCACGTGTGGGAAAACTGGCCAGGTCCTATGTACACCACTGAGTTGGTAAAGATTTGTTTCTAGTAACACATACAAGTGTATGTAAAAAAATGGTCTTAGGCACGTCTTGTAAGGCCCTTTGGACAGTAAATCAATCTACACAAATTAAATCTCTTGCAGTGATCTTTCCAGTGCTAACAACAGTTGGAGCATGCCCCTGGTACTGGAGCTGCTCAAACATGGATCAAAGGTCGAGGGTCTCAGCCAGAAGGAAGGGGACACGCCCCTGCACTGTGCAGTTGAGAATGCACTTAAAACTGGTAAGTATATATATATGTAAAAGATATTTCTCTATCTCTCACAGGATGCATGAAATCAATTCAAAGTTATATCTGCGAAATTCATAATGCTGTCTGGAATTGCCACCAAATTTTCCTTGTGAAAAAAGTGATGCACTGCAATAATGTCACTCAAATATAGCAATGAATACGGGCGCTTCACAATAGTGCACCTCCAATGCAATGCGTTGGACAATCACGATGCACGAAATCTGTCAACCCAATTCACATTTGAAAAGGGCGACAGATTTCATGTACATTTAGTGTGATTGGCCAATGTCCTGCAAACTCTTAGAGGAACACTATTGTGAATCACTCGTATTAATTAATTGCAAGGGATATGAAAAGCTTTAGGTTTCTATATTTAGAATCACCTACACCTACCTCATAAAATTTGTTACATCTTGATAGAAATGTTTGGGTTACTGGAATCAGCTACTAAGGGAAACTGATTGCTCTACATTAGCAAATGGATCAGGTCAAAATTTTGATTTGTTGTTGCAGTTTTGGAATCTGGAAAATTGCTCAGGCATACGATACTGATGACACAACAGAGGGCAACATTTGCAGGGGAAGTCACTACATTGCATTTGGACCAGGCTGTCATATTGTCCTAATTTGTTTGAATTTCCCCAGGATGGGTGGACCTTCTGGAGTACCTCCTCAGTAAAGTTTTCACAATGAGCGAGCAGCGGAATCTGCCAGACCACTTTGGGGATTCCCTCTTCCACCTGGTGGCCAAGACAACTGGCCCATACTGTCACGCCAAGACGGTCGTTGACGTCCTATGGAAGTACAGAGTGGACCCCTCCAGGAAGGACCAGCAGGGATGCATGCCTTTGGACGTTGTGCCCATGAGCAGCCCACACTTCACCAAGATACATAAATTGCTGACTGAGACTGCGGAACAGTTTATGGGGCAGAACCAGCAGCTTTTCCAGCAACAGGCAAGGATCAGATGAAATGTAGCAGTAGACAACCCAGTCCTTTTTGCCAGCTCTGGGCATGTGTGCGTAGTTCTAAGGCATGCGCAGTAATAGAAATGAACCATTTTGTCTGCCATCAACAAGCATTTTAAAGTCTCCCAATGAATCAAGCTCAACAATTGTCTCAACTATTTTGCTAATGATTCGACTCCAGTCCCTACATTACAGTGACTCGACTTGAGTTTAGTCACAAAACCTAGTGACTTGTCACAACTCTGGTTCAAGAAAATTCATATATCATATGACCCTGCCCTAGTGCATACTTCCCGTCATTGAAACTTTGGTTTCTGTCAGTGTTCCCCTGCCATTCTTTGATCTTTCCAAACTGTCTTTTGGTCCTCGTGTGAGTGCAGGGAAAGCCAGAAAAATCAGTAAATGACATAAAGAAACAAATTCCTGAAAAAGAAATCCACATAGTCTAATCATAGCCTCAATATCTCACATGCAGATTTAGCATATATGATACCAGCCAGCACATTGTTTGTCACTGGATATCTCGATAGCCAAAAGTAGGTACTGTGGTCTAAGCCAGGAAGAATTATTCAATTAATTACTGGGTTGACCAGTGGGTACATCATTTTTTCTGTCAGGTTTGTGAAGATTATTGTAGTCTTTCTGAGTTATGCACAGGACAACAGTTATTTGAATCAAACAATCTCAAACATTATACACATGGCTGAAATGAAATGCAAACGTGCATGATCACAGGAGGTGCATTATTCTTGTTTTTAACATTCTTCTCAAGGGCTAACTCAGGCTTGTGTAAGGATTGCTGTTGGGCCTACACTCCTGAAGCTGATTTTGGTCGGCAGATTTTCCAATTTTTTGGCTGAGCCCATTTTCACATCTGATTCTGCTTGGTTTAAACACTGAGAAAAAAATCCATTTTATTGATAAAAACTGTTGTAAATTAGGAACAATGAATGGAATGAAAGACTTGCAGACCTATTGTATTTTCTGGACTCCTGAGCACTGGGCCTGTCTTACACCTCCTTTATGGAGAGTGGTCAGCATGTGCACATTTCACTCATGACATGCTGAGCATGTGCAGCCGAGATGATGTAGTGAATGATAACTTTACTTGCATCTGCCAAGTAGAAATCATAAAAATCACTTTCAGCTGCCGAGGCTCATTAAAAGTAAATAACAATAAAAGGCTGCTCACAGTCTGGTGCCAATCTTATAAGGTAATTATTACTATGAAAGAAGACACAAAATGTAGTTTGACTGTGTGGACCTGTCCACTGTAAAAGGCAAAGGGTTTCGAAGCCCCCATGGCAATGAAGGTTGATATAAAAAGCTAGAAGGGGCATGGATGAAGATGACTTCTGCTTGACTCAGCTTAATGGAGAGTGAGGGTGTGTTTGTGTAGAACCGATGCTAAATTTTTCTGCATGTTCTACAACTACTTTCCACATGAAGTGATCTGAAGAATAGGACAGAATTCTGTTTACCAAATTTAAATATTTACTGATAACCACCCAGCCAAATGCTTGAGCTTTGTCTTACCAAGAGAAAAAATTCACTGCAATATGTTGGAATGTAGTGCACTGCATGCTAAGATAAACGATTCCCCAACCTGTTTCTTTTGTGTTGATGATGTGGTGCTTCAAGTCAAAGGGTAAGGAGGCAATATTGGAAACAGATCAAGTGACCAATGTTCTTTCAGAAGTTCTGTAGGTATTGCTAGCTGACTTCATATTCATGAGTGATGTGGCACACCTTTTGTAAAGTAAGCACAGCTGCTTCCAGGTACACACAGGTATGGAGAGCCTATTGCCTTTATCAGCATGCATACAGTGCATATATGTTCTGCATGTGCATTAGAAGTGCTGGCAAATTTTACAGTTCAATCAGTCTTTTGAGGGCCCAGAGAAATTATGCCAGGCTTCTCAAAGAACTTAGACCAGTCCCTGCATAAAGTGGTGGGTAGGAGTGAAATACATACTCATTTTGTGTATAGCTAATTGCAAATGTTGAGAGATTTTCTGTTCAATTTGACCTCTTGTTCATTTTTCTCCCTGAGCAGAAGCCCAACTGCAAACAGGAAGAGATGATGGAGCAGATGCAGAAGGAGGAACAGCTGATGCAGGAGCGGCTCAGGAAAGAACAGGAACGGAGACAGCAGGAAGAGTTGGAGGCAAGAAGGCAACAGCTGCTGGAGGAACAGCAGAGGCAAGAGAAGGAAGAGCAGGAACAACAGAAGAGAATACAGGAGGAGAAGAGACAGAAGGAGGAGGAACGCCTGGAGAAATTGCGCCGGCAGCAGGAAGAGAAGAAGAAGGAGATCCAGAAGAAAAAAGAAGAGAAGGAGATGCAGAAAAAGAGGGGTGAGATGCTACAAAACTAGAGTTTTGCTCTAAAACAATTATTTTGAATTTAACAGCAAAAGAATATAGTTTCTTTTAAAGTGAATAAGAGTGAAGGGAAAGAGAAGGTATGAGGCAAAGATGGGGAATAGTACAAGCAAACAAAATTGTATTAAAAGTAATACAATGAAGTACATGTGCAAATTGCTGAGGCATAAAAAATTCAGTAAATATCAATCATATTGTTTGTGCTTTGTAGTGTTATGAACCACCTCGCGCTGGTGGCAGTTAGCAATGTTGATGATGTTGGGGCGGGATAGTTAGCATTTTTTTCTATTTTCAAAATTCTTAAAAAATTCCTGAAGGACTGTCTGGTGGCCACTCTAGTCTGACAGACAAAATCTATTGACACCCGAGTATTTCAGCCAGGCCTGCAGCCCTGTAAAAAGAGCCCAGATTGTGCGGTGTTATATAACTTTCTTTTGTTCACGAACCTGGCAGAGTGCGCTGCTGACCTCTTTTCAGTAGGGGCCAGATTAGCATGCAGCAGTGCTGTGTGGCTCATCTCTGCGGTGGTGGAGCGCTTTTTGCCCCGGTGGTAATCCGCTTGCTCTAAATGCCCCAAACTGTGGTATACTGTTTCAAAACAAGGCTGGATTATCTTCCACTATTGAGAGTGAAAAAATGTCGGTAATGCTCAGCAGCCTGGTCGTTTGTTCCGAGTACGGTCTTTTGTTACAAGGTCCAGTTCCCTTTGTCTGATTTCGGAGACCCCAACCACTGCGTATAAACACATGTTGACCAAACCAGAATCCCCGGCAGTGGTTAAACGAGAATTAGAAATATAATTAAGTGACAGGATTTAACACAATTATTGTTCCAGTCTTCAGTTTAAATGAACAGGCCCTCAAGCAGTAAAGGTCACATTATGGAGACATGTACATTCATTTTTATGAATTGAAAATAAAATTTAAACAAAGAATAATTGTAACACTTACTTGTAGATTGTTTCTGTTGATTGGCTTACAGCATGATATGATGCTTCCATTTTTTGCCAATTTACTCTTCTCTCATTCTGAAACCTACCATATACATACAGGTTAAAGTATCATGTCATCAGCCACCAGAGTTGCACATCTGTGTGCATGCCTATTTCTGTCTTGGGCTGTGTAAAATTCGAAAAACATTGAAGTGACCATTAAGTTTCAATTTTTTTAATTTCAAATTGATATAAAATTACCTTTCACACAGTTCCTTGTCAAGATATTTCTGCAACCTTAAAAATATACAACATCTGTGTGTTTACAGACTTCTTTATTTTAGGATAAAATGAATCCCTTTAGTGACCTGTTGGGAATTCACACGAAGATGTTCACAAGCATACCTCAGGAGGCAAGTTTTTACTCTACCACATCAAAGAGTATTCTTGAATCATTTGTACTAGAGTCGTTGGGTTGGCTCAGGGATCATTTGGACACTGTCTTGGACACTAATCAGAAAAGCTTGTTTAAATTTGGAGCAGAGACCGAGGTCAATCTTCGCATCTATCATAAAGGCTTGACATTCCAGAAGCAAGGCAAGCACTACCAGGCCGTACCACTGTTCCTGGAGTTCATCAGCAAGGAGCACAAAAATGTGGTGATTTACCAGGATTTGAATCGCTGCAAGGATGCTTTGGTGGAGTCATTGGAACATTGCCAAAGTAATTATCAGGAGTAGAGAAAGTATAAGTTGAGAAAATAAGTAGTCCTCAACCCTAAATGGCCAGGGCAGGCAGTGGCATCACTGACTACTTTAGGAAGGGGTATTTGGGAGAGCTCTTATTTTCTGGAGGGGGCACTTGGTGGGTTCAGTCATAGCTGAAAATACTGACCAGGCAGACTATCACAAGGTGTAGCTCCTTCTCTAACGTATGACCAGCGGGGGACACACAGGGAAGGGGAGCAGGCCTCAAACCAGGAGTGGCATGCCCCATGTGCCCCCCCCTCCCCGGATGTGCCACTGAGAACGGGGGAGGGAATTAAGAGCTTTGGCTTTCAACTGATCCATTAGCCACTCTGTACAAGAAAATCAGTTGAGGAAAATTAGTATAAGTTGTGGAATTTTTGTCACCTTTATGCTACCCATTTTGTTCAGAAATACCCCCTTCCCTAGCATAGAAGAGAGAGGCTAGCATGAACCATTTCAACTGGATAACTGATGTAAATGTGGAGTTGTTTACTCCAACTTAAATTTGTTGCTTCTGCTCAGCACGGCATATACCAAAGGTTCATGAATCTGTGCTGTGCCGTATGCTGCATGCTGTACGTTCCCACCAAAGGGATGTCTCTATCATGGCAAAGTGTTAAAATGAATCATAACTGAATCTAAATGAATCATAACAGTGTTTTCTCAGTGTTTTTAAGTATACTCCCTCCATTTGTAGCCAAATGTTGAAGATGGACCCATTGTACTTCCCTAAACATGGCAAAACATGCTCTCCACCAATTCTTTGAGAGCCAACACTTTTTGGAAGACATCACTTCCACACAGGGGCATTGAAAGGCTTTCTGACAATTTCAGCCTGGTACGAACACATAGAATCACTAATGTTTGTTTGAGATTTTCGTTTACCTTGATTTTTTAGCCAATATCTGAACACTTGTGCAGAATGATCTTAGTATTGTTAGTGTGTTTCTACTTGTCTGGATGAATTCCCCTTTCTTTTTGCAATACTTCTACTGTAGAGATTCCAAACTCTATCAAGTTCAAGCCTCCACGGACCTACTGGAACATGATGGTGCAAGAGTTGGCCAACAAAAGCAAGTGGTGGAGCATGTTCCTGCTGCTGGTGGGACAGAGTTACCGCACCAACCAGAACAGCAAGGGTATTGCCCACGGCTGCGATGCTTCAGGGGTGTCCATAGTGGCGTTCCTTAGCCAGTGGAAGGGTTTGGACATGGACCCAGATCAGCTGACCATGGTGAAAGCCCTGCTCAAGGTAAATACGTAATGTGGTATCTGCTCCTTGCACTTTTTTAACAGGCAAGCATTTTAGATTTTGTAAACAAAGTTTTCAACTGGTTTATAGTTTTGCTATGTTTAGAACATTTTTAATGGCAAATACACTTCCCTGAGGCTTTCAGTACAATATTAATAAGAATGATGGGTGCACATGTGCACTATGTGTCTGGATTGGTAGGGGTTTATTTGTTCAATTCAAGCTACTTGTTTGGATTCAAATAAGCTATTTGGATTTAATTATTTATAGTGAGGATTCAGTTTTACTTCATTTAATGTGTCAATCTCTAAGTTTAGCACAGTGAAGTGTTTGTACAACTACATGTGCATGTATGCAATAAAATGCAAGCATCAGTTCAATACACTTTTGTTTTTCATCTCTGTTTTTCAGGACTAGAAATGTTGGTCACTAAGCAGAGAAGTAAAATTAGGAACAAAACATACAAGCTGGGTTATTTTGACCCATTTCACAGCCGGGGGGAGGGGGCAGATTCTGCCCCCAAGAACTTTACTGTGTCACGCCCAATTTTTTTGAAACTTAACATGCATGTGGAAACACTCCTTATAAAGTTAAATATGGAGTTTGAGGTCAGTTTAATATTTACTTTTGTTGTTATGGTCTTTTAAAATTCATGGCTACTTGCATGCCAGTCCATGTGCATTGAGCACCACGGTAGAAGAATACATATTTGCTGACCTGTTTTGGAAACGTGCACTGCTAGAGAGTGGTATCCCCATTTTTTTGCCAAAATGATTGCAAAGAATAACTCTAAAAACTCCTAAAGCCTAAACTCCAAAAAAAAGCACTGCGGTGATATACAAAAAATGTTGGGGGGGGGAGATTCCCCCTAGCTCTTTTAGGGTTAATGCTGTGGGTGTTGATCAAGCCTGAGTGGTTACTCTATTGATCACCAAGGATTTAGATCGCAAACAAATCTCTGACATATGGAGCAGTTATAACATTAAAGAAGCTGTTTTAAATGTTGTAAAACATGTACACCTGTCTAGGGTAAAAATTATTAAGGCTCTCACCTCGCAACAAATTCGTGTAAACATTTTTGTCATAAGAACAATGAGGCCAACTTGCCTCCAATCAAAAGAAAAAAACTGATTTGAATTTTAAAAGTTTATTTTCATATCTGATTTTAATTTTAAAAATTACCTTATTCAAATCAAGACAATCACAACCCTGCTGATTCAGCACACGTCAGCATTTTCTGTGCATCAAAGCAGAATTCAGTTTGTTGATCAGATTGTGCTTTTGGTTAACCATGACCATCTCAATTTCATCAAAATCTTGCAGATGTTCTAGGCACAGTTCTACTGGGGGCTGTAGCCCCCCCAACTTTTGTCTAGCCCTTTTCTCCCCAAAAAAGCAACCCCCCCAAAAAATAAAGCTGGAAAATATTGGATTCACAATTAAACTTTCATTTTTCTTTTTACATTAAATGACAATTTTTTTATTCCTAAAGTTAAACAACTGTTGCTAAAGTTAAAAGGTGACATCATGTTCCAGAATCTAGCCCCTCCCCTAAATTGGCTGCAGAACTGCACCTGAGGTGTTCTAAGGATTTCAAAGGATTGAATAGATTTCTATCACTTACTGAAGAAATGTGTGTTTGGCCAGTCTAAACAATTAAAATCAGATCAGGAGAATGGACACTTAAGATACCCCAGCCAAAGTCAAGAAACGTTATCTGTGTCCATTTTCCCTAACCAATCTTTAATGTTCAGCCACATATTTGTTCCTGTTTGTATGTATCTATCTAGAAAAAAAAACAGCTTTAAAAAATCATTAAATTCCAATGATTTCATTCGACAGTTTCACTTCTTACTTTTTTATTTGGTCTCAGAATAAGGCCAAGCCAGATGGCCTGCTGAATGACGCTATAACCCCATTAGCCCACTGTCTGAAGACAGAGAACTACGAGTTGGTCAACCTGCTACTGACACACGGAGCATCACCCAAGCTGCTTGTCATGGACCATGGTGATACCCCACTCCACTCTGCTTTGAAGATCGGCTTCAAACAGAAAGGTTAAGGGAAGCAAAGACTGCTAATACCAACCAACCACCAAATATTCAGCATTAAGGCCAAAAAAATACTTCTGCTTCTGGTTTCCCGACTGACCCTAATTTTTCGGCGTGACCCTAAAATGTTATTAGCAAGTTAGAAAAATAAATTTTGTGCTTCCATAAAATTTCCAGCTGAGGCATGATGTTCATCACCCGCCTATCTGGATCCATCATGGATGCTTACCATGCGATACACGGACATTGTTAACCAGTTTCTGTTGCTATTACCAGACTAGAATTGTGCATAGAGGTGTAAATTGTCAATAACTCTTAAGAATTATCGACTGTAGAAATGTTAACATAGATTAAGGCAGGTTTTTATCACTTTTTGTGGTAATAGTTGGTAGTTTTCATCCCCATTCGTACCGTCCAATCACCACAAAAAGTTGACACCCCTCACAAAAAAATGTACCTCCATATCGACTTTGTTTTTGAGAGGCACGTAATCAGAAGCAGAACTTTTTTTCTTCCTAATGCCTAAAATCAACAAGCCAATATACATTTGAAAACTTATAAAATCGCAGTTTACCTTCACATTTTTGCCAGACACTCTCCATGTATGTATGTACTCGAAGTACTTGGAGATGGTTTAAACCATCTGGTTTAAAAACCATCATCACAGGAGCATGTGTGCCTGGTCCATATACATTTTATTCATTCATTTGTTAGCGAGCTGCGAAGCAAATGCGAGCCATGTAACACCGATTTCTGTCTTAATTCTGTCCATCCGTCTTTCCAACCGTCTGTTGGGCCATCCAGCCGTCCTCAAATGTTACAAGTTTTCCTTGCAGGCACATTAAAATGTGCCATTGAGTGCTTGTTTTCTTCCTCTTGGAATTCTATCAGTATTTTTAATAGTCTCGTATGGCATTAATGCTTTGAAAAAATTATAAAAGTTGAATATTAACATTTTGAGTTGTACTGTGTACTTACCATGTAGTACATACATGTATAGGCCTATATACCTATATGCATACATATGTAATGAGCACTCCTGTAATGTACATGTACATGCATAGACAGTGTTTAGACACATACAAATGTACATGTACAGTATGTGGGGAAAATGTAAGGGATGGGGGGGACTCCAAGTGACAGATTAGGATGTTTGTTGGGGGAGGGATACCTGTAGGAGGAAGATCATGGGGACAAGGTACATGTATGTAGAAAGTGGATAAAATGCTGGATAAGGTTGGCGTAATGGTTGGGCTGGATTAGTGGGATGATGGGACAGCCAGAGTAAGAAGTGAAGGGTATGATGGGCAGTGGGCGGAGTAGGAGATGGATATGATTATAGGGAGGGGGAAGATTAGGAGATGGATAGGATGAAGGGGATGGGACAGAGTAGGAGATGATCTGATGGGGAGGGAGTGGAGTAGGAGATGGATAGGATAACGAGGAGGGGACGGAGTAGGAGATGGATAGGATAACGAGGAGGGGACGGAGTAGGAGATGGATAGAATGATGGGGAGGGGGCAGAGTAGGAGATGATCTGATGGGGAGGGGGCAGAGTAGGAGATGGATAGGATGATGGGAAGGGGCATTTTCAGTAATCCTTACAGGACACATAGGTCAAAATAGATTCGTTCCCTGCTGTATCTGTAATAACATAATTATAAGAAATACAACAACCTTAAAGTATGACGTCAAGTCTAGGTGGTGCATCCAAAAATTTTGCAACAGCCAGGATCGTAATGCAGAAAAAAATAAAAAATGAGTAACTGTTTATTTTGATGCATGCGGAGAAAGCAGCAAAGAGAAGCAAGTTATACATGCCCAACCTGTTTTTTATTGTTCGAAAACTGTATTGATAGATTACGATGTTATTCGTTATTACAGTGAAAAATGAAACACAAAAGGATCACCACTTTTATTTTTAAAATGTCAAACAAGAAACAAGCTGTTCCTATATTTCCATTTTTGATATAAATGGTAAAATGAAAAACTACTTTTTTTCAATTTTTGCCTTGCTCTCTTTTACGTTGAAAAGTGAAAAAACTCATTTTTAATCTTTTTCGTTTTCAAATAAAAAATGAATGAACAAGTGATACACAGGCCCTGTACATAATTCATCCCTTGAACCTGTCAATTTATGAACTGATGTAAAAGCTTATATGTGCACTGCGCTGGCAATTACTTATGTACAGTATTTTTCATTGGATCATTCTGGCAAATCAGTAGCCTTGGCTTTATGGGTGCATAGAGTTCCACAGCATTCGCATACTTGCAGTACTTTTTTGAACACTTTTAAGTTTAACAGTTGATTCCATTGCCTTCAAAATGATCTAACACTGTTCACCTATGAACTCACTATTTTTATGCTCTTTGTAGATCGCAAGTTCACTATACTGGAATTACTCCTGACCAAGTATTCTAGGAAGCCCAAGTCCACGACCTACCTGGACAAAAATGCCAAGGATGGTGCAGGGAACACCTTGTTCCACCTGGCCCTGACATGTAAACCCCAGAACCTTTCGTTCAGTGCCGTCCAGATCTTGACCCAGCACAAGGTCAACCCATGCATTCAGAACAATGAAGGCATGGTGCCACTTAAAATGGTAACTGATAAAGATCGGCGACACAAATACCTAGCGGAGGCTGAGAAGTACTACAACATGGGAAGCAAGTCCGTTCCCAGTGTATCCAGAGGTTAGAGAGATCAGGGACAGTTGCAGAGTTGTAACAACTGATTAAAATTCATTTGTGATGCCTACTGCAATATCAATTTGAACTAGCCATGTGTCTAGCTCACTGGTTGCAAGATGTCTGTACTCATAAGCAGGAGGTCTTAGGTTTAAGTCCCGCCCAAGCCAGCTTGTAAAATTATTCACAAGCAAAATACTGAGCATGGGGTCCATAATAATACAGCTGAATAGCAGAGCTAAACTATTCAGATTTGGTCACAAGTCATCAGAAATTGATCTCAAATCATCTAGTTTCTGTTTAAGTCACAAGTCTCTCACTTGAACTAGACAAGGCATGGTCCTTCACAAATGCCCGAACTCAATATGTGTGACTGCTGTTGATTGTCTTAATTTTATTATTAAATATCAAGAACAGTCCATTGCTTTGTTTTGTAATTGTGAAACTTTTTGGGTAAAATCCTGCAATGCTTCACAGAATATTTGGCAACTGTTTAATTATTGTTCACAGAAATCAATGTCTGCAGCATGCACTAATCTAGATGTAAACTTTAAGATGTATCGCCAGTGTACATTTAACAAAACCGTTTGCAGAACAATATTGTAGCTCCCATTAGTTATTTTGCAACTACCCAATGCAGGTCATCCTCTTGAAATTTCCTTCCTTCTTCTAATGCTGCACTATATACATAAAAATGTGCTAATGCTTATAACTATGGAAATTACTTTAAACGCATAACATCATTATCAAACTTACTTACGCCATACATTTTTAAAATTACCATTTAAAACAATCGTAAATAAACTTACTGGACAGACATCGAAACCATGAAAAGATTTAATTTTACCTTGCCAAGGGGTTGATCAGCACAGCTCATCGGATGGTACTCCTGCCCCTGGAGTCCCAGACAATTGGTCAAAGGCAGATGGGGAATCCAGACAGCAGGCCCATCACAACCAATCAAAGAAGGCAAGACCGACCGAGAAAAAGTCCCAGAGGGAAAAGCTGCAAGAAGAGGTAGAGCAGCTGATCAGTGCCATGCCCAAGTTTATCCCAAATGAGGCTAAAAAGGAAATAAGGCCAGCAGCAGAAACCAGTGTTGGGCCAGATACTACACTACAAAGAACTGAACCACAGCAAGCTGAGGAAGTTCCACAAGAAGTCAACAGTAAAGGTGAGAAAAAGAGACAAGTGTTCCAGGGTTGTTCAGGAGTTTTGTTAGTTTGACAGTACTGTATTGTCAAAGCTGGTTCATACTGAATGTACAAAACAACTCGAATTTGACATCACAAAGCACTTTCAATCAGAATTTGCCCAAGTTGTAATGTGGGCAATTTTCTTAATTTGTTGTGTGTTTTCTGCAGCGTCACAGATGTGCATTCATGTTCTCTTTTATTAAACCTAACAATTTCTTCAGTTTGTCAGCTGATTTCTTGCACTCTAACACATACTTCATACCAATGTCATGAAATTTGCGAGCTCTGTCTTCAATTTGATTTCACATATTTAACCCTTTCTCGGGCGGGAATTTCTCGCAGAAAGCCGACTCCAAGACTTCCAGCCTCGCCTGGCCATGAAGGCCACCTGCCAAACTGCAAATTCTCGGTTTATGGCCCTGCATGCTGTGCACGCTTTGAATTACACGGTGAAAAGGCTGATTTCACATTCCTGTTGCCCCTTTTCAAAGTGGGGACTATTGTGAAGCTGGTGATTATAATCCAAATTCGGTGTTTTTATTTCTTGGCTACACACAAAGACGAATTACCATTACCATATACACAAGAGCCAGGGTCTGCCTTCTTTCACCGTGTTCGCTCAAGCTTGGGCCGAGAATAATAGCTGAAAAGCGGGCTGAGGATCTCAGATTTTACGGCGTGTTTTAACACGTCCCGGCGTGAAGGGGTTAACGATGGGTGCCATGATCTGCAGATGATAATGCGCATCATTACATTTATCTACAAAATTATGTTTTTGAGTGGGCTGATACTTTTCAGATCTACAGAGTTGAGATTTCTCTAGCAGGTTTATCAATTGAAAAAGATTTGTTATTGTGTTGGTAATATTTTCAGAGAGATCATTTTCCCTCCCCCAGCTGAAAAAAAATGAAGTGGATGGTTCTTTTAGGGTTAAGAGACTTTAGAGTTATATCACCGTCTGAAGACACAGTGGTGTGGCTGTCAGTGCATTGGTCTGTTTGTTCGAGGATGTTTGCATGTGTCACTGTTATCCATTGACATTAAATGAGCATTGTACTTTATTCATCCCTGTTCATTGTAAGCAGGAGGAAAGCCTGATGAAAGAGATAAGGACATGGGCAGTGAGGAGGAGGAGGAAGATGAGGAAATGGAGGCCATCGATGCAACCATCTTTGATAACCTTGCTTGGGAGGTGGAGTGCACTGCAAAGGTTAGGACTGGAGACGTGTCCTCACATCTCTTGTGCATTTGAGGACAGGTCCTTACATCCATCTTGAAGTAGGCAACCTGTTCTCCAATCTCAAGTGAATCTGAGGATATACCATCTGTCCTTTTGTCTTATGGGTCGTACTTTGGCTGATATGTAAGTCAACCTGTGTGGTATGTCAAAGCACTTGTTGTGTTGTCTGTCGGCGACTAGCCTGTGCAGTTGTGTACATATATCAAGTAAAGCAAGGAGATGAAAAGATGTTTTGCTGGTCTGTGCCTGGTCAAGCAGTAGTAAGTTCCTTGTCTATTGATCTCTTCATAATGGCTTTGTCCCTTCCCTAACCATTAGGCTGGCAGACCTTCATTATTCCTTATTTCTTGGGTCCCAACAAGGTTTGGAAGTTCCTGCATGACAGGCAGGTCCCCAATAAGCTGAAGGAGACAGCCATCCGCAAGATCCAGATGCTGGGCAGTGGGGACTGGCGAGGGCGGCTCTGCAAACCCCTGGAGGGACCGCCCAAGCAGCACAACATGAAGCTGTACGAGGCCCGGCTGACCAAAGGGGGGCGCATCCTGTGGGAAGTGGCCATTGCATTCTCACCCCGCTGCAGCGAAGAGTCAGAAAAAAGACTGGCATCAGGTAACAAACGTGTTGTGTTTGCTTTGTCCTACTGTGTGCATAACAACCTTGCTATTATAGCAGACTCTAAATGAGAAGTCTTGCACAGGCTCAAAATTTCCTTCTGGAAGGACCAGTCAATCCCTGTTTAATTCTCCCTCCTTTCCGTAGTCCTCCTTCCACCAAACTCTCCTCACCATTTTCCCGCGACTTTTTCCCTAGTTCCAATG